TAATTGACCTTATTTGACTTGAAATTTCCAGTCAAACTTCACTTATAGAATATACGCCATTTGTCAAAAAATCTCTTCTAATGTAAAATGAGTAAAAGGAGAAATTACGTTAGTATGAATTAAAGTCGTTAAAAGAAATATTTGCCCCAATGCCCTTTTTCATTTTAAAGGCTAGGAGGAGTGCCAGTTAATTTGTAGACGACACAATCAGTTCCACATCACAATTCCTTTCTTTTTAAAGAATCTCCCTCTTCCCAAAATACTCGCACTACATGTATGACGAAATTTCTTAAACTACTATTTCACCAGTATTGATTAAACAATTTTTTCAACAATTTCTGTGTAATATTTACCCCTATTTTTAAATTGAAGTTTAGATTTTCTGGCTTTTTTATACACATTGTACAGTTCGAATTATACATTATTGTAATGTTATCAAATCACCATCATTCAATAAATATAACACATAATAGATACCACACTTTTACAACAAAGAAAGAAACACAACATATTGAACTTAAAGTTTTATATGGTTATTCATGTGCCGGTATGAATGTAACTTTTTTAACTGTCAGATGTGAAAAATTGAACACTAAATTATATAAAAACACTTAATACAAGTAAAGCAATTAACTAAAATATTAGTGAACTCATACCTATATTATTGCCAAGCATGGCAGGCATAGACTTTTCAACATCTATGATGATTATGAGATCAAGCAGCTGAAACTTGGAAAGCGCTCTATGTCCTAGATACAGGATTTGAAACTGACAATGTGGAACACTGGGCAACAAAATTAAAAATATCCCCTTTTACTTTTAGATTACAGAGCATACACATGCAATTTCTAGTCTTCCTTCCATGTCGCAGAATTTAAAAACACTTCTTCGCACCTAAGTTTAAGTAACCATCGTAGAGCAGGGAGTTTCAGAGAACTAGTTTCTTGAACATTTAAGTTAAACATTGCCTTGGAATGGTGTAGGTCCTTTATTAAGAGGACTGCATACAATATTCCCAACTCTCATGATGTTTGTCACCTAACTTACTCAAAAGTTTCGTGGTATGTTGGGCTCAAAGGAAAAAGGTAAAATTACAACCAGAATTAAAAGCTGATGAATTCCAATGACAAAGCCAAGAGTAAGTAGATTTTATAATCTCGAGAGCAGTAATTTTAATAATGCGACAAACAGTGCCTTTAAATACCTTGAGAATAATTGAGAAGTGCAAGTGTAAAAAGAAATATCTTATCTATGCTGACTCAATAAATAACATATAGTTTGATGTGGTCAGGCAGTGAGGAAAATTTAATAAAACAAATGTTGAACGCTTTCGATCTCATCATAATGCTGATTAAATGTGATAAATGTTGTCAATAAATGTGGTACCGTTGTTTAGGTTTTATTTTATTTTGATGCAGATAATGTAAATCTTATAGAGAGGAAAACTTGACAAATCGCATCCCTGCATTTGATTGACACTAGTCAGAAAACAAAAATAATACATTTTCCCAAAAGGAAAAATGAACTATCTTTTATAGATTTTATCAGCATAAAAATTCATTATATGTGAGGCTTAATTTTAATTGTGAGATTTCTCCTTCAGGTTTGCAGGAGTTATGAATCTGTTTTTTAATTGTTTAATTTGAGGTTAATGTGCAAAGAAATTCCCATGCTTATCGTTTTAATCAACAAGCTTTGCCAATCATATTTTTATTATTTCAAACTTTATGATGGGGTTTGATCTGTGAGTTGGTGAACTTGTGTTGAACCGGGTCACATACTGGGTCTGTCTGCCGCCCCACGAATGGAGACAGACCTAGGGCCCTGTGCTGGTTCAACATGCAACTTTATAGATTTATGAATTTTATAAACATTATTTTTGTTTAAGAGATTTTGTGTCCCACTTTTAGGTCGCAGTGGAAGAAAGAGAGAATGTCTGAGGAGGGGTTTCCCCTTCTTTATATTTCTTTTTATAGTGTCTCACGAGTAATCTTGATCACGGTATGGTCTTGATGAAAAAGCAAATTCAGCAGTTACTGCCAAGCTTTCTCAATAATCTTAAATAGGGATGGTTAGACATAATGACATGACATAATTAAGATTTTAGTAGACACTTTCAAATTTCTTTGAACACCGACTCTGTCATAAAAGTACTTGTTACAGTTACAATGTTGGGACTGAGTCGGTGTTCAAAGAAATTTGAAATCTTATATTAAAAACTTAATTATGTCACACCATTATGTCTAACCATCCCTATTTAAGAATGTTGTGAAAGGTTGGCAGTAACATTTGAATTTGCTTTTTTATTGAGACCATACCAAAATCCAGATTATTCGTAGAAAAAAAAAAAAAAGTGGTCGATAGAACTTTTGTAATGTCTGACCATCCTTTAATTCCCATGGAAACCTTGGAATCCAACCAATTGTTTGGTATTTTCCCATTGATTTGATCTATAATACAAAAGATTTAATGACTACTCTCATGTATTTATTTGATCACAGTGCTGATATTGAATTGAGTAAAACGCTTGTAAATTAGCTATGTTTTTGACATCATTATAAATTATTTCCCCTTTTGAAACAAATTGACAGAGCAGTATTATCTTGAAATACATTTCATCAGCTGTCCGAATACTAATTATTCAGAACAATGTGCAGTTATAATTAATGGTTCCAGCTTAGAAATTTAATATGCTCTGTAAATTCCCTTAACAAAGAGTATCATCCAATTTCACAAAAAATCTATCGCGTATAATTTAAAATCCTTTTTCAGACTAGTATTGGGTTGTCCGGAAAATAATGCAGGATTTTGGTATTAAACAAAAAAAAAGAAACTAGTTACTTTAAAGCAATGTTCTTTAATCAAAATAATTTCCCATACTCTCAATACATTTCTCCCAACGTGTTGGTAACTTATTAATTCCGTCTGAGTAGAATTCAGAATTTTTAGAATTGATAAAGTCAATAAATGCATTTTCCAGTTCCGTTTGATTTTTGAATATTATGTGTTCTAAGTAGTGGTCCAGGTGTCTAAAAAAATGGTAGTCAGTAGGCGAGAGGTCCGGAGAGTAGGGTGGGTGAGGCAAAGTTTCATAGCCAAGCTCCAATAATTTTTGTGACGTTACACGTGACACATGTGGTCGAGCGTTGTCATGCAACAAAATGGGCCCTTTCCGATTGACCAAAGAGGGCTTCATTACTGCCAATTTCTGATGCATGGTATTAATTTGGTTACAGTATGATTCAGCATTGATGGTTTCGCCAGGATTTAAGAAGCTGTAGTGTATTAAACCAAATGAAGCCCACCATACCGTAACCATTACCTTTTTTTGATGAGTTGGGGGCTTTGGAAAATGTATTGGAGCTTCTCCTTTGTCGAGCCACTGTCCAGAACGTCTAGTGTTATCGTAGAGAATCCACTTTTCGTCACATGTAACAATTCTGGCCAGAAATGGGTCATTTTTGTTTCGACAAAGAAGTGATGCACAAACATCAAAGCGCTGATTTTTTTGGCGATCGTTTAATGAGTGTGGAACCCAATTTTCGAGTTTTTTCACTTTTCCAATCGCCTTGAGGTGGTCAGCGACGGTCGTTTTACTGACTTTGAGTTGCTCTGCACCCACCACTGATCGCAGAACATCATCATTAAGAGAGGAAGGCCTTCCACGACCTTCTTCATCTTCAAGGCTGAAATCTCCCTCCCGAAATTTTTTAAACCACCTTTGCACAGTGCACTCATTAACACAACCCTCGCCCCAGACTTGGTTAATGTTTCTAGCCGTTTGGGCTCCGCTTCGGCCGAGTTTAAACTCGTAAAAGAAAATCGTACGAAATTCTCGCTTTGACATTATAAGGATGACTGAATTATTTCCAAGTAGCGGAATGCTACAGAGGTAAACAAACAATATCATTTGGAAGAGGATTAATAAGTGTTGACATTCATACAAATGAGTAATCCTGTAAACGTAAACAGAATATTTTATATAGATTTTTTTTAATGAAAACTTAAAATCCTGCATTATTTTCCGGACAACCCAATATTATCATCAAATTAAAAATTGATAGCCTAAATTCTTAAAATTAGACTAATCCTGCTTTAGTATTTTAAATAAAATTTCATACTCGGTACAGTAATATTCCGTAAAATATAATTCACTTCTCAATTTAAAAAAACTTGGCTAAATATGAAAGGAAAATTACTTCAAGCCAAAAGCAGAAGATATGCAGCTTCAAGGTTGATGATAATGGTTTATGCGTTATTCATCAACATCTAGGTATAATTAGTCAAATAATAGTTCATTAGGCGATGTTTGCAAATTGTACCTACCTTTTGAAGAAATCTGCTTTTTTGCAAGCAATTTAGACTGCATTCTTGCTTTAGGATAATATTCTTCAATAATAACTTGTTTATTACAAGTACAATTGCTAAAGTAATCAATTTGCATAAATTTAAACGACAATTGTATGGGAAATGCCTGGCTGATGAGTTAGTTATATAATAAACGTGCAGTTACAAAACTGTAATAATTAATTATTTACATATAATTTAATATATAATAATAGTAATTATAATTATATATAAATATTAATATTAATTTATGAGAATAATTATAAAACAACTTGTTTGTCTAAAATTACATTTGCAAGAGAATATTTTAAATAAACAAGCAAAGACATGTTTTAATTTTAATCTACATATTTCGTATAAATGTATATGAAAGCTTTTTTCCTATATTGACAAAATATTTATCTGACATAATCCTTTCCAATTTACAAGGTATGTTCCACCTTAGACCTGTTCATTTTTATATAATCAACCCTGAACTTTCTATTTTATTTAAAGGTTACATATTTATTTAGTTACTAGTTACTATTACAGGGATATTAAATCTCAGTATCACACACAAGATCAATTCTCTGATAGCACAAACATAAAAGTTTTATAAATTATGCATTTTTGAATGACATATTGGTTGATGAAATTTTTTTTCATCTTTTTAGATTGTGTTTGGGGCTGAATTAGCAATTCAGATACCAGAAAACCTAAGCCAGGATAATAGCACTTATCGTCTGGATTACGTCCCAAAGTATGGCCATCCTCCACCCAACACTACAATCCTGTCGAGAGACATCGGTCACGTCATCCAGTTCTCAAAAGGCCTTCCAGGCACCAAGTATGAATTTTGGCTTTACTACTCGAATACTACTCTGCACGACTGGTTAACATGGACAGCGTCCATCACAACAGGTCTGTTGCTCGTTTTTTATTTTTTAAATAGCATTTATTTAGTTTGAGTTCGACAATTTTAGATCATTTTTGTCTTACAGCTCCAGACCCACCTTCGAATCTCACTGTTACCATCAGAAATGGAAGATCTGCAGTTGTAAATTTCAGCCCTCCAGTCCTTGGCAGCTACCATTCATTTAAAATGAAGGTATTTATAACTCAATTTTATTAATAATTAAATAATTGTTGACAATTAAACAATCTTATTGTTACCTATATGGTTAATGATGATGATTAATATTAAAGAAGCACCCATAACTTTGTATAATGATTCTTGTTTATTGTAGGTTATTAGTTTAGCAGAACCAACAGTTCCAACCAGAACAATTCTGCTCAACACAACTGAACCTTACACACTCCGTGAATTAACACCTGGTGGAAGTTACCAACTTCAGCTTTTTACTGTGTTTGATCAAAAAGAAAGTGTTGCTTACACATCAAGGAACTTTACAACAAGTAATTTTAACTTATGATTTAGATGATATTATTAATTGCTTGTAAAATAAGTTTTAAATATGACATTTTTTGTCCTGTATTTGCAGAACCAAATACGCCAGGGAAGTTCATTGTCTGGTTTAGAAATGAAACGACGCTGTTAGTTTTGTGGCAGCCATCGTACCCAGCATCAATTTATACTCATTATATTGTAAGCTTGTACTTAAATGAAAGAAATATTGTCTTTGTTCTTTAATTAAACGTATAATAATGTTTTTTAGGTTCGAATTGATCCTCCTGATGCAGCGGAAAGTATGTTGTACGTTGAAAAAGAGGGTGAACCACCTGGCCCAGCCCAAGCAGCATTCAAAGCCCTTATTCCAGGTAATGTTTCTATTCGAGCTGTTTTAGTGTAAATTTTAAAACTATCTTTTACAGGACGAGCATATAATATTTCTGTTCAAACTATGAGTGAAGATGAGATTTCCACGCCTACAGTAGCTCAATACAGAACTATACCGTTGCGACCTATTAATGTTCGATTTGACAAATCAACAGTAACTTCACATAGTTTTACTGTACTGTGGGATTCACCAAATCGTCAAAGGTATACATACTCATAAAAACATCTAGTTGGTCAAAAAGTTAATAATATTTATAATGCAAGTAAGGTCTTGACTTACATTGCCTTTTACTCTTATGTTATTAAAATTTGAAATTGGCTTCATGATTATTTGTGTTATACTTTGTCTTGTATGTACGTACTATTTATTGTTCATTTGTTGTAATTAAAATTTTTATTTCAGTGAGTTTGACAAGTACCAGATTTCAATTAATCTCCGTCGTCAAGGATCAGTTCCACCGATTACAAGAAATAGAAGTGACCCAACATTCCAGACTTTTAAAGAGGGCCTGGAACCAGGACAAACGTATCATGTTTTGGTTAAAACAGTATCAGGAAAAGTTACATCGTGGCCTGTAGCAGTTAACGTCACATTAAGTATGATTTTAATAAAATAAGCGCATGTTTTGAAATTAGAGCTTTGTCTTAAGCTTTATTTTTTGGGTGTTTTGTCTTGTTAAAGAATCAAGTCTTAAGAGTTAGCGAGTGTTTTTTTTTCTTTGCTTTATGTGATTGTTTATTGTTGTGCATTTCTTTAGAACCTTTGCCTGTCGAAGATTTAAAAGCTGAAAACAGTGGTAATGGAGTAGTTGTGTTAAGTTGGAAACCCCAGAACTCGAGTACCCAAGATCAGTATAAGGTAGTGTAAATTGTTGTCGTGGAAGTGTGTATAGGTAGCATGTTTCAGAAAGTGTTTTCCCATTTATAATAGGAAAAATTGATTAGATCAAATGATCATTTTTAATTAAATTTCAGATCAGTTACACAGAAATGGGCGTCCTCAATGGAGATACAAATACAATGTATACAGAAAACACTCAGCTCATCTTGGAATCCCTTCTTCCTGGTCGGAAATATTCAATAGCAGTTCAAGCTGTTTCCAACCAGCAAGAATCACATGAGAAAATCACATATCAATCAACAAGTATGTACATCATTCGTTATTTTATTTTTTCCCATTGAAGAGATTTTTCAAAAATCAATGGTTCAAAAATAAACAAATTGGCCTGGCGATAAACCAGATAATTTTTTATGCTAATCAGAATTTTTGTGAAGTATGTAAACTGTGATTTACTGCACTATATATATTACATTATATTACATTAATAAAATTACATTATATATATATTTNTTTAATAAATAAATTAATATAATGTAATTTTTTTCAATCACAGTACATAAGTTATTATGGTTTGATTACATTCAATAAAATATTAAAACAATGTAATACATAGAAAAAAGTCCAAATATACATAAAACATATTTAATTACATTATCATGTCACTGGTTTAAGCTTAAAATTGGATTCATAAAAAATACAAGATTAACAACTTTAATCTTTTTTTCAGGGCCATCTGCTCCTGTTATTGAAGATCTTAGACCTATCGAATATGGTCTTAATATTTCATGGAAGTCCGATGTCAACTCTAGGCAAGAGAAATATGAGGTTATCTACCACAGAAATGATTCGGGTAAGAAAGAAAGACACGCATAATAAAATGACACAATATTTTTATTTATTTTTTTAATTCGGGCTGTTTAGATGGCGAACCCAAGCATTCATTTACTACAGAACCACATTTGTTGCTTACAAATCTGTATCCGGGTGCTGGATATGAAATAAAAGTATTCGCCATCAGTCACAGTTTGTACAGTGAGCCTCATGATTACTTCCAAGCAGTTTGTAAGTATTGTAATTTAATTAATATTTAACTTCATTTGAAAATTATTGTATATTTTTATTTTATTTATTTTTAAGTTCCAAAACCTCCAACAAACCTTACAATGGAAAATGTCACTAGTAACTCAGTCGTAGTGCGCTGGATGGAACCAATAGATTCTCTATTTTCCGATTTCTCGATAAGGTAATTTTTATCAGTATAAATTATTTTTTAATTTTTTTCTATTAAGAATTGCTGAAAACTAAACATTTTCTAATTCTAGTCTTTATTTAAAAAATAATGTTTACTCATTGTACACTTAGTTGAGACATCTAGATAAAAAATAATATATTTCAAACTTGATAGATACCGCACAGAAGATGATTCTAAATGGATTAAACTACCGACTGTAAGACACACAGAAGCTGAAGTTGCGGATTTGACTCCTGGTGAAAAATATACTATTCAGGTCAATACTGTTAGTTTTGGCGTTGAATCTGCAAATCCGTTAACGCTACATCATACAGTCCGTACGTATTGTAGTGTTTTAAGAAATACATATTGTCTGCAACATTGACTGAATGTTTTCCTCATTTAGGACCAAATCCTGTCACCGCAATTGCTCCACTTGTTGACTCGACCAATGTTACCCTTGAATTTCCAAGACCAGAAGGGAAGATAGAATACTACATTATAAATTGGGTGTCTGTGGATGAAAGTGATGATGATCCAAAACCAAAGTAAGGCATCTTTAAATTTAGTACCAATCCTAATTCCGTTTCACTTTTTTTTTAATTTGCAGGACAAGGAATATGACTGGTTTTGGCTCTGAAGGTGGTACCGTCCGTGCACTTGTCGAAGACTTAATGCCTGGTATAAAATACCAGTTTGATATTCACACAGTTTCGTACAATCTTCACAGCGACATCACCACATTAACTGCTAGGACAAGTTAGTTTGCATCCCTCCACGTAATAAAATAATTTTTCTAAAACCAAAAATTGTTTGCAGTGCCATTGATACTTTCGGAAGTGCTTGTTGTGAACAACCAGCAAGCCACAGATACTGTTACATTGAGGTATACACCAACCCCACAGTCTTCATCGCATTTTGATAAATACAGGTTCTCTCTTTCGGGATCCGGTGCACCCGTGATAAGAGAAAAAGATGCCAATGATACTGAATGGAAGGTCACTTTTACTTCTCTCACTCCTGGGAAATTGTATAACATTACTTTATGGACTGTTGCTGACCATGTGCTCAGTCAACCGTTACACCGTCAAGACCGACTTTGTAAGTTATTGTATTATTATTTTTAGACAAGTATAATTGCTATTTAACAATTTTACAGACCCTGAGCCAATCACTCAGTTAAATGCAACCAATATCACTGGGACTACGGTCACTCTGACCTGGGACAAACCGAGAGGAGAATACAATGCATTTGAAGTATGTTTAATATATTAACATAATCTGAAAATTTAATGTGACTTGAACTTAAATAAAAATCATTAACAATTTTTCTAGGTGCAGTACTTGAACACAGAAGAGTTGCTGATTCAAAATTTGACCCAAGAAAAAACGTTCACCGTAACTGACCTTAAGCCGTACAGAAATTACACTTTCACAGTTGTCGTAAGATCTGGAATGGAAGCGACAATTCTTCGACGATCGTTGCCAATTTCTGCAGTCTTTACAACCCATGAAGGCATCCCAGGATTGGTGTGTTATTTATCTATCTTATAATAGAATAAATTTATTATTATTCTATATTATTATATAGAATAATAATATATTATTACAGAATTTGGACAGTAATGTTTTTACATTTTAAGCATTTATTCAGTTCAAGAATTTTATTTGCCATTATTCGAATTAATCATTTATAATTAGAGTTTAATCACAAATGCCACCCTTTGATTTGATATTCAACTCTTAACAAATTTTCTCTCTAACCACTGTTCTAATTACATAAGTTGGCTCAGTGGAAAAGGGCCATGTGTTAATTGGAGAGACAAGTGATGGTCGGTGAGAGGGGAGGTGCAAATTGATTTGTAAATATGTCGTTAAGTTGGGTATTGTTGTGAATTGGTTAGTCCTAAGACCCAAGAAAAAGAAAGGAAAAGAAAGAAAAAAGAAGACCAGGGGAAAAAGAAAGAGAAAAATTAACGTCAGATATGGTTTCCGTGTTGAACCTTAGCCTAACCGATGTAACGCTTCTTGTTTACTTACTCTTCTTGTTCAATGAAGTGTGCTTCCACCCAAGGTGTGGGAAGTAACCTGATTACGGCATCTTGCTTCTCTAGCTTTTAATTAATTAATTAATAATATTTAGGAGTTAAACTTTTAAGAAAAAATACAATTAACTTATTCTATTTAGAACTAAATTTATTATTACAATTTTTTTTAAATTAAACTAACACAAAGAGGAGACATACACCTAATTACTAAAGTCCCGTATTATCAGTCCTGATAAATAATTATAAAAAGACGAACCCATAAGGTACTCTTCCACCTAGATCCTTCATACTTCAGGCAGTGCTGTGTTCGCCATGATCAACTTATCACACCGTAGATCTCACACTTTCTGGGCCCACACAGCCCAAACTCTGTTTTTAATTTTTAGTTTCTTTCCTATCTATGCGGAGACCACTTCTACCTATGATAGTCTCGCGAAGTGATCACTCGCCTTCTTTTTTCTAATCTCAACCCACTAGCCGCAAACCCATTGCCCTCCAGGGCAAGATCTTTCAGGCCACAAACTGCTTCTTGTACTTCTCGCCTCAGATCAGTCTGTCTCTATTCTAGACTTTATTTAAAAAAATTCTGAAAAAAATTTAATAGTATTTGTTGATTACTTTAGTAGTGTCTATTCTAATTCTTTAAAAATACCTCGAGACAATCCAATATACTGATGAAAAGGTTTTGGAACATCTGTAAAAATTAGATTCTAGAAAGAGTTCAGGACCTGATAACATTCCACCTTTAATTTTGAAGAGCTGTAAGTTTGCTTTTCCACCTGTGCTTTCATTATTGTTCAATAAATCTTTGTCAATTGGTGTTTTCGTGACCTTCCTCAATGTTAATTTTGTAATACCTTTATGTAAGAGTGGAAATCAATGTGTTATTACAAACTATAGGTCCACATATCTGCAATCGGTAATAGCAAAAACCTTTGAAGCTCTGATTTTAAAAACTATCGGTCCTTTACTAAATCCTTACATAATACCTTAACAACATGGTTTCCACCCTAATCGTTCAACATGTACAAATCTTCTTTTTCAAGACTGCAACTAAAGCTCTAGCGATGCATCAACATGTTGATACAGTATCTGCTTATTCAAAAACTTATCATCCTTGGAATACATGCTCCCTCCTCATTTGGTTTAGCTCCTATTTGGAAGATAGAAATCAATTTGTGAAACTTAATTTAGTAACTTCTAAAAAAAATAGTAGTCTCATCTGGTGTACCTTAGCGCTCGTTACTCAGCCCATTCCTTTTCAAAGTATTTATTAATGATATTTATCTTTGTTTTTACTCAGTTAATTTCTCCTTCATTAATGATGACCTGAACCTATATCACTATAACTTCCATTCATGATGCTGAGCTTCTGCAAAATTCTGTAAATAATCTCGTTGAGTGGTATTCATGCAACGGCTTGGAAATAAATATAAATAAGTCTAAGGTTTTTGCTATAATATTGGACATAGTGTTGTGTTCTACAATTAAGGGATACAAGATATCCAATTGGACAGGCAGACTACCATTTAAGGCCTTGGAATTACCTACTCTAACAACCTTACATTTAACTTGCATTGCACCTCCATAATTAAATAAGGCAAATCAAATTTTAGGTTTCTTACATAAAACTTCAAAAAAATTTAAGGATGCAGAAACAATAATTAGACTGCTTAAGGCTATGGTCCACACCGTTTTAGAGTACTGCTCAGTTGTTTAGTCTCTGTGATGAGCGGTATATCGTTCGAACGATCGAGCACAAATGCTGTCACTCGCTAGGGTGCTCCGAGCAGGTAGCGAGCTACTCCATTCGAGGCCCGTCAAGCCTTTTAAGGGGTAAGATGTGTCAGGTTGCAAGGGCTTGACGAGTGAACACCTACTTACTTTCCACTAACTCTGAACGGGGAGGTTTGAGGAAAGATACAACAATTCAGACAGAATAATCAAGTCCCTTGATTTAATATATAATCAATTCATGAATGAATCTGTAACCCTACTTATAACTAACAACTCTCTATTCTTATTAAACAATTCCTTACTACTAGGGGCTTAATTATTGGGATCGTAATACTTAAAATTAGGCCGCAGCCCAAAATTGCCCAACTGTTCCCCAATCCCCCGCAAACCGATTGACAAAGCTTGTACTTACAGGATCCTGACAGTTAGGTGGTTCAGATGATGAGCACTGTTGTCTCCGTCGTCCTCTCAACGTTCCTCCTGGCGTCTCTTTTGACTGCCCTCATGACTTCCCTCTCGGCGTCCCCCCTCAATGGTCCCCTTGGCGTCTCTCTCGACAGCCCTCTCGACATTCCTCCAGGCATCTCTCTCGACTGCCCTCACAACGTCTCTCCACGGCCCTCTCGACGTTCTTCTCAGCGTCTCTCTCAACATCCATCTCGACATTCCTCTCGGCGTCTCTCTCAACAGCCCTCTCGGCGTTCTTCTTGGCGTCTCTCTCAACAACCCTCTCGACGTTTCTCCTGGCGTCTCTCTCGACGGCCCTCTCGACATTCTTCTTAGCGTCTCTCTTGACGTCCATTCCTACAGCCCACCGGGGCCGGCCTGACCGTGACAGCTCTCCGTTGACCACCTCTTCCAGGTTTCCAGGTGACCCGACTGCCCTTGTCCTCTCCAAGTCATTGAGCTATTCTGGTTGAGTCCGGGCATTAGCTAATCCTGGGGGTTGAGCAATAAGGCCACTTGTCAGCACAACAGTCAATTTTTTAGGGTGATTGCTCCGGGTACGACCCTCATTTCTCAATCGAAAACATTCAGCTGTTATCATTTCGCTAGCTTGTTTAGCTGCATCTAGAATTTTCGAGAAAGACGGGGTCGGATCCCGAGATTCCAGACGACTTCTGATGGCCCAATCCTGCACAATACGATTTCCCAATAATTAGCCGAAATGTTCTTACATTTAATCTTAATATTTACAACAAACTTAATTTCTACAGAATCCTGTTTAAGATTCCCATTTAGATATCTTCACAGTCACCACATCAGAAAATTTTAATTAATTCAATAGAAAATGTACAACGACGATTTATTTGCACTGTATGATTTAAAATTACCAAAACATACTTAAACTGTACAAATTTATTATGGAATTCGCAGAACAGCAACCACTAAACATAAGACGTCAAAATAATGACCTGCTATTTTCTTACAAATGCTTTAAATAAATGGTCAACCATCCACAATCAATCAATTTGCTAAATTTCCATGTTCCACAGTGTAACACTAGACCAAAAATATTATTTTTCAAAATCTAAAATTATAATGCAAATTATTTAATATTTAGTCTAATTCCTTGACTCATGGAAACGTGTAAAAAACTAACTTTACATTATGACACCTTTTACCTTTTCTCAAGTCTACATTTTTATACACAAGTTTATTAAGAAATGCTTAAATATTTTTTTTTTTTAATTTGTCCATATTTTTAAAGATTGTTATATGTACATTATTATTTATGTTTCAATTACTCACTATTATTTACGTATAGTTTAAAGTCTTATAGAACTTGTAACTGTATATTTACCCGTATAAATAAAAGTGATTTTTTAGGTGACTAACTTCCACCCAAAAGATATCCAGCCAAGTGAAATTCATTTCATGTGGATTCTTCCACCCAGTGAGCAAAACGGAATAATTCGCAAATTTACAATAACATATGGACTTGAGGTGAGATTTCTTTGATTTTGTATGTATACAATCATTTTAATTTTTTTAGCATAAATGTATAAATATGTTGTATAAATTTAAAAAATTGTGAGTGATTTATTTCTCTAAATGAAGTGTTTTACATTGAAAAATATTACACCTGTTTACTACAATCTTTTCTACTTTTAAGAATTCTGTATATACACAACGGAAGGATTTTAAACCTTGGGAAACGGAAGGCACAATAAGGAACCTGATGCCTGGAAAAACATACATATTTCATATTCAAGGAGAAACAAAAGTCGGTTATGGACGAGAAGCTATTTGGAAACAAACAATGCCAATTTTAGGTATTTTTAAAAATTAAATTAAATTCCTAATATCTCAATTCATTAATGTTTTAATTTTATTTTCCAGCCCCTCCAAAACCGAGTCCACAAGTTGTCCCCACTGAGGTTTGCCGTACATCGACTACAATCCAGATAAGGTTCAGGAAAAACTATTTTTCAGAGGCAAATGGACCTGTGAGTCAAGAATTTTCTTGGTATTAAACATTTTAATAATTTATATCAATGCCTCCCAGGTTGTTGCGTACACAATAATTGTCGCTGAAGATGACACCAAGAACGCTTCTGGGATTGAAATGCCAGGATGGAGGGATGTCCAAGCTTACAGTGTTTGGCCACCATACCAAGTACGTACATATTTTATTTTACAAATAATCTTTATTGATTGTTATTTAATACCTAATTATCAAATAAACTGACAATATCTTATTCTATAACAACTCTTACATTTTTTTACGTTTACTTTTAGGTGATAGAACCTTATTTCCCTTTCAAAAATGCGTCTGTTGTTGATTTCACAATTGGTACCGAGGATTGTGAAACTAAGATGAATACTTACTGCAATGGGCCGTTAAAAGGAGGTACAACTTACAGGGTCAAAATAAGGGCTTTCACAGCACCAGAGAAATTCACAGACACTCATTATTCATTTTCAATTCAAACAGGTAATTACATTTCAAAATAAATTATTTGTGTAATATTGGCAAGAATTGGTTGACAAAGTGTTGACCCATAAATGTGATCATTTTTTAATAAATTCGATACAAAATTCATTATTTTTCCACTGAATACCCTACTGTTTTTGTTACAAATGTCAATAATAAAGATTACAAGCTAAAATGATTACAATCAAAATTCTTTTTCAAAATCGAAGTTTGTGTATTCCTAATTTTAGTCTTTTACATTCATGAAACAGCTGATTTTATGATCAAAATTGTAGCAGTTAGTACAGTATATCTACAAAAGTTAACAAAATTTTAAAATATCATTAATGGTGTGCAATTTTATATGTTAATTATATTGTTTGGTTTTAATTTTGTTGATTCAAATTACAGATTGATGACTGTTTAATTGATGTTTTAGATCAAAATACAACCCCACTCATAGTGGGCATTACAATCCCAAGTGTGGTCTTGCTGATTCTCTTTATTGTGATTCTTCTAATGAGAAGGAACAAAATCATAGGAAGACGACCAACAGAAAATAGAGCGAGTGACAATCTTAGCATACAAGACAGTATCATGGAAACAACGTAATTGCAAATTGAATATTCATAAATTTAATAATGATAAAACTTAATTTTGTTCCTAATTTTAAACATTAATAGACAATGTTGTTCTATTTTGTTTTTAGTCGACCTATACGCCTCGAAAACTTTGCTGAGCATTATAGAATCATGTCAGCAGATTCGGACTTCAGGTTCTCTGAGGAATTTGAAGAGCTGAAACACGTCGGCCGAGAGCAACCATGTACATTTGCAGACTTGCCTTGCAACCGGCCCAAAAACCGGTTTACGAATATTTTGCCTTATGACCATTCCAGATTTAAGCTCCAGCCAGTTGATGATGAGGAAGGCTCGGATTACATAAATGCAAATTATGTTCCTGTAAGTGATTTTTTTTATTCATGACCATATATAATATCTGAGCCATTTTAAAGCGTAGAGAAGCCATTCTATAGTCTTCTGTTAAATTTTAAAAGTTAAGGAGGTCAACTAATTGTTCGAAACTGTTTCCTTACTCTTACTTTAATATTTCATGAACTACTGTCCTGGTCAAAATATAAGAAAAAAAAAACTTTTTTAGCACTTCTGGTACTTGAAATTGTAAAACCTTTTGAGGTGAATTTTTTCTTGACAAAATTGGTTTAGCCCCGTTAAATAATACAAAAATTTCAATTTTCTGATAACAGAATGTGGCTGGTCATTATATATTTACATTATAAAACCTAAATTGCTTTCTCATTATTCATTAAATAAAGTAGGACAACTAAGTTGTCAAATGTTAATGGCAAATCACAATTTCCTGTACTAAGTTAACTAAATTAGTAAAAATTCATGGTTAAACATAAAGAGTTATTGTTTTAGAAATGTGGCACATCTTTTTTCAACACATTTGTACATTTCAATGATCATTTTGAAGATCTTTGGGATTAGTAAATTAAGCGATATAACTTATATAATTAATTTTAACATTGCATTTCAGGGTTTCCATTCACCGAGGGAATTCATTGTGACCCAAGGTCCATTGCATTCTACAAGAGACGATTTTTGGAGAATGTGCTGGGAGAGTAATTCTCGTGCCATTGTAATGCTTACACGTTGTATAGAAAAAGGTAAATGTTAATAATTAAACATGTGAACACGCATGCGTTTGCGTGTGTGTGTTGGGGACCTGGGAGAATGATTCCAGAACTAAATGTAACTCGTAGATATCCTAAGTCTATTTTATTTGATAATATTTATTCTAGTTATAATCCAGTCCTATAGTTAGCTGCTATTTATATTTAATAAATCTCTGCAAAAGGAGTAGGTTGTATAGTTTTCGCTAAAAAATTTAACATGAAAGTTTGCCACAAACTCTAAAACGAGCACTCACCGATTACTACTGCCAATAGGACAATATCCACATGGCATGAATCTTAATGTAATATAATCTCACTGATTGTGTATGTCTATAGACCTCCCTTTCATTTTCGTTTACCTCGGCCCGAGCATACAGCACCAAGGGCTCTTTTGGTGACGCCTTTACTTACTCTACGACAGAATTCAGTTCAACCTAATTTAAATTCAGCATCCCCTTCCCCACACGCATGCGCATATGTGAATGTATATGTTTGAAAAAAAATATAATGATGTTTATTTTTCAAGGTCGAGAGAAGTGTGATCATTATTGGCCTTACGACACCATGCCAGTCTACTATGGTGATATTTCTGTAACAATATTAAATGACAGTCATTATCCGGATTGGAGCGTCACTGAATTTATCATGGCCAGAGTATTTAAATAAATTAATATCATAAGATAGAAACCTCGTATTAATACTATTTGCTTAATTTCAGGGTGACACTCAAAGGGTTATAAGACATTTTCATTTCACGACTTGGCCAGATTTTGGCGTACCTAACCCACCCACAACTCTAGTCCGTTTTGTGAGAGCCTTTAGAGAGAGGATAGCACCAGAACAACGCCCTATCGTTGTACACTGCAGTGCTGGAGTCGGCCGGTCGGGAACTTTCATTGCCCTAGACAGGATAGTGCAGTCTCTCAACCATGGTGCAGACACGGTCGATATTTTTGGAATTGTCTGGCAGATGCGAAAGGAGAGGGTGTGGATGGTTCAGACAGAACAGCAATATATATGCATCCATCAGTGCCTTCTGGCTGTCCTCCAGGGTGACGACAATCAAGCACCCCCAAGGGAAATACACCACAATCCGGGGTTTGAAGGTAAATATTTGCAAAAGGTTAATGATGTAAATTAAGCACAAACCACCGTGTAAAATTTGCTTTGTAACATCCTCTTCTTAATCGATAGTCTAGTCAACACAAACAACAAAAATCAATTGCTAATACTTCTCCATTAGCAAGTATGTAACAATTTGCAATTATTTCTTTTAAATAATGTAGAACTATATATTGATTTTTATTTTTTCATTGAAAATATTTTTCAACTTTGAAAAAGACAGCCGTCATGAAAATCTGTTAAAGGGGTGATTGGTGAAAGGGCCATAAAATAACTCCCACAGCTTATTTATTATAAATAACTTTATAACATTAAGTTGCCACCAACTCATTTTTTTTTTTTTTTCAAATTTTCATGATGTGTGTCTTGAATGTGTTTTGTGTGTTTATTCCATTTGAATTATGTTGGTCAATTTGCTTGGTATTTTATAGTGTGTAAATACAAGAATACCATGTTAGACATAATCTGTATTTGGTGCTGTAAGAGGTGGAGGAAATTGAGGTGATGGATGGGTTTTAGGTAAGAGCGGCAATGTTAGTAACAAGAGTGGGGTCAAGACGCCAGAATTTCACAGGAAGGAGAAGCATCGGTGATGGTAAATTGCACAGTTCTCATTATTTTGCACAATTTGTAAATCAGGCATGACTGTCATTTGTTATATGTTACATGTTTGTAATTCAACAGAATCATTCAAGGAAATGTAAGATCCTTAAAAGTTCTTGCCCTTAACAAATATCCATTTATAAATTTTCATCCGACACTATTTGCCTTATACCATTTTAATTTTGCAACACTATAATTTTAAAATTATTCATCTTGCTTACTAACATAAATAGCATACCCGAGCTTTTTCTTATCGATAAGAGCATGCTTTTTCCCTAAGGACACAAAAAAAATTAACACATTCATATTCTATTATCATTCTTTGTGAATTAAATGTCTTACCATTTGTGTTGTTATTCTAAAATTGTCTTATATATCAATAATATATATTATTATAAACATTATAATGTAAGTTAATTTTACTATTTCAGATGATGAAGGGATAGCTGAGTCCGGAATGTGATGATGTACCCATTTGGACTACATTCTAGATTAAATGGAGTTTGTCTGTTTTAATCAAATAACAAAGTTTTAATTATTCGTCCCCTCCATTTTATAATAAACACCGAGTTTGAACGAGGACAGAGAATAAACTTTACAAACTTAATTTTGTCCTTACACTGTTTTATTGTTATTTTAACAAAAATAATTCAATTTTTGTGATCAATATTGCAACTCTTCTAGCAAAAACGATTCACATGTTAATAGTAGACATGTTGTAATGTGCAATTTGTTATTTAAAATTTTTGAAGTGTATAAATTTGGATTTTTACAATTTATATTTTCATCAAATTTAAATTTAAGTCTACCAATTTTAAAAGGGGCCAATGTAAAAAAAAAATCAAATTATATATTTTTGTATATTAATGTAAATAGAACAAGATTTTTATAAACGATGTAATAACTATGTGTATAATGGGATTTTTTAAATATTTGTGATCGGATACCTTATATTTTACTGCTTGGTCGACTGTCCACAAATCAAAATTACACAAGCAAATGGTTTGTCGTCAGCCCTAGCTTTACTTTGTGATATTGTTTTTATGTATTGTTATTTTACAGACTATGACTTATAATTCAAAATTTACTCGATATGTGAATATTCATTGTGATTTTTACATGGAGTTAAAACAAAGCCAAACATGTACACATTGATATTTGTTGCAACTTTATAGCAGTTAATAAGATGTAATAAATTTACTTTTTTAATTAGTGAAATTTTTCTATTGTAAAGTGATTTGTTAAAACAAATTAAAAAATGTTTTAATTATTTCATGATTGGTTCATTCCATCAACAGTTTTATAAACTGTACTACTTTAACAAACCAGCACCGAAGAACAATTAAAACAAAGCAAAGCTTCGTTGATCGTTTTGTTCAGGTGACTAATTCCATATTTTACTGACATTACAAAACTCACTAGTTATCAACAAAGCTAGGAACAAAAGATAATGTTATATTTCATTTATTATCATCATAAATAAACCAACAAATTTGAAATATAAACATTTGTGAACCTAATTAAGTTTTTTTGTAAATGTTTCCCTGAGGAAATCCCAGTTTCTTTTTATGAGACCGTCTTTAGTTTGAAAGTTGTCTTTATTTGCAACATGTTGATTTCTTCGAGTAATTTTGTTGTTTGCAGGTAGTGTCCAGAACTTTTTCCTGTTTGAATTCGGTGTGGGCGGTTCCTTTTTCTCTAATTTTGCTTTTTCCTTTTCCTTCACTTTTTTCAAGAGTGAAAACAGCTTGAACTCATTGATGTCCTTCAGTACCGGCTGCGGCTTTTTTCTCTTTTCTGTTATAATTTCATTGTTTTCTTTGTTTTCTCCTTTATCATGCTTGTTAAGCATGCCCCGGCCCATTTTTGAAAAATAGCCCCGTAGTAGTCCTTGCTTGTTATGTTTATTATCGTCCTTGCAATTTTTTTTATTTTTCAATTTCAAATGAGGGCTTTCATCCTCTTCAACAAATTCTGTGGCAAAAGGTGGACACTCATTTTTATACGAGAATGCTTCGCCGATAGCTTCGTCTATTTTATTGCACACGTCTTCTATCTGTTTGAACTCTGTATCTTCAGTAGTACATTGTAAGCTTTTTTTGTGCATGATGATTTTACAATTACTGTACAGGTTAGTGGTTTGTTGTCTATCCACGATGAATGGACTTACATCCTTTGACTGAATTTTTTTAAGGTTCAAACTTAACGACGATATGTTCATTGTGTGTAACCACTTGATTTGTGACATGGAAATCATCGGAGGTATCAAATTAATCAAAATTCTATTCAAATTAAATGTCACATCTGGATTAACATAGGACAATAATTGCATATTTTGCTTCGCTTTATTTTCATTGTGTTTTAAAAAGGATTTACCTATAGAATCGTAATTATCTTTAAATAAGTTATCGATGAACAATTCATCATAAATTTCTGATTGTGGAACATCTTGGATAATTTTGCCTCTTGAATTTGTGGTTTTGGAACCAAGACATTGAAATAAATATCTGATGAACAAAACATTTTCATCTAATTTCAATAGATTGCTTGTGCTATCAAAACTATTTTGTTGAAATAAAGGTTTAATACTCAACAAAATATTATCTATTTCATCAGTATCTTTTGCTGAAAACAGCCTATTAGTAATCGCTACTTCTTTCTCTGCTATATTTTTAGATGTTTCACCTTTCTGTTCGATTGGCTTACGCTGTGATTTTCTACAATTGTACTGTTTTATATTTATTCCAGCGCTTTCAACAGGTAAATTAGTCAGTTCCTTGTTATAAACATTAACATTTTCACTAAGTAAGTCCAATGTCGATTCATCCATAGATGTTAATATAGTCTCATTTAAGAATAAAGTATCATCCATGCCTACGTTTACTGTCAATTCCATTTCATTGTCAAATTCAACCGTATTTGATCGCTCCTGAGTAATATTAAAATCAAAATATCTGGGCTCACATTCTTCGGTTGGCCTCTCAGTCATTCGTTCGATTGGATCACAAGTGGTTATATCCATGAGAAAACTTTCTGAATTTTGTTGTGCGACATCATTTTTTGTAAAATCGCTTTTTGCATACTGAAAATTGGTGAAGTCATGACAAATAAAATCTGGGAAGAAAGTGAGCTCCATATTTTCAACCGATGGGATGTAAGAGCTTACATGATCCAAATCGTCCTTCTGTTCATTGTTCAAGTCGAGTATTTCTTCCTCTGATTCTTTAATGACCTGCAATGTGCTTTTAGGTCGGGCAAATCCTTCTTTCAAGCCAAAATTGTCCATTATATTTTTTTTAATAATTTGTTTTTACTCGTTTAATATTGGATATTTCCATCACCTGGTTTGTTCACATTAAAATCAGATTATTTTATCTAAAAGTAAGGTTACAATTGAACAAATTAACATGAAAAATATTTTTAATGTACAAAACAATTCTTAATGAACATAAAGAATCATGCTTCCCAATTTTTACTTGTTTCTAAATACTTTCTAAAAACTAAATTTTCTAAGTTGACTTTTAGGTTGTTTTTTTGTTAATAAAGTAATGGACTGAAATGTTCTACATTTACATTTATTTAATCAATTTCATTCTTAAAACTATAAATAACTAAAAATATAGGAAAGGTTGCAGAAAACTATGTGTAAAATAGTAAGAGTCAACATCAATAAGTAGATATCTAAATATGCCAACATACTAATTGAGGAAGCAATCAAAGATGACAGCACAACAAATACATCAAACTACAAAATTCGTATATAAGTCAGGAAAATTAAAATAATTTTTTATTTTCAACTTTTAATATTTTATCATTATATGCAAACTCAATTAATTATGCACAATTTTTTCGAAATGAAAAATCTGTCACTGGCAGGATTCAAACCGAACGTTGTGGGTTCGAATCCCGCCTGAAACACAGAGTTTATAATTTGAAAAAAATTTGTATAATTATTTGATTTTTTTTTTTTTTTAACCAGCAGGGCCTAAAGGAGCTTTCTCACTAATTTTGGGGATAAATTTATATTCCCCAGAAATTGTGGATTTGTTAAAAAGTTTAGCTAAGATTGGGATTAGTAGTATAATTGGAGGTATGTTATCAGGACCAGGATAAGGACCATGGACCGGTATGTTACCATCCCTTATTAATTAGTAATTGTATGATGTTAAAGAAGAATAATTAGAGTAGAGAAATATGAAGTAAACAAATTAACTAATATATTTTATTTATTATTTGTATTTTTTACAGGTCAAAAACACATTTCTTAAAAATACATATACAAAAGTAAGGGGAAAAACATACAATAAGTAAAATATATATTTCATTCTTCAGCATTTATTGGTGTTGTTATCACTTAAGTACATGGAAGAATTTACAAATTTACAGAAACATTATTATGTGATATTGAGAGTTTTGTATTATTGATGAAATTTGACTGTTAATGAGATTTAAAGAAATTTAAATAGTAGTTGAAGTTAATGTGTTAATCCAAACAATTAGTACACAACAAATACCTAATATTGATGCATAAGAGCTAGATAATTTAACATTTTACAATATGTTGGTTAAAGCTAATTAATGAAAATTAAATAGAAGGCTGGAAGCACAACAGAAAAAAACATTTGAAATTATAATATTCAAGTATTTGATACACTTTTAGAAAAGTTGAGTTAGTTCCAGATGAAGGTTTATTCTTTTGCACTTATAATCATTTACTATTGACCATCACTGGGCAACTGGATTTAAGCATTATAATCTCAAAGCCTCTTTTAAAAATACTGAAATATAATATTTAAAAAAACGTCCACAAAAACCAAAGCTAGCAACACGGACTTTATTTCGATTGTGTTCTTTTACAGAACACTGAAGATTAGAAAATGATTAAAAAAAAGACATGAAATCCAGACTAGGTAGGCCAGGTTGATCAGGAATGTTCATTTTACAGATTGTTAGTTTTTAAGAACAATTCAATTTTGACCAATGCATTTTCTCCCTCTGACTGGGTACAAGTACACACTTAATGTATAATTACATTAGTTCTACACTTAATTATATGGATAATCCCATCTTAACTTAAGGGTGCAGTTCCTTGGCTCCATATAGAGAGCATGCAGGAATGCCATCCTACCTGAGAATTTTGCTTTAGCAAGGCAGCGAATATTTGAGTCCCTTGTTCCAATTTGTGGAGGAAACAGGGCTGTTAATAGTATGAAGTAATAATAGTTTATGTTGAGAGTGAGTGTGAGTTTATTAGTGTGTATGTGAGAGGGTCGATGGCGGAATATTGAGTATTCCATCACATCCAACTGTATTGGCCAATCTTGTAGTTTAACTGCTCTTTTGCAACCCACACAACAGGATAATGGGTATGTAATTTTGTTTTTGAACCTTTGACCCTCAGTTTGATTAATTTCATAATATGTGTGTGGAGGGTGATGGAGGAATATCAAGTATTCTACCACCCTGAGTGAATGGTATGTAAATAGGGAGTGAACGTATTTAAGAATGAATGTGTGTATGAATTGGTTTTGAACTGCATGCTTTGGGTCTGAATTGACCTAGGTTGACATCACCTGAAGCATAATCTCAGAGGCTGGACCAAGGTCTGCTCCCGGACTGACAACACTCAGGGTGGGTGATTCTCGAATCTGCCGGTGGACTGCGAGAAGCGAATAGGCTCAACTCGGCGCATGTTTGTATGTGTACATGTGCAGATTTGAGCCTATATAAATCCAAAATACCCCCAAAAATTATATACATAAACCATGACTTATCACATAACTTGTTATGTGAACTGACGATACATTAACTTTGACAACCAAATATGATTAATCCTATGAACACTTTAGTACATTAAATTTTATAGATAACATCAATAATTGAAATTAAATTGTAAACAAAAATAATGAATATTAATTTTTACAAAGTGTATACGTATGCATCAATATTTTATTATTCTTTATTGGTAATAAATTGCATTAAAATTTTCTCAATGAGCAGTGATTTTCAGACCTGTTAAGATTCCTTAATGAAAAATTAAAACGTTAAAATTCTTAAAGAAAATGCTCGTTTGTATGAACAATGGAAGAATTAAATCTTTTTTATTTTTCAAATATCGAGATTTTTATTATTGTGCATCTAGATATACATCAAGATGCAGTAAGTTTTGTTATCTGATTAGAGGTCAACTGACAACTTGTCTGAGAAACCTATGTTGAGGTTCTGTTGCAGACTGTCAGTTACTCAGTTAGTTTCATTTTCTTTAATGATTAATTTCTAAGGCGTGTGTCAACTTCGTCGGATCTCGGCCCTGGGCTGGCCGAGTTGCTGGATTTCAGGCCTTGACCATCCATTCGTGTCGAGATGAGGCCGGAGTTGGGATTTTAAATTTAGAAGGGAACATTAAAAATATTTTTAAAAAATTTAAAACAGGAATAAATTGCAGGATGTTGAACGGCGATAGACTTTTTGTCCGAAAGACAGTCCAACAACTCGCGAGGTCACTTGCTGCCATAAAAGATGCACCGTGGGAAAAGGTATGTCCTATTTATTCGTATTCTTTTTTGAAGAATTCAATTGTTTAGTTTAATATTCTTTAATTTATCGAAAACAAGCAATCATTTCGAGTTGTCTTGCGATTTTGTTTCAATAGAAAGACAATCCTTAAGACTTCAAAAATTTCTTGTCAATTGAAAGTCTTGCAACGTATGTACATTTTGGGGCTTAATCATACTTTGAGCTTCAATAGTCATTGAGTCTTAATTCATCGAATTTTACAACTGTGTTAAAATCAATAGTTGTTTTTCTTTAAGGATTGTCCCAAAATATTTTCTCTTAAAGAGGATGCTGTCGGGGTTTCTTCGGCTTTGCACAATGTACATCCTGCCTGTTGACTCTTCACTGTCTGGTCAAGAAACTTGTAATCTGAGTTTCTTGCTGATGCCAGTTTTATATATTGTTATTTCTTGTTTCCAAAATTGTGCAAGGATATTTTTCAATTACCTGTGTCCAATAAGAGATCATTGCTTTCTCCATGTCTTCTGCTCTAAAAATGTATCCATATCCCACAGAATGGTTCAAGTCTGATGGGGGATTTGATCAGTTGAAAGATCTTGCGACATATGTACATTTTGGGGCTTAATCATACTTTGACCTTCAAGAGTCTTTTAGTCTTAATTCAACAACTTTACCAATATGTTAAAATCAATAGTTGTATTTCTTTTATGATTGTCCCAAAATATTTTCTCCTAAAGAGGATGGTGTCGAGGTTTCTTCGCTTTGCACAATGTACATCCTGCCTGTTGACTTTTCACTGGTTGGTCAAGAAATGTGTTGTAATCTCAGTTTTTTGCTGATGCCAGTTTTATATATTGTTATTTCTTGTTTCCAAAATTGTGCAAGGATATTTTTCAATTACCTGTGTCCAATAAGAGATCATTGCTTCCTTCATGTCTTCTGCTCTAAAAATGTATCCATATCCAACGGAATGGCTCAAGTCTGATGGAGGATTTGAACAGTTGTAAGATCTTGCAACGTATGTACACACTGGCAGTTAATCCTACTTTGACCTTCAAGAGTCATTTAGTCTTAATTCATTGAATTTTGCAACTGTGTTAAAATCAATGGTTGTGTTTCTTTTAGGATTTTCCTAGAAGGAAGGATCTCATTAACAGGGGTTCTACTGTAATTAATATTGGGATTGAAATCTACACCCTCATGGTGAAGCCAGATAAATCAAATTTTGTCAAAATGAGATGAATGAATATTCTTGTAGGTCCAGGCTTGACTGTTTATAATTGTTAAAGCCAAAAAGGAAATAATTTGCTTCATTTCAATAATTCTACTTATCTATTGAAAACTAGAATAACTCATAAACCTATTTACTAATTGAATGAATGAAGTTGATTTTATAAACTATGAACCCAATAAAACCAAAAGTTAATACAGGTTTAATCTTTAAAATCTCTATTTTGAAAAGTGGTTTTTGGACTCCAGTTTTGCCCAGAGAGTGCGGAAATATGCCCACCTCTGTACATTCTTGCATTCTAGATCTATCAATGCACCAACTTCCTCAAAAGCGGTTTGTCTCCATTCCCACTTGTTTTTTACTACTTAAGTGGGTCTGTAAATTCTGTTAGAAGTAGATTTCTTGTTTCTTTCTCTACGATTTTATATTATATCACTTTTCTGTGGTATTATGTCAAACTTCTTTCCTAAAAAGATTCCAATAATATAATTAGTCATGAATAATTCAGGGTATAATATTATTAATTGTGTAATTTTGCTTGTTCATGTTTCTTATGGCCATTTAATGCCCCCTCATTAGATCTTTTCTGTTCAAAAATGATCCAATAAGTTAATAAAGTAATTTTATTTTGCTACCATTCCTGATTTTTTTTTTAAGCTAAAACTGTTAATACCCTTTCTCATCATCAATTTGATTTCCTCTCATTTCGCTCCACTATGCAAGGGCATCGTGTTGTGGACATCATTTCATCCTCTCTTAAGCAGAAACAGATTGCGTAGTGTCTTTCTTAAGTGTTCGGTTGGTTTGCTTTTGAAGCTCAAGGGCTTTCTTCCTTTCACATACCTTTAAATAATAAATTCATATCTGGCAGACCAGTTTTCTTTTTATATTCTTATTAAAGTGGTGGGGGAGCATCCAAGGACCTCTAGCCAGCCGACATCCCTGTTCTACCTAACAACATTATATGCTCTTTTGCTGATGACAGCCATTCTGTCATCTTATCCTTCCTAGTCATAATACCCCACTCCATTTAAACCTTATCCAGTCTTGGTCTCAGAAATGGAGAAAAAAATTAATGAAATTAAATCCACCCACATCACCTTTACTCCCTGAAAATCCACTTGCCCTACTGTCTATTTCAATAAAAAAAACCCATCTCAACGTCCGATATTGTGCACTACCAAGGAAGAAACGAATCAATGCTACAAATTACTCCTTAGGTTACCTGACCTTTCATCAAACGTACACCTCACTTACATACCCACCATTTACGAATATATTTATAATATGGGCATATGAAATTCAAGTTTGGAGATCAATGAAAAAATCCAATTCTTGTACAAATTTAGTTCGTTCAGTCAAAAACACCATGGAAAATATTAAACTCTCCTTTTCACATTTCAACCAAACAATCCACAATGGCCTCTAGATCCCATTTTTAATTTACATTATTAATTCCCGATACATAAACTTCAACAAAATTTTGAAACCTTCACCCCAATCCATTTGTTCAATTTTCTTGTCCCAAGATTCTGGATATTTCACACACCGTTTGAAACGTCTTTGGCCGAGTGATTGATTGACTCAGTATAAATGTCACTGCTGGATGACTTCTTTTATCATGTGTAACATGCTAGACTTTCATTATGTAATTAATCTCATTTGCTTGTTGCGACTAAAAATCATAGTTGTAAAAAACATAACAAATAATTCAAAGTAAAATAAGTTCAAAAAATTATTAATTTTTAGGTCAGTACCATTTACAATCTTTGCCCCCAAGAAGTTTCCCAGGGCGTTTACGTCTTAGACCAACGGAACCAGGATGCTGTTATTGCACTTGGGCTTTACCATCTTGAATCTGGACTTCAGCATTCAGACAAAATTGTTCCTTACTTCCTCAAACTTCTTAAAGGCCTGCCTAAATCGTTATGGCCTGAAGACACTTGGGCATTACCAACTGACAGTAAATATTTTGATTTTCATTTAGATTTTTGTTTCATTTTATTAACTCGCTTTTATTTAATAGGAACACCTCTCCCTGAGAGATTTTCGTTTTGCCTGAACACACTTCTCAGTGACATAGCTGCAAAAGATCCTAATCTGACCGAAGAAATTATATCTTCACAAGTCAAATTTTTAAGTGATTTGACATCACTCATTAAAGCCGATGCTTCTGGTCTTCAAAAATCAGGTTAACTTCATTTTAAAATTTGAAACTACATACAATACAAAGTTTCTGCTATTGATATGATGTTGATATGTTTATGTTGTGAAATTTCAGCATAATAGGGGATTTTACCAACAAATTTCATTTCATACCTACCTTGTTTGTAATTGTGTATACATCACTGCCTAAAATATTATGATTTGAAATTTGACACAATCTTCTGTTATATCAGTTGTCCAACATACCAGAAAACAACTATAAATTTGCATTATTATATTTATATTACAGCAAGTGTTATGTAAATCACTTTCAGAATCGAATGAGTCTGTGGAAAAGAAAATTAATGCACACGGAAACATAATTGATAAAGATACAATAGAAGACATTGATGTGTTTTGGGCAGTCATAAATGAAAACCCAAGTCCTGTTAGCCATTCTGAAAGTCACCGTAGGTCACACTCACTTGTGGTTGAGGTGTTGAATAATGTCATTGACAATATGAAAATTAAGAACTCCCCAGAAAGTGAAAATACTAAGATACTAAGTTTTAACTCCACTATTTTGGATAGCGGTTTAGGAGACGAACTGGAGAATCTGCATTTTGGTAATTGCACATGTAGTAAAAGTAATGTTAATTGATTAGTTTTACTACCAATAAAAATTCTAGCAGCCATCTATCAAACAATAATACACCGGAGAAAAATTGGTGTTATAATATTCTATGAATGGATAAGGATTTATTATCATGTTATACAAAGATTAGTCACATTTAAAATATTTCACATTTTTGAGTTTATTAGTTAAAAATATTATATATTTTTGAGTTTTGACAAAAAATAAAAATGCATTTCATTGCAATTACAACCATTTTGTTTTATCAATAGCTTCTATTATTACCATTCACTACCAATATACCAACGTCAATATATTAGAAATAGAACAGACATTTATACTCAGTTGATGACAATGCAGATAAGAAGCCGTAGGTCACAGGTTCAAGTCCCACTCGTGATACTAATTTTTCATCTCAACCACATCAAAAATTATAAATCAATGCAGATAAGAAAATTGAAATGTGAAGAATAAAATTGATCAACCTTTTAATTATTTTAAATTCAAGATTCATATTTTTAAAAAAATTATAATTTTTAAAATATGAAAGTGGAGAGAAGGTTGAGATTGTAAAATTAATTGTAGAGATGTTGATGAAACCACTGTTGTTAAGAGCACAATAGCTAAAAACCGTTTTGTGTTTTTTGATATTTTCCAAGCAATCTTAGGGTGTTTGGTATATCGCATGGTTTTGGCTCTTAATTCATTCATTATTTAAATAATTATTTTTATTTAAAAAAAACTATATTTTTAAAATCTTTTAAAAATCACAAAAGTTATAATAGCCATTTTAGTGCCATGACATATGATCATAAATATTTGTTGACTGTCATTATGTAGGAGGGGTGTGCAGAATTATTCTGCCCATACTTTTTGGCCTTGCCAGGTCTCTTGGGAGGTTTTCAGGGCAGGATCCACCCCTTCTCTGTAGGATATTTCCAAAACCTGAAAAGCCTACACCCATTACACCAAGACAGCCTTCGGATTCTGGGAAAAAAAAGAGTTTCACAAATTTTCGGTAAATTGGTTTAAAAAAAAAATAACACAAATTTGTCATTGTACTGATGGACATAATTCTTAGGTCTATTATACCAAAGTCTCTTTCTGGAAATCTCAATTTGACAACTTTAGACATTCTTACTTTGAGCTATTTGGACCCATCCTCAGATATGACGTAAGTAGTAAATTTAAGGTCTAAATAAAAACTTAATGTTTTATCTCTTTTTATTTATTTATTTATTTATTTATTTTGTAAAGGGCACTTTGTAGTGGGGTCAGCCAACAGCTGCCGATAACTTACGACCCTACAACTTATTATTTTAGCAAATTTGGCTCTAGTTTTTATCAAGCTACTCACACAAGAATGACTGTAGTTGAAAAACGACCTTCCATACAATTTTCAATTGCCCATTTACAGGTTTTTATAAACATTTAAATAGTGTACATTGTTTAATATTTACATTTTTTATAACCAGATTTTGTTTATTTTAGAGTGTTCTTGCCTGTGCAAAAAAATTATTGACACCAGATCTGCTTGCGACGTTGGATAGCCAGGCATCAACAATTTTTTATTCGGGACAAGTGAGAGTGTTCCCTTACAGAAGTGTGAGCGAAACGCTTAATCTCGTTCTTGTTTCTTTACTGCGTGAGCTCCTGAAATATCAAACAGGTAAACTAACAATCATCGACACATATTCATACAGTTATAACGCTCCAGAATTCTATATTACATTAATTTATGTACTACAATTATTTGATAGCGACAGCCCCAAAATCAGTAGCAGCAGATCGAACTAGTTGGACAGGTAGGGTCGTTAACTGTTTGGGTAATGAAAATTCGCTGCTGCAGAATATTTTTCAAGCCTTGCTGATTAATTTGCATTTTTGTTCTTCCAAATCTGAATCAGTGCACAAATTGCTTTTAAGAGTAAAATTGGGTCTGCCAGCTTTAATTCTCTCTGAATGCTGTTTTTAGAATTTTCATTTTTTATCTGGATTTATCAATAAAAAAAGAATTTTTAGACAAAGAAATCATACTTTTTAATTTAATCTATTTTAAGTTTCTTAGGTGAAAATTTGATAGGTTTTTAATTAAATCAGTAATTTTTTAAGGCGTTGCAAATTATGTTAAAATAAAAAAAATTATGCATTTGAGAATAATAGAATTCTTTATAATAAAGTCAAAACATATAAGCAATCAAATTTAAAAAAAAAATATTTATATTATTTCAATTTGTTTCAAGCATGTCATTTTCAAAGTGAACAATCGTACATTACTACATGCACAACTTATGGTGGCTGCAAAGCATTATAAACTGGTTTATTCTCTTAAACCACTAAGACAACAATTTATATATCACATATTTTTATGTTGGTAGAATGATTCATGGCTTTTAATCTTGCTTTGTTACTATTTCTGTTGAGCATTTACTTTTTAGAACTCAAAATCTGAATATATCACTAATTCATTTTAAGAAATACCTCTCACATTCACTAAACAATTATTTTTCTAATCTTGATCCTTACTTTTGTCCAGAGTGATTTGAGATGCAAAATTTGGCCTGTCTAAATTGGTTTTAACAAACTTTGATTGACTGAATTGAATAACATTTTTATTCACTTATTATTCTTATGATTGTTTATTGAGACCAGTAGGCAAGCTGGTTGTTATACTTTCCTAACAAGATTTTTTTTTAATCAATAAACAAATTTTTAAGTTAGGAAACTAAGACTTGTTCTCAAATTAATTCAACAATTTTATAAGTTCTAAACATAATCAGTTAGTTTGAGTGCAAATAAAACGTTTATAAAATTGGTTCACTAAATGTTCCATATTTTAGAAGCTTGGTTTTTATTTTGAAGAAACCAGGGGTGTTTAATTGTTTTAGTACTATTAAATGACTTTCATGCAGTATATTTGATCTTTAAAAATATTTCAAAATTTAATAGATAAAATATGTACTAAATGATTATTCTTTCCTCTAGATTTACCGGCACCGTTTACAAAAGACGTGCAAGAGTTTGTAAAAGGGCTTTTCCTATGTGGACAGACTGAGCTTCAGTCAAGGCACCACGACGCCAGTGAAAAAGAAGAGCGAGAAAGCAACGTTGTAACTATCAACAAGTTCAAGCTTAATATCCTCGCAAATTCTGCATGCGTGGATTTGCTCGTCTGGGCAATAGCGGACGAAGCAGGTAAAATCATTGTTTATTTAAGCCAGTTTATAAAGAAATGTGACAATAAAACAGAGAATTATTGCAGCATCTTGCAAGGAAAGCCCTAGCGTTATGATCAGCATTCTTTCTGCTCAAATCAACTGCACAGGTTCAGAATGATTGTCGGTTAAAAACACAATCGACTCTTTATTGTGTGAAACTAATGATTGCTGTTGATTTCGGTCAAGCATGTATTTTAACAAATGCTTGGATCTTGAATATTCTATACTTTGTACTCAGTATATACAGTGAAACCTCCATTATGCAGGGTTCAATTATCCAGGAACCCAATTATCCCCCCCCCCCGGGTCTCGGTATATGTATACTGTGCGTACATGTATATTTTGCATAGCAACAAGTCTCTTCTGATTTAGGGACTGTACTTTGTCTTGTGACTACGAAGTTCCCAATCAGTTTGTTTACATTGATTTAAAATTTAAAAAAAAGAAAAGAAAACGCGTCATTCTCACAATAGAACAAAAATTTGATGTTGTGCATAAGGGTAAAAAATGTGAGAAAAAAATTAGCCAGAAACTTTTTTGTTGGTGAACAAACCATTCTCAATATTATGAAGAAAAAAAAATGTGCACATATAATTGACGTGACTTACACACATAATTACATTGTAAATTACATAATCATTAAATGAATACTTTTTGTTACATACATATTAATAAAATATTAATAATAATGAAAGTAATATTGTTTATGCATGTCTTCTTAATTTGAATATTAAAAAAATAAGTTCCATTGGCCAGTGTTTTTGATTTTCTGTGGGCTCCTCCCTGTCATTCCCATGGATAATGGAGGTCCACTGTACTTCATACTTGCTGAAAATTTCCTAACTCAATGGGCATGTTTCAGAATTTATTTTTCATTAATTGAGCATAATGAAATTTTATAGATTTTACAAGTTCATCAAAAATACAAAGAAAATACTTTTACATTACATTAATATTTTATTATGTCATTATGTCGTAGTTTGTTTTGTTTAATTTCTTATGTTCATCCTTCCGGGTTTTGATCTCCAAAATTTTACTTAAAAAGTGTAAAAATTCCATGCTTTTTTAACCTATTGGAAAATTCTGTAACTTGCCCTCAATCCTTTTTGAGACTCTTAATCCTCATTTTATATAAGCAGGGTGAATCAATTCTCAAACAAATCAAGCTCTGTTGCTTTTTTTTACAATCAGAATGCTTGTATTTAACTGAGCTGAGGGCTTAATAAACTGTTAATAACTGTGAGAGAATAGATTTTGTAAATTTGAATATTTTAATAATGATTTACTTTTAAATTAGGCGCTGACAGTTTATGTGGAAGGCTTACGGAGAAGATAAATTCAAACCACAACATGAAACTTGTCCTTGCTCATATGCCTCTCCTTATGGTTTGCCTGGAGGTAAGAATTAATTCCATACATTACTATATCAGGTATTTCCATAAATCATTTATTTGAATATCGGTCATCAAGAAGTACCTTAAATCAGAAATCAATTTTATTATTTTAATAGTGTTCAGTAAAATTTTATACAATTTTATTCTAAAAGTTTTACTTCATATTGTTCATCTTTGTTTCATTTACTATATTAAATTCAGTTTTAAAATAGGAATTTGCAAAAGTAAGTTAAATAATGTATTTTACTTAGCTAAAAATTGGTTTTGTTGTAACTAATTATGTATTCAGTTCTAAAAAGACATTGCCTCACAGTAACTTTAAAATCATATACAGTGTTCTCCCAGTAATCCAAACTTAATTGTTGCAGAGGTGTATTCTGGTTTCTGAAAAATTCGGATTATAGGGGGTGTTAAAAAATACATACACATATGAAAAAAAAAAATCAACACAACACTTTATTATTATTCCATACACAAAACCTATTAGAATACATTTTCTCACTCACTTATTTACTGTTTCTCTCTCTCTCTCTCTCTCTCTCTCTCTCTCTCTCTCTCTCTCCTCTCTCTCTGTCTATCTCTCCCCCTCCCCAATAATGTTTTATTTGTTTTCTTTATAATTCTTTAAAATGTCTTGAAGGTTTGTCAGTTTGGGGTACTGAAGTTCGGATTAGGGAGAGAGCGCTGTAGATTAATTTGGCATTTTGTTTTAGTAGGGAAAGAACATAAAAGTTTGTAAATTGTGATTTTGTTTTGTTTTATTGAAATGTAATTATTTATATTACAGGGCCTTGGTAAATTAGCCGAAAAATATCCTAACATCGCAAACACTTCAATACATTGTCTCAGGGATTTTCTCGTTTCACCATCACCCATAATTTCAAAACTATTCAGGCTTCATTGTGAAAAAAGCCTTTCTCACGACGCACAAGGTATTTGGTTATTCAGTTTAACAAATTTACAAAGAATGTCGAAGAAAAATTGTTTCTCTGAGAAATTGGTTTTAATGTTATTAATTTTAACATCTACATTTTAACCATCCTTGTGAGTTCAGTGTTTTGAAAAACCTAGTCCAGAATATAATTCTCGAGTAAAATATTTTCAAAAAGTTTGAATGAATAGTATTAGCATTATTTAAATGAAAAAGCAACTTTTTTTTTATTGTGAATCATACTAAAATTACTAAGTATACATACATCAAAACAATTAAATTTATTTTGAAACACTAATTTATCTACTTATTAAATATTAAAATTGTTCTATTTTCATTTATCCCATTATGTTTCAAATATTTTTCTCTTCTTTTTTTTTCTAGTTGGAGGCACAGCAGGAACTCTGTGTGATTGTTGTCATTCTCCATTTGAAAAACTGAGGGATTCAGCTATCGAGAATCTCTGTTTGTCGTTGAAGTCTGCATTCAGAGTTGATCCATATTGCATTCCAGCCTTAGTCGCCTCACTTTCCAATAGGCTCTACACTACCGAAAGTTCTGAAAGGTGCTCTTGTATTTGCTCAATTAGTGATTGGCAAATTAGTATTTAATATATAGATAAATTAGTAGTTAGAGAAGTTTTGACCAATTGCAAAAATCGCTGTTCCGATACGTTTGATCCTTTTAGAATTAATTCAAGTTACATTTCAGTGATAGTGCTCTTATTCCAAATAACACAATCGTAATGCTCGGCCATATAGCAGTCGCCTTGAAAGATACGGGAAAAACTACTGAGACAATATTGCAGTTTTTTCAACAAAGACTTTGCAGAGTGCCTTCACCAACTGATGTTTTAATTGTTGATCAGTTGGGTTGCATGGCCATGTCAAAATGTGAGGTAATTATTAAAATGAAGGCAAAATGAAAACAATAAATATTTGTACTTTTTTAAATATATTCAAACAATATAACTATTATGTATTTCTTTATTAATTTCTTCTACTTTTTAGCCAAATGTTTATGAAGAGATAATGAAAATGTTTGTCCAAATAACTGTTGAAGCTAGTAATGCAGCGTACTCGAATGATGTCAACAATCACCAATACAAGTATGTGTGTGTTTGCATATTTTTTTACGCTATTATTTTTAAATAATGCTAAATGTGTAGACATGTTTCTGGTGCTGTGATAAATGCATTGGCAAATATTGCTGCCAATATACAAGGTGAACAAGAAATGTCCGAACTTTTGGTGCGACTGATGGAACTTTTTGTTCAGCTGGGGCTTGAAGGAAAGAGAGCTTCTGACAAAGCTCCTACAAATAAGGTAAATGACATGTGAACTTCCAATATTGGCAAAAATAATACCATGTAAATCAATTTATTAATTATTTATTAAAATGATGTTTTGATAAACACTAGTGGTGGTATTTAAAAAATGGTTTATTAAGTTCAACATCCATTTTTTCAGTGATTTTATCTTGAAAATTGTTTGTTTTGTTTAAGTAAATTTCTAGGGTTTAAAATGTAAAATGTTTGTAATTAAATTTACAGGCTTCGAGTAGTGCTGGAAATCTTGGAATGCTTATTCCTGTCATCGCAGTACTTGTACGTAGGCTTCCCATTATTAAGCAACCCAAGCCGAGGCTTTTGAAGCTCTTCCGTGATTTTTGGCTTTATTGTGTTGTCATGGGTTTCACGACTCAATCAGGTGCATAATGTGCCTTACTGTTATTTTTAAAAGTTATCTAAAATATTTTATTTTTCTTCAGGTTTGTGGCCAAATGAATGGAGGCAAGGGGTTGAGCAAATAGCAGTCAAGTCTCCTTGCTTAGTCGGACATAGTACAAGGTCTGAGTTACGACAGTTACAGTATACGTCTGCAGTCAGAAACGATTCTGTATCAGTTGTATGTATCTCGGTCGTTTATTTTTGGCTGTGTAACATTTTATTTATTTATTTTAATTTTTTGTAGACACAATTACAAGAATTTAGAACACAAATTTTGACATTGTTGGAATATCCAACAGAGATAACAGCTTATGTGAACAAACTTTCATTCGCTCAATGCTTATTTCTCCTATCAGTTTATTGGTTAGAAACACTCAGAGTGCAACATTCTCAAGAGCCGAGTCTTCAGCCAATTCTTGAATATTTAGTCGACCAAGCATTGATAACGGATAAAAGCGGGATGTGGCTTTGTGTCGCCAGGTATTTTCCCCATCCACCGAGTAAACGTTATATTTTTTAAAAAAATCAATTTTAATTTTTTAATAGTGTTGCAGATCGTGTGTTTATCATGTTTCTCGATTCGATGTCACAAAAGCCCAAAGATGAAAACAGAGAAAGGGAGTTGGAAGACCATGCTATTTTTCTCTTGGTGAATTTCAACCATATACATAAACAGATTCGGAGGGTCGCTGATAAATATCTGTCCGGATTGGTTGATCGGTTCCCACACTTACTCTGGAACAGTAACGTCCTTTCTAGAATGCTTGATATGCTTCATGTGCTTTCTTCTTGGCTTGAGCTGGATCCGAACAACCCCACCCCGATGCTCCAAGTCCCAAACACACCTTACAGTCTCCAGTTGATGGATACTCCTGAAGCAAGAGAAGTAAGTTTAGTTATTTCTATACAGAATACTTCGTACTTGGCTCATTTAAATTATATAAACTTAAGTCAAAAATAACTTTTATGCAATATGCTACTTGTGTACAAAACAAAAATAAACACACGTTGCCATCATGCACATTCCGGATTTAGTTTCCAAAGAAAGACTTTTGTTTTCTTCTTTTATCTATTCCATTTTCTTCAAAAAGAATCATTGAGTACCAGATAACCATAAGAGTTGGTGCAAATGTGTAAGTTCATAAAAAAGAAAAGTAACTTGAATAGTTGTAAATTATGAAATATTTTCTTTCTTCTTCAAAACCCATAATTCGCTATGTGTATTTTATGAATTTTAGCTCGATGCTAGGGTGGCCGAGGCAGCTCATAAAATTTCTCTGCCTCAGTGATAAAATAGTAAGTGAGCACTGTCCAAAAGTGATTCAAAAAGTTTAAAAAATTACTCCACCACACTCAAAGCATCATTGAGTTTGGTGGAGTAATTTTTTTTTTTTAATTTTTGAACCATTTCTGGACAGCGCGCTCACTTATTGTTTCATCAGTGCATGTTTTATAGCGACTTCGGCCGTCATATTACCGAGCTAAAATTCATACATTAACATGTATGAATTATGGGTCGTGAAGCCATAAGAAAGAAAAAAATTATAATTTATAATAACCTTTTCAAGACACTTTTTACAAACTTACACATTATCCTCTTGGTATTACGTGATGTAAACAATTAATCCTCCTATGTAAATAAAAATGTTAATTAACAATATTAAAACAATTAAAAATGAAAAACCGCACGGACTTTTCTGGTTCCTGGTATATCACAAAGTTGGAAAAATCATTACTAGACCAATTGCTGAAGATGGCAAATTGTCAAACATGTCTGCCAATTGATCAGGGAAACGCAAATCTAACACTAGCGATTCATAATTTGTAATGGTTTAATTGAGAATTGCATTAGGCAATTAAAAAAATGGTTCTAAATCTCTCTCTTCAGTTCGAATCTAATATGTCTAAAAATATAATTATGCAAAATAAAATAAAATAAAAACCTTACTGGTGAGAAATAAAAAAATGGATTAAATTCTTGAGAATGCAGACTAGTATAAAAATAATAATAATAATTTTTTTTTAAATGCTGAAAACGCAAAGATTGTCCCTGGTCAGAAGGCAGAGCTAGAAGGATTCAAAGCCGTCTGCTGGCATATCGTGCTGATTCCCTTGTTTCTTAATTTTAATTTTAAACGTCACAAATTAATATTAATAACTTATTAACTTAAGTGTATATATGAAATTGAGACTTGACTACAAAAATAACATGAACTGTCAAAAAAGAATATTAACATATAATTAAAAAGTTCATAAAAATTCATATTTTTTCATGTTTGCACTGGCCATTTACAATTTTATTTGTGTATTTATTTTTGCCAAATGTTTTCTCAGTTTAAAGAAATAATTCTTTAAGTATAGCTGATTGATGTTCCCGTTTACAATTACTTTTTTAGAGTAAATATACACTTAACTCCAAAAACATTCAATCAAAAAATTCTCTAGATCATTATTCCTATGATGCAATTTCCAATACTTCCTAAGAATCTTAGAAGATACCCAAGTTACCAAAACTTGAAAGTGAGTCTTAATATCGATAGCATTGTTTTTAAAATATAGTTAAGATATTGTTTTCAATAGCCTAAGAAACACTTTTTGAGAGAAATAAAGGAAATTTCTGGTAAAGCGGCTTTTAAGAAGTCAAAGTCCAAGGGTGTTTTGCCTTTTCTTTTTTGCCGTAGTAAATGGAGAAACAATCACAAAGAAAGGCGTATTTTTGCACTTTTTGGCCAAAATCCCGTAAAAGAAAAAGTGAGTTTTCTTCTGTTTGCTTTATGTTAACAATGTTTTGTGAAATATATAAGCATTATAATTTTTTTTTAAACAAAAACTTATTACAGCCAATTCCTCTCCTTTACCCTCCTTTATTGGTGTTAAAACCTGAAAAAAGTATAATGATCTTCAAACAAATATGCCAACGTACGAGACATAAAAGCAGCGTGAGTACTGGAAACTTGAATTAGGTCAATAATACTTGTAATATAAGCCCTGTGATTTTAAATCCCCAGGCTTAGTTTATTTCCCTTAAAACATACATACTTGATATTCTACATTTAAAAGATTTTTTTCCAAATTACCATGAAAATCTCATTTCACTTTCAATTCAATCAAACATTAAAAATGCGCTTACTTTAAGACATACATAATTTTGACATACACATAAAGATTTATCCTCCATTTCGCAACAGGAATATTATCTTGCATCAGAATACCACATAGCCCACAATGTTCACGATCTTGCCCCGATGCATTCTAAAGAAGATATAAAAGTGAGTTTCTAGTAAAAGCTGGTATAAAAGACACTGGGTACTGATTTTGTTTTTGATTGTTTAAAATGTATGTTATAGAATCTATGATAATCCTTATAAATGAAGTTTTTTTAGAGCATCGTCAACGATTACTCTGCTCGTTGCTGTGGCATTATTCAAGAGGCAATGAAATGGGCGCCGAGTGCAACAAGATCCCACCTACAAGACTATTTAAATGAAAAAGTGAACCTTGGTGAATTTGAGGACATGTCAGTTTCTAACAAACGTGCTAATATTCAATCAGCAGTCTTGGTATGTAATTTTTTTTTTAATTTAATTTTAATTTAAATGCCCCCTCAGTTGGGTGCAACTGATCTGACAGGTACGGGCCGCAAACTTTTCTTACCCCCTCCCTACCAATGTGTCATCAGATCCTGTCCTTTAAAAATAAGGATTCATTCATTTACAATATACATACAAATGTGCAAAATTAACTAGATGTTTCAGGCTCTTGCTTATGTATTCTTTAACATAAAAGCTTACATTATTTACTAAGTAATATTGAGAAAAAACTACACTTAACCAAAAGATTAAGAGGTGTTGGTGGCCACAACGGTTCAGGTTTGAACACATAATATGGCGCTCATCACTGTAAGGTAAAGGGTCCCAGGTTCAAATCCAGTGGCATTCAAATCCAACATACTTACAAATGTCCCCCCCCCCAAAAAAAAAAACCTGAGGGTTTATATAACTTCGTAGTTGAAATAGCCTCATTTAAAAAACAAAAATGAAATTGTAATAGGACTATATTCTCTTATGTTTATATTTTTATAATTGAGTAAGCTATATTATAATTAACAGTCTCATTTATATGGTTGTATGTTGATGAGGGTTGTTCGCCCTTGATTTCACAAAATTTTCTCTCTCCCAGTAAATGTATGTGGATATGCTAAGGACAGAGGGCATATAATCACTAGCAGTACACCTGTAAAATGCACCCACGATTCTCAGACATTTGTTCTGTGCAATTTGGAATTTGTCATAATTGGATTCACACCAAACTGGGCATACGTAAGTAAAAAATGGGCTTTACATAGAAGATAGAAGAGGTTTTAGTTCTTTATATTAGGTCAGATGGTTTTTCTCAGTAAGTTTGAAAATTTATGCTGGACCACAGCCATCAGGGCCTTACTATCTCAGCAACAAACAAAGTGACTTTGTGAAGACGCTGTGCCTGAAGTTTGGATCTGGACAAAATATAACAGTGGTTAATCGGTTTAGTGACTGATCTCAATGATTTGAAAACAAAGAAACTTTCTTATGTTGAAACTGACAGAAAAAAATAAAAGGCAGTTGCCATCCGCCTTTGTAAACATCAAGGGAAGAAAATCAAACGCCAGTGTGTTTGGGTTCAGGAATTTTTATGTCTGGAATTGATTATGTTATGCCCATTTCAAAAATTTATTACTTTTTGTGTAATACTTAATTTTTTTCTATTTATTATACAAACCTATAAAGCTAAGTGGTTAATTTTGGGGAGTTAAAATTAAAATAGGTAGCTAAGAACAGCCAATTTCAAACCAGTGCCTGCTAGGTACAATGCACCCAAACTGAGAGGGCCTGACGGAGGAGCAATAAATGAAAATAAATAAATAATAATAATGTTTTTATAGAGTAGCACCATGGAAAAGCAAGGTGGAAGTCAAAATACACCTCTTTTCGTCTGCTCAGTCAGCAAGAGGGCTAAGTTTTCGGGGCAGGTTTCGGGTATGCTGCAAGGGCCACAGAACCCAGCAGATATCACTAAAAAGTTGATATCAGATATTGAAAAGACTTTCATAGAAAATGACAACCAAGCACATCATGATGCCCTTTGGAGGGCCACCGCCCTCCTCACTTCACTAGAAGGTACATTTTATTTTCAAATAACTTTTGTCGTTGTGAAGACATCTATAACGTGAATATGATATATTGATTTTTAGAGACAGACAGGCAACTGTTGCATATTGTCGCTTGGTCCCAAGTCTATCTGTTCACATCCGAAGCCGTATCTACTGCTGTTCAGTGTTGGCAATGGCTTATTTCAGCAAGGCCGAGCATTGAACTCATATGGCTGGAAGAGATGATCACCGCCTGGCAGTATACCATTGACAAAAAACTAGGGCTTTTTTCTGAGGACGAGGAAGAATGCAGTCCATTAGCACCTCACGAAGAGTGCATACTTGAGCCAAAACCACCTTTCGTTAAACCTCATGACATCTGGATACAGGTTATTACGTTAATTGTAATTTTACTTTTTTCGCCACTTATTTGTTTCTTTGTTGCAGTTTTTATATGAATTAGTAGAAACAGCAAAATACAGTAGCAAGGAAAAAGTTGATATGCTTGTTTCCCTGCTGCACAGATCTTTGCCAATGGTCGTAGGAGGTAATGAAGCTCATTTGAACAGACATATTTCTGCTGCAGCACCAAGATTCAGGTAAATAATATTTTTAATAAGTTTGCAAATACACAGCTGTCTCTCTCAAGCCGTATTTTTAAAACTCAATGTTAATTTGACTGGAAACAATAACATTTTCCATAATCTTTTAAGTTGATTTGAATTGACACTAAATTAATTCATGTAGTAATATAACATATATTTGGTTTAAAGTAGTTTTATTCATAATATAAAATATAAATATTTTTCAATGTACACAAAACTTAAAGTTTAAATAATAGGCATGCTTTATAAACTTAAACCCCACTCCTTGTTATCTTATCCTGAAATCCTAACAGACCTATGTTTCTGAGAGAGGTGCGGCAACGAGTTCTTAGAAGTCATTCAGATACTATCTGGCGACCCACAGGGGAGCATTCTTGGTCTCATCCTTTGTATCACCTACAGTGCTGACCTACCTATACACCCCTGTCATTACCACCTAGCAGACTATACTGCAATTTTGTCCTATACCTCAAATCCTATCCAAGCGACTTCCAGTATCCAAGAACACTTTGAGCTTATTGAAAACTAGTGACAAGACTGAATGAAGAAAAATGTACTCAGTGAAAAACCGTGTTGCCCTCCACTGAATATCAACAACAAAAACATACTGATATTCATTCAAGTCAAATACTTAATACTTTACCTAGAAGCAGACTGACATTGAATCCCCATTCAAGACTTATGAGGCAACAACTCAACAGAAGACTTGGACAACTATGAAGACTTCTAGGACCAAACTTGACTGTCAAAACTAAACCAATTAAGACTTTATTGCGACACTTTGGACATACTGAATGGAACTGTGGGGTTCTGCCAACCCATCCAATATCCAGCGCCTGTCCTTTCAATGAAATCCTCAGACAAATCGTCAAAGTTTATTAAAATGTCACTAACCTCACTATCGACATCAGCCTCAACATTCCTTTTGTCAACGAACTGATCCGTTCTCGATTCCCAAAGTTTCACATCAACCTCTCGATCCATCCTAACTCTACTGCTCTAGCCCTCTCTACACGTTCCCATCCCAAGACCCACCACATCGCCGTAAACAACGATGACCTCGGGACCTTGCCACTAAATCCTTCACACTGAGTGCCAGCATTGGCTGGTTTCTCATGGCATGTGTCCTCCGGGTACAGCGCTGGCATTAGTGTTGGTGTTGTGATAGTGTGAAATTTTTTTTATCATGTTTGTAATATTTTTTGTACAAACAAATTCTTTTTTATTACTATCTTTTCCCCTTTTGTTTTAGACTGTTGAGTTGTGCGATATCTCTCCTTCAAAGTGATGTGTTGGCTAGATCTTTAAGTAAAAATGTCCTCCGTGAGAGAGTATATTCGACGTGCCTTGATCATTTCTGTGCTCCTTCAAAGTGCCCCACTCAGAGCCCGCTCCAGTTACAAGAGGACATCTCGGCTCTAATTAAATTCTGGCAGACGATGCATTCTGACAAGAAATATCTTATGGCTTCAGTCATAGGAGATTTTGATGTTAACGGAGCAGGTGAACACTCAAACATCCTCATTAATAACATTTCAACCACCCTTGGGACCGATCTGCCCCGCCCGAATTCAGCCTCGGGGTGGATTAACACAGTTCCACTCTCGGCGTCGACAAGCACATTGAGCAAGAAAACAGCGAGGTCGAAACGACAAGCAAACACCGGGGATCTATTTGTAAAAGATTACATTAAAAAAAGGAATCTGATACTGGATTTACTTGTTAGTCTTACTAACGTTTTTTTTAATAATAGATTATAAATTACATACAAACTCTTGCTTTTTGTTAGGCTGTTGAAATTGAGCTGTTGATCACTTGGTGCAATCCAACTGGAAAAGCTGAATTATTCTTTCCAGGAGAAGAAAATATTGCAAATTGGAAATCAAAACCTGTTCTTGATCGGGGCTTAAGGGACATCACAAGATTAGCTTGGGATTTAAGTCCTGTTTTAGCAGTTTTTTTACCAACAAGGTACGTAAAAGGCATAGCGAACGAACAGCAGGCTGAGTCTGCTAGGCGATGAACCGGTAGTTTTGTCATTTGTAATCATAACATGACAGAAACGACCAAAACTACGTAAATATTTAATATTTAAATTGTTCTCAATGTAAATACATATTCTAGGCTAAAATCTTCTGAGAGTATGGTTAAAGAAATATGCAGACTAGTTCGATCAAATCCATCTGCAGTCTCACACATACCACACGCGCTGAAATACCTTGTCACTACAGAAACCATCCTAGATGATGCTCCAGAAGTATATTTCGTTGTTAAATCAATAATATAATGTATAAGGAGGTAGTGATAGATAAATCTTTCTAGCTCTCTCATTGTCTTTCTTGGGCACGAGTCAGTCCGGTGCAGGCGCTTTCTTATTTCTCAAGACAGTATCCACCACACCCTATAACAGCACAGTATGCAGTACGCGTACTCAGTAGCTATCCGGCAGATGCAGTTCTATATTACATTCCACAACTTGTTCAGAGCCTTCGACATGATACTGTGAGTGAACTGTGGTAATTTGCCTATTCTTATTAAAAAAAATATAAAAAAATAAAATTCATGTAAAATCTGATTTCAGAGTATTTTTTTGTCCAAATTTATTATACTTATGCTATAGTATGTATGCTATCATTTAAAAGAAAATTATTGTGAAAATGATTTCAAACATATAACTATTTTAAATAAATCAAAATTCATTTTTAGATGGGCTACGTAGTCGAATTTATTAAATATATAGCGAAGAAATCTCAGGTCGTTTGCCATCAGCTTATTTGGAACATGAAAACCAACATGTACATCGATGAAGAAATGCATCATAAAGATGGTATCTACTATTATTATTATTTTATTTTTTAATTAGACAAAATTTTAAAATTTGTTATATTCATCTGTTTCCAGCCCTCTTCGATACGTTGGACGCACTTGTGAAGTGCATTGTCGGAACTCTTTCTGGCCCTGCTAAACAATTTTATGAAAGAGAATTCAATTTTTTTGACCAAATTACAGCCGTTTCTGGAAAAATACGACCTTTTCCAAAAGGTAGTAACACTATAGCACAGTATCCTCTATATTTAGCTCTATAATAATTTTGTAACATCTGCCTTTACATTCAAAATTTATTATTCTAAATGAATAGCATAATAAGCAACATAAAGAAAACTTTTGGCATAGGTTTATCCCAATATTTTCAATTATGTCCAGCCTCTAATTTAAAGAATTTTATTTTTGTCTCGTGTCTATTTGCAAATTAGGAGCAGAACGTAAAAAAGCATGTCTCGATGAATTGAGCCTCATTAAGGTTCAAGAAGGATGCTATTTACCGTCAAATCCCGAAGCGATGGTCTTGGACATCGACTATAAAAGTGGTACTCCAATGCAAAGGTGAGCACTTGTGATGTTAAACCAAAAGAACAATTTATTAAATTATTATTTTTTATATCTAGTGCTGCTAAAGCACCTTATCTAGCCAAGTTTTTCGTCCGAAGATGTGGAATACACGAGTTGGAATCAAACGCAATGGCCATTTCATCTGGGGTAGAACGAACACCTGAAAAATCTGTTTCTTCTGTGACAACAATCGAAACATGGCAAGCAGCTATTTTTAAGGTGAGGCTGCATTTAATTTATCAATCTAGTGAGTCTACTAGTTTCTCTAATATTACATATAAAGATAACAGAATTCATGGTATTCATTTTAATAGGGTGAGTCATAAAAAATGATCGATTTAATTTTATGGGAAATTGTAATCCCCTATAGGCTTTATTTGTTTTTCAAATCCAATTAGATATGATATCTCTTTAATATTTAGTCTATACTAAATTAATGTGTAAAAATAAAAATTTTGTCTTGCCTTTAGTTTTGTCTTAGAGTGAGGTTAAATAACATGACAGTTAAAATTTTGATAATATTATACCATTATTGGAAATGTAAGTTTTCTGCCACCGAAAGAACCCATTTGTAATTTAAAGAAGAGAATGCTCTCTCTGAATGGACAGTGCAGATAGTTCCAGAAAATTGAAGCTGGTAACATCAGTCATGAGAGGAAAGAGGGTTCTAGATGAAAATCATCATTTGGTCAGGAAGCTCTGTGGAACTCTGTTCAGGCAAACAACAAACAAAAAGTACTCAGTTATTGGCTTGGAATTTCCCAATCCACCATAAATGATGCCCTGCACAACTTGGGAGAAGTGTATTTTGTGAGTTGACCACTGAGCAGGCACGACGCCAAGTAGAAATTTGTACATCTTTTGACAAACTCAAAAATCTTCAGTTCATCAAAAGAACAGTTACTTGCGATGAAAAGTGGATATATTGGAGAGACCCCAAGGCCAAGAAACAGTGGCTAAAACAATCAGCCTGCTCTACCAATCACTAAACCAGGCCAATTCAACAAAAAGACATAAGGCATAATTCATTAGGATTTCATTCTAAAAGGTTGAGCCATTGAATGAAAACTTTTGTGAGCAGTAACAAAAATGTATGATGTTTTTACCTAGCATTACCCAGGATTAGTAAATAGAAATTGGGTCTTGAATACAAGATAACGCCTGAACACACACTTTTCGTTACACGAAACAAAAAATTACAGAATTGGATGGAATTGAGCTTCTCCCTCACTCTGCTTACAGTCCAGACTTAGCACCTTCTGACTACCATCATGGCTAATTATCATCAAGGAAAAACTTAATTCTCTGTATGAGGTTCCGAATGGAGCTGCAGAATTCTTCCGTTCAAGAGTGGTTTTGTGAAGGAATCCAACACATGCCCTCAAGATGGCAACAAATCTTAGAACCCTACGGGTACAGTATGTATGAATATTGAAAAATTGTGTCAAAATAAAATTGTTTTTAAATTAGCAAGAACAATAGTCGTTTTTATGAATTACTCTATGAATGAATTATGAATTATTTGTTTACTTTAGAAATATCAACAAAAACTGAAATTTAAATGAATAAATAATGTGAATAAAAAAGATTGAAATTTTAAACTTTCGCCATAGGTTGGAGATGATGTGAGACAAGATATGCTGGCCCTACAAGTTATAGGCATTTTTAAAAATATATTTCAACAAGTGGGCTTAGATTTATTTTTATTTCCTTATAGAGTTGTCGCAACTGCTCCAGGGGTATGAAACTTAATTTTATCCATTGAATTTTATTTTTGTCTAATATTGTTTTGCTTTATAGTGTGGAGTTATTGAATGTGTACCAGATGCGAAATCAAGAGATCAGTTAGGTAGACAAACGGATATCGGAATGTATGAATATTTTATCAAAACTTATGGAGACGAAAACACAAAAGAGTTTCAGGTATTTCATTATATTATTTTATTGGATTTTTTAAAATTATTATTATTGGATATTAAATTAAGATGAATATTAAGCTAGAAGAAGGAGCCAGTCTCTTTACGACCTGCACACTGCCACCAATATTCTATTGTGCATCTCCATTATTGTCAGAGCTCTTCATTAAGCTTAAGGCGTTTTTTTAAGATCCCAAAACATTTTCAAGAACTCCCATGTTTTTCCTGTAGGTCCAGGCTTTTCCTTTCCCAGTACCATGAATCTCAGTGTACATAAGCCTTTGCACCAACAGAGGACTTTTTTGCTGTCTCTTTAATCATTTCAGTAAAAATTTACGTTAATTTCAGACCGCCAGACGTAACTTTGTAAGATCAATGGCAGCTTATAGTGTCGTTGGATATTTGCTGCAAATCAAGGATCGTCACAATGGAAACATCATGTTGGATGGTGCAGGACATATTATACACATTGGTAAATGAATTATACGTTTAGAGAAAAAAATAAGACATTATTATCAATAAATTAATTTTAGATTTTGGATTTATGTTTGAATCGTCTCCCGGGGGTAATCTTGGTTTTGAACCCGATATTAAACTGACGGATGAGATGGTGATGATCATGGGCGGCAAGGTTGAAGCAACGCCTTTCAGATGGTTCACTGAACTGTGTGTTCAAGCATACTTGGCAGTCAGGTTTGTAAATTTTTTTTTTTTAATTTTTATTAGAAGAAATTAACAAGTTCAACCAATTATATGTAAAATAATAAATAAAATATAAAGAAAAATAGTGAATTTAATGAATTAAAATGAAGTATACTTCACTGAAGCTCTCTGTGGCCATTTCACTTGTCGCTGAGAATCAAATAGATTACACGACATTTGAAAAATGGCAAAAAGGAGGGAAAATTCAAAAGGGTGGTTGAGATGGGAAGTTAGTGCCTGAGGGGATCGAAGTCACGATAGCTCAAGTGGTAGAGTAGCAGCGTATCATGCCGAAGGTCATGGGTTCGAATCCCGCTCGTGAGAATGACTTTTTTTTATCTCAACTTAAAACCGTAATTAATTGAATGATATTAATTGGTCAAGCGGACCACAAAAAATAGTGAATAATAAAGAAATATATCACAGGGAAAAGTTTTCACATTTATGAATCAACTTCACGATTTTAACTTTTTTGAATGAATTCACAACTCAAGAATATCTCATTTTGAGTTTTGAGCCTGACGTTGATCGTCACAGGTTGAAGTGAATGGTGCAGTTTAGTGACCTAGGTTAACATGGAATTTTTTGAATTTGGTCGTAATAAATTGATGGTAGGAAAGCTTAATTCTCAATGAAGTTGCGTTTCTTACAAACCACGGGCATACCAGTTCTGTGCAGTTTGTTTTGCAATGCTTGGACTCTATTTATTTCCGAGATTGCTGCACTCCCCATACCCCTCACTCCCATATAAGAAAGGGGACGTATTATTGCCTTGAGTGTGCCAAAATGTGTATTTGCGAATGGCAGAATTTTATTTTCGACTTGGTGGACAAAAAGTGCCTTTTTTCTTTTGTTCTGTGGGATGGTTTGGTTGTTGTTCAACTCCAGGAGGGTACTTAGAAAACGTTGGGAAAAAATTTTTGCTTCTCATTTAAGTTTATATTTTTCTGTGTACTATTTTATTTCTGTGAGTGCATTCTGCACATTGTCCTTAGCTGCTTCTAAATTATCATCTTTGGTGTATATTAGTGTAAATGCTAACTTCCCTCGCTGTGAACCTATGTAGTTAGGAAGATCACTATCATTATGTATAATTTTTTTAAAATTAATACCAGAAAATATATATTTTAACATTTTACAGGCCTTACCAAGAAGCAATAATTTCACTAGTTTCTCTGATGCTGGATACTGGGCTACCATGTTTCAGAGGCCAGACAATTAAACTTCTCCGAGCGAGATTCGCACCAAATGCTAGTGATAAGGAAGCGGCTGTTCATATGATGTCAGTTATAAGAAATTCATTCCTTAATTTTAGAACAAGAACATACGATATGATTCAGTATTACCAAAATCAAATCCCCTATTAAAACCCTATCAATAGAACTATTAGTAGTGAAAATGTAAATGTTATTTTGAATTGTTTTAAAATAGTAATTATTATGTATAATAACACGAATGTATATTTATTGAATATTATTTTTGTTAACAATCTAGGAAAATGTGTATGTGAAAAATTAATTTTCAGACACCCAGTTATAAAACTATTTATTATATCGCATTTATTTTAATAAATATGGTCAATTTATTTAGAAAAAACGTGATTTTCATTAAGAAAAATATTGTTATCATTTTGTAAAAAAAATCTTGTTGGTTTTGGTATTGAAGATTAGTTACGTATATGCCAATATCTAGTGTTGGTTGTTGCATAGAAAAATCTAATACCAAAAAATATTATAACGAATTATCAAAAATCATTTATTGTTATTATACAAATATAAATTGTAAACAAATCATTTTTTGCGAATTTTCACTGTTCCATCCGCTTGGCCGAAGTAAGCAATGTCGGCCATCTCTACAAAAAGTCCAGTTTCGACAACTCCTAAAAGAAACGAATATGTTAAAAACGTGGTAAATTTTGTGCGTAGGCGTGAAAGCCCACCTGGGAACAATGTAATTTCTTTATTGACTTTTTCCCAGTCTGTATTGCCATCTGGAAAATGCCAGTCTATTATGAAATTGCCATTGTCTGTCACAACCGGACCCTGGAATATTAGAAAAAATTAATATACTTTACAATACACTTAACTTAAGTAACACACCATTTTCATTTTTGCCATTCTCAATTCAGTTTTGCCACCGAATTTCTTTTCAAGTTTCCTTGCGACTGGCACATGAGCGAGAGGGATCACTTCAATTGGAATACCTTTTTTATATTGTTCACCAAGCTTCATAGAATTTTTCCTATAAGTCTATCGTATAATTAATTTTTAAAGATAAAGTATTTTGAAAAAAAAAACAACTCACGTGTAGTCACCAACAACAACCATCCTTTTGGCACAAGATGCCACAATTTTCTCTTGTGTCTGACAACCTCCACCACCTTTGATGAGAGTAAATTTTTCATCGACTTCATCTGCTCCGTCAATGGCAACATCCAACTAACAAAAACTTAAATTAACTTACTAAATATTAATGTCTAAAACTATCTATACTTTATCAGTTTACATTTACAAAATTAATGTTATATGGTATATGATTAATACATTCCTGGCTGGAATTTTTATTTTCACCCTCCTGGGCGACAAATCTGTTAAAAATAAATATTCGTATGCATTATATGACCTACATATAACCCAGATGGTTGGAACATCGGCACCTCTGAAGGTCAACTGCAGACGTGTTAACAGGATTTGGGGTGGAAAAATTGCACTACAATTTTAATTGTATATTTACTTCAGGGTATGTTTCCAAGCTTCCAAGGACCAAATTATTCTGTACGATTAGTTGATGTGCTTGAAACGATGTGGGTACACAGACGACTTTGATGCCCTCATCTTTCACTTTCTGTACTGTAACATACAATCAAAAAAGGTTTATAAATAATCAACATATTAACTTTTTTTAAATATTTTCATAACATGCTAAATATTTCTACTTTGCTCCAAGGGGAAAATAAATGTGGCACTGAAATTTTGATTTATTTTTTAATTTGACAATGTTGTGGCTTTACATTTTGTTTTATTGCTTTGAAAATTATGTAAATTAGACAAAAAGTATTTGTTTTTGTTGCCATTATGAGGCAAACTCGCTTGATTAATTCCTAATTTGTTTTAAAATCCCCACAATGTAAATTTAACAAAAGTATTACAGACAGTTGTCTTTGAATTTATCGAGTAGCTGTAGATCACTACAGCCAATACAACACTGACGGAAAAGGGTCATTCGGAGGCGGTTCAGCTTGGTTTATGGTTTCAATTTTGATATCTAGTTTATTTGGAAATTTTGATTAAATTCAAACATCCTATTAATGTCATCTCTTGGGGACACGAGTATCAGATGGTCTTTATACAGTTGTATACAAGTCTCTGAATTTTTGTTATTTGTTGTACTTTATCAGACCAGGCTTATGGCGCCATATGTGAGAATAGATCTCACCATCACGGTATATGTTCAAAGCAGGGTTTCTGATCTGCATCACCAATTTTTTCCCGCTATTCTTCTAAACTGACGTCTGTGCCACTTTCTTGATAGCAGGGCCGATATGTTCCTTAAATGTCAGTTTTGTCTAGTGTGACACCTAGATATTTGGCCTCTTTCTTCATGTCTATAATAGTATTATTGAGTTCTATCTGCCTCGTACGATCCATTTTTTTTTTTTTTCGAAAAGCGACTGAAACTTATTAGGGTTAATCCCTAAACCAGTGGATTTACACCATTCATCTGTGCTTTTTAACCCTGTCACAGAGGGTTTCTTCGAATTTTCCCCTGGCGTTTTTCCCCCAGGACTGCATAGCATCCCTCTGTAATCCACTTGCAAGCAATTCTTCAACTTTCAGGCACCATAGATGAGGTGAAAAATATTGACAAGTGTACGGTATATATAAAAAGTACACTGTAATTTTTAACTTGATGCATACAAAATACTAGGAAGGAAATTTTTTGAAATATTAATCCATGTGTTTAAGTCGGTCCTAACAATATATTTGGTAGGATCGGGGATGTGGTCCCAAGAATGTTCTGGTATTGAAACTATGAAATGAAATGTTCAGTGTTTTATTTCACTTTTCTCAGGGCTCTACAACAGATGCATAAACTATAATATTTTATAATTGCTCATGTGTGTAAGTGAAAATCAAAAATCAACTTTCTTTTCCAACTTACAGTGTCAGTCTTAAAATTGTTTTTTCTTTTCAACATGTATAAATATTTTTTCATTCTTTTCAACATTTCTTATACTGAGCACGTTTTCAATTAATAAATAGGTAGATAAATAAATGGCACTTATTACAAACTATTATCAATCAGACAAAATCAACATAAACAAAGAGGACTAGAGTTAGTTGGTCCTAGTTAACCAAAATAATTATTTAAATTGATTTATATGTTTATTACGTAATGTGGTTGAGACGAAAAGCAATGGGTTGTGGGGTCGAGTCCCACCTGTGATGCTAATTTTTCATCTCAATCACACTACATAAAAATTATAAAACAATTTAAATTTTTAAATATGCTGGAATTTTAAAAAATGAATGTAAAATTTTGTTTAATTAGTGTAAATACGGTTTCTAATTGATAAAGAAATGTTTTGAACTAAATTTTCTAATTAAAACATTGTGAATTTAAAAATATAATGAAAAAATTGAGAACGAAAAAAACTGTGCATGGTCCTCTCCCCATAAAATTGATATCAATATCAAGAAAGGGGAAAAATAATCATTCCTCTAAAAAAAATTGGCCTTCGACAGCGTTCCTTTCTAAGAAAAAACTGTATAAAAAAAAATAGTTGTTTATTAATCGGCAAATTCCATTCTACCTAGCAGCAAAAAATAACTTTTGCACAGAATTAGACACAGCATGAGTAACATTAAAGCGAAATTTATCGATGACTGTATAAAATACCCAGGCGTTCCACAGCGTACACTATAGTCGATCCACTCCCGACACCGAGTTTTGTTCCATCCTTAAAAATAAAACCCAATTGAATTATTCATTCATATTTATGGCATTTAAGGCAGAAAATACCTGGACAAAATCATCGACTGCTTGATAAGCAGCTTTCTTCTTAGCCAGATCCAAATTCGACATGGTTCTACAAACCAACGACCTGTACTTGAGAAATGGTACTGCCCTCCTAATTATCATATAAACTAAAGGACAAAAATAAATTACGTATCCGATCCTGGAAATTAATCTAATCGTAACTTCTATTATCTCTTGTTTTTATGAACGGAAAATAATCGCTCTTAAATACTAAAAAAAACACTGAAAGATAAAAATACCCGTATATAATCGGATAAAACCAATTAAATCGTAATTATATGGAAAGTTTTTATTAAACCGTTAAATTAAACCATAACTATTTGAACCTTACGAAAGGTTCGAATTCCGACCTAGGCATACATTGGACCAACTGCTACATGGAAAAAAACACAGAAAACAATAAAATATATCTTCTGCTTTAATGAATTACAATTTTATTGTCCATTAATATCCATTATGTTAATGGTTATGCTACTTTTGTAACGAGCTTCTGGGTTTATAATTTATATCCATCGAAATATATTTGTATCTCGATCGTTGTAAATCGATCTTCCATGCTCTGCCGAATTGAATGGCGGCATAAAGTTCATACTATTTGTTTTAAATTTACTTTATTATTACATTATATAATGTGGCATATAAATCCCCGGCCGTTTATTATAATTTGTTCTATGGAAACAAGTCTGTTCTATTAGCAAATTGCCTAGTTTAACTCTCAAGTTGTGTAACATATTACATAAAAATTGTACTATATGCAAAAAGGATACTTGCCTATATAAATGGCGAAGTCACTAAGAAAAGAACTTACAAAAAAAGTCCATTTAAAATATTTATTTGTGGTGTTCATCCAAGTCGAGTACTGGAACAGGAACTGACAAAATCAAGAGCTAATTTTCTCCAAATTTAGACCATCATCTGTTGTCGAAGACCAGAAAGATGGACTCTTGTTTCTACATAGTTTAAAAGAGATATTCCTGGCTGCTGAAGACTTGCTTGTGTGTTGAAGAAATTGAGAAATCGTTGATTTTCACAGTTTAAAGCAGATTTTTGTCGTAGCTGAATATCTGCTTAACAATCCAAAAACCATTGATATAATCACAAATTCTGGAAAGGTGAGAATAATTTGAGAGATCATAGATTTTTCAAATTTCAAAAGCAGTCTTTGTGACTGAAGACTTGCTTGTAAGTTTAAAAAGATTAGAGATCTTCGACTTTCTTAGTTCAAAGCAGATCTTTGTTGTAGATAAAGATCTGCTTGAAACCCAAAAACCATTGATGTACTCACAACTTCTGGAAAAATTGAAAAAGTTGAGAGATCATCGATTTTCACAGTTCAAAGCAAATCTTTGTCGTCGCTGAAGATCTGCTTAATGACACAAAAACCATTGATGCACACGACTTTTGGAAGAATTGAAGAATTTCAGAGATTTGTTTCTCCAAATTTCAAAAGAGATCTTCATGACTGCTGAAGACTTGCTTGTGGATTGAAGAATTGAGAGATTGTCTATTTTCACAGTTCAAAGCAGATCTTCGTTGTAATTGAAGATCTGCTTAACAACACAAAAATCATGGATGTACTCACAACTTCTGGAAAAATTTACGAATTTTTCTGAAACCTACATCACTCCCGACCGCATCTCACGATATCTGAATAACTATCAATTAACGGTCACTAATCTCTACACATAGTTTTTAAAATTAAAAGGATCTATTTGACAGCTGAAGACTTGCTTGTGTGTTTAAGAAATTGAAAAATCATTGATTTTCACAGGTCAAAGTGGATCTTTGTTACATCAGCAGACTGCTTGGGTGACTCAATGACTACTGATGGACTCTCAACTTCTGAAAAAATTGAACATTTGGCACTATCGTTCTTTCTACAAAGTTTAAAAGAGATCTTCCTGTCAGCTGAAAACTTGCTTGTGCGCTGAAGAAGTTCAGAAATCAATGATTTTCACAGTTCAAAGTGGATCATGTTTTACCTAAAGATTTGCTTAACAACCCAAAAACCACTGATTCTCACAATTTCTGGAAGAATTAAAGGATTTAAGAGATTTTCTTGAAAATTCCAAAGGTGTCTTCCTGACTACTGAGGACCTACTTGAGAGTTGAAGATATTGAGAGATTGTCAATTTTCACAGTTCAAAGCAGAATTATGTTGCGTCAGCATACCTGCTTGTGTGTCTCACTGACTACTGATGGACTCTCAACTTCTGAAAAAATTGAACATTTGGCACAACCATTGTTTCCACAAAGTTTAAAAGAGATCTTCATGATAGATGAAGACTTCTTCTGCATACACAAATGCCATACGACTCTCAACCTCAACCTCGAGTAGTGAAGAATGGAGGCAGACCTGCTTGTATGACTGATGATGTTCATATGACTGATGAAGATCAACTTTTGTGAAAAATTGAAGAATTCATTAATTCTTCAAAGTTTAAAAGTACCCTGTTCATCTCTGTTACTTTTGTAGGAGTATCAAATACTAAAGGATTGAAAATGTTGAAAGAAGAATACTTTTTTTATTTTAGTTTAAAGAAGATCTTGGATAAATGCATAAAAACTTTAATAATTATTTATTGATTTGCAACAATACAGTTCTATTTTTATTCAATTGTAAAATAAAATTATTTACAAAAAATTGTACAATTCTTCTTTTAATCTAATATCCATTAAATGAAAAAAGCTCAATTATATTTTAATTTTTAATTATTCTAATGTTACTTTTTTTGTTAAAACAAATATATAAAAATTTCTTTAGTAATGTTGAAATTATAAAGGAGGATTAAATAATTTAAGTAATGTGTTCACATTCAGAATTTATTAATAAAAAAATTAATTATCAAATATTATAGCAATAAATTATATCAATAAATAATAAATTATTATAAACAATAAATTATTATATATCAATAGAAATCATTAAAAGGTATAAAATTATCTTGTTTTTATAATGGTTTTTGGCTCAGTTTTTTTTCATGCTGTGGACCACTTCTGCAATAATATCAACAGCTTTACAGATTTCCTCTTCAGTTATAGTCAATGGAGGGGTAAGACGAATTGTAACATCATCGTTGGCTTTGGCCATGAGACCGAGAGCTCTCATTCGCGCCGTAAACTCAGAAGCTTTCCCACATTCTGAAAAAGGTGCATCGTCAAACTTACAAAAACATGCTGTCTATTTGCTATCTTTACCTGTATTGACTGAAATGGCATTCATCAGCCCTCTTCCTCTAATCTGGGTCACGACATCTTTGGGCACTTTACAAACTAGGTCCTCTCTGAATCTTTCGCCCATCTTTTTTGCATTTTCGGCCAGGCATTCCTCTTGTATTACCTCCAGCGTCTTGACGGCAACTTTTGAGGCGAGTGGGTTCCCACCGAAGGTAGAACCGTGGACGCCGGGTGTCATATGACACATCACATCATCATTGGCAAGCACTGCAGACATCTCAACAGCACAAACATTTCATCATAAAACATGAGTTCCCAAGAAATTTACACAAAATAGTTCCAAACAATAAGATATTTCTTTTTAACAGGAAAGAGTACAGATTAAATTTTAATAAACCTAGTTATGAAAACACAATTTTGCCTGCAAAAAAATTATATTAAAAAAATGGCGTGTGCTTACAGGTAGAAAGCCGCCGGCAAGGCCCTTTCCTAAAATGAGGATGTCTGGCCTTACACAGTCATGGTCAACAGCCAACAACTGGCCAGTTCTTCCCAGCCCGGTTTGCACTTCATCTGCAATCCAGAGGACATTTTTTTCTGTGCAGAGGCTTCTAACTTGTGCCAAGTACCTGTCACACGGGACAACCACGCCACCCTCTCCGAGTATCGGTTCAACCATGAATGCACATACATTCGGGTTACAAAAGGCCTCCTGTACAAAAATATATTCAGTTTTTAGATAATTTCATAAATGTCTTTTTAGATTTGTTTTAAAGAAATTTACCTCCAAAGCTTCGATATTGTTAAAAGGGACGAGTCCAAAGCCTGGCATAAAAGGGCCAAAATGCTCATAAACGGCTGGGTTCGTCGACGAGGAAAGTGCAGCTAATGATCTTCCCCAAAAGTTTGACGTAACCATCACAACAATTGCCTGATTTTCAGGGATACCTTTTGTCAAATAGCCCCATCTCCTTGCAATCTTTATTGCTGTATCTCCTCCCTCAACTCCTGAAAAGTTATAATATTATAAATAATCACCCCCTCTGATCCCAAGGATATTTATATTTAATACATTAGTTCATACTTCACCATAAATATATTGTATAACTGACCTGTGTTCATAGGTATGACTTTGTCATAGTTAAAATAACGGGTGATATACTCGGCAAACTGCGGTAACTCTGAATTGTATACGGCCCTTGAAGTATGCGTTAAAGTGCCAGCTTGTTCTCTTAGGCATTGTAGGATTTTAGGATGGCAATGCCCTGTATTTACCGCAGCATAACCAGCCAGGAAATCTAGGTATTCATTTCCGTCGACGTCCCAAACTTTCGTCCCTAGACACGGTGTGCGATCAAATTTATATAATATTTTATACAACTATGGTATAAAAAATAAAAGAAAAACCTTGTCCACGGCATATGACAACCTTCATAGAATCATAAATATTAGCGCAATGTTTCTTTTCTAATGCCATGTACCTGTCACATGATTGAGTGCGTCGACTTACAAACGAGGTTTTCAAATTTGGTGTCCCATTTTTTTGTAAAGTTCTTAATAAAACATAGGACTTCTTAAATGCTGCCATTTTATACCCTTGTTACCTGCCTGGAAAAAAAAACTCATACACAATCCAATCAACCCAAAGAAAAGAAGAATACAAAAATTAATTTAAACCAAAATTAAAATTTGCAAAAGAAGACTTTTACATAGATTAGTAACTTTTTTTAAATTTAAAGTTCAAAATGATTAAAAGTTAAAGCCTTGAGACAGGGAAGAAAAGGTCCGTCGACTTCTCTGTTACAAAATAACGCTTAAATTAGAGTTAGTCTAAATAATCCGTAATAAAAATTTATGAGAAATAAATACTATTAAATAAAATAACTACCTACTAATATAATTAAAACTAGTTACAAAAATAAATGAAGAAATTAATCAAAGTTGAACATGCAAATTACTATTGATGAAGCAACCAAAAGATTTCATATGTTATTATTTTAACAATCAGAAAACGTAAAAAATAAATAAAAATAATAGCCAATATAAGGCGAATGTACACTTTATAAATAGACGACAAACACCTCTTGTTATGCTGCTGTCTGCTCTGTACTGAACTTTTATAGGCTACATTGGTTTAAATCAATTAACAAAAGAAGAAGAAAAAGCATTTTGAACTGACTAAACAGTAAAACTGGCATACCTTTATATGGTACTTGCCACAAATAAACCTAAATAATAGATATAATATTTGCACAATGTATGTTATAGTTGATCGTAAAAATTAAATCAGGGTAGCAATGGGAAAAAGACATGGACATTAACTTTGCATATGTATTAATTCCATAACATGTGTATTTTCATAAAATTTATGAAATATCATTGCTTTCGTGTTGTAAACAACTCACAAATTTATAATTTAGATTTATCAAGCTTGGAAACCTGAAAAAGGGCATTTTGAGGTATAAGTTCAACATAAACCTATAACAAAATTGTTCATACCTTCTTGCTATAAATATATATCAATATTTTACTATCACTATTTATTAATTGGATAAAAAATATTGTTTAGTAGCAGGTTTATAGTAAACTTATGATTATTTACTCAATATATATGTATATAGTCAGATAATGCTGATAAATTTTAATATAGTTTATTTTCATTTGTTTATTAGACAAATTTATCGTTGAAATATAACTAAACGATTAAAATAAGTACTCACTGAAAACAAATCATTTTCCATTTTGTCATCTATACACCATATCGTTTTATATAAAAACAACTATTGTAACAAAAATAATTTTTTATATAATTTTTCTTTTAAAGAGGAAAACATCTGAGATAAATTTAACAAAATTTTAACTGTTAAAAATGGAAAACACATAAACTAAAGGCTCGGAGAACCATCAACAATGATATTCGTTGTAATTATACAAGCATTTGATTATTTGGAAAATATTTTTGAAGTTTTTCATCTGCCGTCTTCCTATTAACAAATGTTACGAGTGATTTCTGTCTTTACTCTTTCTCTCTTGTATTTCTACCTTTTAAAGTTGATTGTTTTTAATATAATCTGCCAATCTATATCAAAAAATTATTTTAACATATTCCTAGAAACTTTAATACCACAGATATTGATCGAATATTCAGAAAATTCTGATTAATCACTGAAAGATGAAAAAATAATTGGTAATATTATCAAATAAAATTTGGATCTGTTGAAATCTATTAGATTAACCACCATATGTTTGTATTTCAAAAATTTTATTTAAAATACTTATGAATACACATAGAACATTTCTTATTTTGAAAAATAAATTGTTAGTTTAAAGAAAAGTATTGTTTATATGTGAAAGTTCAACTACCTCTGTAAAAACTTTGTCTTCTTTCAACCTTGCCTTCTAAGATAATGTTTCAACTCTCACCACGAAACTACTAGAATATGATTGTTATTTTGTAGATTATTGTCTATTTATAGTCAATTAGATAATGATCAAGAGATTAGGTGATGGAGGTCATTTTTTTTAATCTAGAAGTCCATATCATGCTACAACTAAAATGAACTATTCAAATATCAACATAAATTGTTTGGCATCAGTCGATAACAATGTTTGACCTTAATATTGCTTTGTTTTCCATTATTTACAAGTTTTTTTAATTGTTTATTAAACTGTAAATGAAATTAAACAGTAATAACACGAAAAAACAAATGGAAATAAAATATTTTCAGTTTATAAGCAGACTATGAAATGTTACTGATTAAAACTATTATGCGTTGGTTCACAGGTTAAAAAATACATTAAGTCAATATTTGTTATTTTATTTATAATAGTAATGTCTGGAAAAGTGATAGTTTCATATTAGATTACAATAATTTATCTGTGAAAACTACATACTGTTGAAAATAATGTTAGCTGTAATATAATGCATAAACTATAACATATAAAAATAAATATATAAAATATCAAAAATCAAATATTTTATTTCCTATTATACAAATTCAATTTTTCAGTATAAAATTTTAATTGATCATCCAATAAACAAGTCCTGAACAATAACAGAACACAATAAATTATTTTTTTTAGACAAGTGATTCATATATTTAATTAAAAACTTATTTATAGATTTTTATGATTTGTTTTTATTAACCCTTTTTGCTATTATCCCATAACATCTTGGTGAAATTACAGGATCAAACAACTCCACTAAATAAGATTCTTCCAGTCCCTGTAAAACAAATAAATATAAATAAATGTAATAATTAACGATAATTTTTAGTCAAATGACCTGCTCTTTTAGGTATAATAGTCTATCGTATAGGATTATTTTTTCAATCACGGGGGCGAGAAACACTCGGACCATAAAATAAAATTGCAGCCTTAATTCCAAGTGTAACTGCGATGACAAGTAATAATTAATTTCTTCATCACTCATCTAAAAAATATGAAAACAAGTAGCTTATTTATAAAATGCGACGGAACTTAAAATTTATAAACATCTGCCCTTTTAAAAAATCTGATAATATTAAATAAATTAATTTAACTTTAATACGAGTATGAAATTTATGTTATTCACTATTTGATCATTTATCTCCCCACTCTATCTTTTCTTGAAATTATGCCATTGAACCTCCAATTTTTGGGGAATCTATAGTTGTGGGTTCGATTCCCACTGGTCTCTGGCCTTTTTTTCATGTGCCCCTGGCCTATACTATACCATCAATATACAAAGTGATTTTAACTTCTGTTCGCCTAAGTGAGAGTGAGTCTAACTCACTTGGATAACAGAAAATAGATAGGAACGTATCTATTTCAAATTGCAACGTAGTATTCAATGTGCATTTTCTATAAGGTTTTGTGATGCTGAATTCAATGGTGCAAACAATTTTTAATTTGGAGCAACCTTTTCTCATTATTCACACACACAAATTTTTCCAAATACTTTTTTCGAATAAACTTTTAGTACATCAATTGCTCATGAACTAAAAGAAATTTTTTAGCACAATTTCCTCAAACACCGTAGATTAACAAGTCTATTTTTCCAAGCAGCAGAATCATGTCCACTTTTTCTTGTACATTATGACACATTTTTACAATTTGCTCAATAAATCGGTCTGTAAAAACTAAAGTTTTTTAATTTAATCCATATATGTTCAGCAGTCATAACTGACCATATTAATTATTTCAATTAATTATTCTATTTATCTAAGGTACTCAGAGTGGCAGAAACAAGCCTGTACAGATATGGCCAAGAAGAAGCAGAAACAGCAGAACATTTTTGGTGTAAATTGCAAAGACCTATGTAAACTGAGGTTCCTAATCCTGGGAGAAGAAAAGTCAGGGTCTGAAGAATAATCAAGGAAGCCCTTGAAAAAGCTTTGTGGTCTGGTAAAAAGCCTCAAGCTTAATCAGAAGCTCTAAATAAAAAAAACTGGAGATGCATAATAGACTAATACTGGTCATAAAGAGGCTGGCTAATCTAAGTTCGCGGTTGAGAAACTTAGTGTCATGAGTGGGATTCGAACCCACGACCTTTGGCTCAATATGCCACTGCTCTAACCACTTGATCGCTGACGTGATTATTCTAGGAAAAAGACAGTTTTCTAGAAGTCATGATAACCCAAGTGGTTAGAGCAGCGGCGTATTGAGCCAAAGGTCGTGGGTTTGAATCCCACTCCTGACACTAACATTTTTATCTCAACCAAGGCCTTAGATAAAAATAATAAATTTTTAATTTAAGTGAATTACTATGGAATAAAACATTTCGATTTTTTGGGGATTATTCAAAAGCCGCAAAAGCCAACAAATCAATTTTTATCTAGGCCTGTCTCTCAAACATTTCTTTAACACAAAAATTTGCAACAGGCTGAATGATGAGCTATATCCAGTGTCCTGTTAATCAATGTTAATTGAAGAAATTGTTTTGAAAAAAATTTTCAGTACCATGAGCAGTTAATTTACTATCAATTAAAACAATAAATAAATAGTCCATTGGTTGAAGAAGTACAAGATTTTGTTTATTTAAAAACAGTGTTCTGAAAATATTTTTGCAAAAACTTCAGGGCGGCTGCGCTATCGAATTCAGTGTCAAAAAAAAACCTTTTAAGAAATGTACATTGATCAATACCTTGCTATTTGAAATAATTAAATTCCTATCTAGAGAAAAAATAAAAGTTAATAGAAACAGAAGTTAAACTCATTTTGTGCACATTATTTCTTCTGGCTAACTTGGAAAACAGAAAAAAAATTAATTGGTGAAAAGTATCTTATTCGTTACTATCACCAAGAATATGCCTATGACGAGAAATGTCAGGTTGATTGAGAAAAAATTAATAATTATGTTTAATAATGTATTTGAATGTTTAAACTATGTACACTGGTTGTATCTTTAAAATCTGAATAGTTCAAACTTACATTTATTTCAAATGGAGTTTTTGATATAGCTTTCCGAATGTACTCAACAAAGTTCTTGCATTTAGAACTGATTCTCCCGATTTCCACTTGAGGATGGCCAGTGTAAGAAGTTTTTTCCATTAACAGTTTTTCAAGAACAGCTCTAAACATAACGCTCTCGGTTTTTATCTGTTAACAAGAAAAGTTGTAAAAGGGCTGGAAGATTTCTTTAAAAAATTACCATTACATTTTTAGATGAAGATATCCGAGCGGGGGCTTGCAAAGATAACATTCTTGCATTCCGTCCCAACTTAAAATTGGCATTTTTTAAATATTCACTCATTGGAAAATCACCGGAATCCCCTTCGTCCAACAAATGATAACAACAGCCTACATTTATTAAAAACGAACAACTGCTATTGTTCGCAAATTGTTTAAGGCAAACAGGCGAAAGTTTTCCACACGTGTGGAGCCCGACCAGGCCGTACGATGAGGTGATGTCAGGAGAAAATTCATCGAGGACTAACTTCTTGATGTCCGTATCGATGTCGATGTATTTTGTGTGACAGTGGTAACGGCTTGTACTTTTCCTTTCTTCCTCTGAGCACATTTGAGTTGTGATGATTTTCATATTTTTTTTAATACCATTCCACTGCTTCTGAAATAACAAATACAAATCAATAGTACAGCTCAAAATTGATTGTATTAATTAACAAAGGTCAAATTTGTTCAGCACTGATCAAAATAATTTTCATACTCCCTTAAGTTCTTACTATTATTAAAATAAACCACATTTAACATTAACATATTGAAATTGGTGTTTTTTACTACAATCTTTATAGAAAAGTCAAGACGAAACATCATTACCGGAGGATCTTGAGACTTTAGTACATTGTCACAGTAGAAATATATCATAAAGTTGAAAAATAATTTTATTACTTCAAGCTATAAGGCATTTTGTTATTACTTATTGATGTTATAACTGAATGCATTAAACAATTACTAAAACTAAATTTTAATAGTATGTTTCCAGCATCAAAATCAACACTATTCATTGATAGATGTTTATATTTATAATTTATACATGAATAAGATATCTCTGTATTCTTGTGTTACATAATATTACACAAACTCACTTTCATTTTTTGAACACGCTTCGTAGCCCCTGTGGTGTTCACTGAAGAGGCATCGATACCCAGTACGTTTATGTCATACTCCAGGTTCAGTATTGAGCTCAAGTACCCTTTACCATCGCCGACATCAACGATAAGTTTTGAATCAGTTACAGAAGCCATTGCTGCGACAATCTCGCTCATTACTTCAACTTCATGGTTTTTTTTACTCGACATAAACTGCATCCCGCACTCTAACTTCTTGAAATCGTTGAAGCCCCAAGTTTTAATTTTATCTTTTAACTCGTTCACACCCATTATGAAATCGTTTTTGGACTTTTCTTCTGCTTCGGAGATGAATTTATAAATTTCTTTATTTTCAACTCTACTATCACTGTAAAATATTGCATGGCAGTCGACTGGGCAGAGTGTTTCGAATTCCTGTCTTATACTTTGAGGAATGTGTTTCGACCAAAGGTTCTGAGTTAGAAATGAAACCATGTGCGAGCTGATAAGTGCCTGCCAAGGTGTTAAGTACAAAATCAGTGAGTCAATTTTGGTCTTAAGGCATTCCATTTTCAAATGGCTAATCAAATAGGTCAGGTATCAAAATCTTGTTTTACAGGTAGACACGAATCAATTTTAAGAAGGGCACAGCTCTTTTTGAAGAGCGCTCTTGAAGCGTCTAGGGCACCGTGGACATCAAACGATTCCAGGTTTTCAGTCGGTACGGAACGGACCTTTTCCTTGAGCTTTTCCAAGCAGTTGGAGACCTTGTCGCTAAGCCCAGGTAGAAGTGAGAGATAATATGAGGTAAAGGCGGAGTAATATCCGAGTTCAGCTCCGATCTCTGCTCCCCTGTGAAAACCGAGATGATACCCTTCTGAAAGACCGCATATTCGCCCTTTTTCTTCGCCTTCTTGAAAACTCTCCTCTTTCACCGATTCCTCTCCCAAAGCTATCGAATCGAAAGCATCGTTGATGTCTTCTTCTTCGTCGGCCACTAACATATTCAATCTGTACGCATCAGAGTCTTATCCTTAAGAAAATCACACGGCAAACAAAAATTATGAAAACAATTTCTACTTATTGTTCAACTAGTATAAATCCAAAACTGGAATTTTGACGTCATAAGTGTCATAAATAAATTTCAGCTCAGCAGAGCCAGCCTCAGCACAAACAATACTAGTGAAGGTTTCAAACTTTCAAGCATAGTCATTCGCATTTTTCATTCACTGAATAACTGAACAATACTTCAATTCAAGTATCGATATAATACGTAATTTTATATATTATAATTATGCTTATGCACAAACTGTCTATAATCAGTAATAGTTTCCTATTTTATAGGCAAAAATTTTCCTTGTACTGATTGTGTTGCTACTTATTACAAAATGTAGACATGTTTACCATTATTAATTTATCATTAATATTAACTGCACACATATACACAACTTATGATTCGTACCTTAAACATTTTTTTATCACGTATATGTTTTTAGTAACCAAAATAAATATAATTCCAATATTTTTACATTTAAATTTTTAATGTAAGGATTGTATTTATTTATTTTTCATAAAAAGTCTTATTTTGATAATGTTAAATGATTTACTTTACTGTGAAGGGAATATAGCAAAAAAGCGATCTCACAATACCCTTCCAGGTTCCTATGTGTATTATCCAGGAGTAATATTGTGAAATGTGTAAATCGTTTATAATCCACATCTCGATTTTGAAAATTTTATCGGTTAAATACATTTTAGTGAGTTAGTATGGCTTTCTTAGGCGTTGAATGCATTTTCGTAAAATAAAATATGCTTATAGAATTAAATGACAGTTAATTTTGTTATCATTATATAATTTGTAAATTTAGTTAATTTAATTATATTCACGTTGTTTTCAATTAGTTTTTAAAAAAATATATAATAGTGACATTCCGTAAGAACTCGTTTTGTGACGACTTATTTTGATATCAGTTTGTGAATGCGTTTCTGGTTATAACCTTCTACCACTTTATTCGTGATTGAAATCCAGCGTTTTAGCACGCCGAAATGTTCCGGTTATAATGATTGCTCTAAATATTTTTTGAGAAACACATGAAACTATTAAGTCTGAAGATCTAAGAAAATCAAGGATATTTAATAGGTAAATATTGTATGTATAAGGTGTCATAGGTTCAATGTAGTACACAATTTACTATTCTTTAAAAAGTGACAATTCAAAGAAAAGTTTAACAGTAAATTTAGATCTATTTCTGCTTTAAAAAGCCCAGGAATTGTATCATCTTGTATTACTTTTTTTGTAAACTCGATAGGAAGAAAAGTAATTCCTAAGATTTGTTGTTGTTATTGTAAGGTTAGGACACTTTATACAGTAAACAATCCAATCCCATTTGTTTACTGAACAATATATTAATCCCACTGGATAACTTGTATTGTTTATATTTGCCTTTCTAATTCAGTTTCAGCTTGTCCCAAGTTTTAAACCAGCTCTTTTAAAAAGTCGGTTTTTTTTTAAATTAATCTCATTATTCAGAAATCGTGAGATGCGGTCTGGTGTGATGTAGGTTTCAGAAAAACATTTTCTTTTTCGTGCCTACGCTTCGATCTTTATTGAGATCATCTTCAGGGCCTGGGATTTACAAACATTGTTTACATTTAACAAATATATATGGGATGTGGAATCCGTTCGTGAACTCATGCTGAACCGTCATTCACTCGCGGTTTAGTTGAACTAACTTCAAGCACTGCTGGTTCAGCATGAATCTCATTTGGACTCGAGTGTATTTTTGATCGGCTTGATTGTTACGCAACTTTGTGTGTTTCCAATGTTCGCTCTTTGTAAAGATTGTGTTAAACTTTGAAATTACTTATTTGAGTGTTCAAACGGTCAGTATTGTATCCCAAATTCATTCTATTTTACTTTATGAGTACAAACTCAGTTCAAATGCAAAAAATTCCTCAGTATTTGGTGATGAAGCTATTGATTGGTTTTCCCAGTTTTATGATGATGATTCGATGATGGGGACCTGCTCGGAAAGATGAATGAGTTGTAATTGCATCAGGACTTGTGAAATCTGCACAGAGTTATATGCCCAACTTAATCTCTGAATCAACTGTCTGGCAGAATTCGATATCCTGGGGAAAATAAAAAAAAGTTAGATAAATAGGTGCAGCACAACTGAGCCAATATGCTTATTTATTATTTATCACCTCTTCCTTACCTTCCCAAGTAAAAAATCATTTTTAGATAGAATCATTACTTGCATTAAAAAATGGTTCCTTCCAAAAAATTTTAGACAGTCAAGCTAGGAAATTTCCTTCCATTTGAAAGAATTTTAATCTCTATTTTCTGGAATGCTAAAGGTACATGTATGTGCAATATAAGCTTTTGTTTACAGGTCAAACCTTCACCATCAAGTTAATCGTCCTCTGTAAAAATTACAATAGATTAAGAGCTCTCAACATTAGGCAAAAACCTATCAGTTTCAAATTGAAGATGTTTCCTTTGATGACTTCCAAAAATAAGGATTTTTTAATTAACTAAAACTTTGTTATTCTTTCCTTCTTAAAGAGAAAAGTAGTAGTAATTTTGAATACTGGCAAAACAACCAAACTAGTAAAACAAGTTTTTAATTAATACACAATATATTTTCATTGTGAGATTTTCTTACGGTGTTTGCAGGGTATCTGATAATTTTCTGTCATGTTTTTTCCTCTCGCTTTTCTGATGAAACGGCCAAACTAAAAATATAAATTTAGTTTCAACGTTTGATTCCTCTCCCTCAAAGCAAAAACTTACAAAATGAGTGAAAATGACCTTCTACTGAACTTATATTTACCAAGCACTTGCATACTTTCTGAAAGGAAAAAGTTTTATTCATTTTTAGGTTTGTATAACTGTTTAAAATCCAAGTAATAGTACCACCAAAATTTAGCATGTGCCCTCTAGATAGCAATTAATCATCAAGTACAATGAGCTGAATTTCCATAACAAAAGTTATTTCTGTAATCTGGGAGGGTGTAACATTCAACGCATTGGGTATGTCTGACAAGTGGGTCAAACCACTTTACAATATATTTTTCAAATCATTCAATTAAAAGTCATGGGTTTTGCTGGGATTCGAACCCAGAACAGCTAGTGTGGCAAATACGAGTTGGACACCTTAACAACTCGGCCACCGCAGTCCTCTCTGAATTTCCGTAATTAAAAATAATTTGTTAAAACTATAAAATAAATTGAATTTTACCGTGTATTTTGTGTGGTTTTCACTTATAGTCATTTTATCAATTTTCTTCTATGATTGTTTAGGGATGGATTGACAACAGTTTGCCTATTTAATACAAAGGGAATTAATTTGAAACATACTTAGGATGTATTTTTATATTTTTTATTCATATGATATATGAGTAACACACCAACTTTCCAATAAGTGCTAATGCATTATATGTTTAGTTTCAGGCTTAAAAATGCCACTTCCACCAACATTAGCAGCTAGACTGGCAAAAAGAGGCATTGTGAATGACAGTCGTGGTTCGAGTGAGAAGAAACAAAGGACAGAAGCTGAAGAGGAAGTGATTGCTGAAAATTACGATAGTAATTACAAATCGAGCGGAGATACTGGTAATTTTGGTGCTCAGAATTCCACACATGATGACATACCTTCGTCTGGCGCTGATAAACATTTCAAGGGTCATTCAGGCTGTCCAAACAAATGGAATATATATCACGAATGCTCTTCTTTTTGTGTGAAACGGTGGGGTAAGGGCATAACGAATCCAGATCCGAGGTATTTAAGAAAACAAGCGAGACTGTTATCAAAATTCCCTCTACCAAACAACTGGAAAGACATTTACGACCCCGGCACGGGACGACATTATTATTGGGATATGCAGAGTGACATGGTTTCATGGCTCCCTCCAAACCACCCGAAATCAAATGTTTCTGAATCAGCAGCTACGATCAAAGAAGAAAGGCATATGTTAGCCACAGATGCAGATGGGTCTGATCACGAATCAGAAAGTGCTGATGAAGATGATGAGGAAGCTACTGCTCCTAGACCTCCTGAAAAGGAAAAGGAGAGAGACAGAGATTTGATAAAGGAGAAAAATAAATTTAGAACCAAAAATAAAGCCAATGATCTTGATCCCATGGACCCAGCCGCATATTCCGAAGCACCCCGTGGTAAATGGTCTGACGGTCTGGAAAGAGGCAATGAAGCAAAAACAGGAGCTGATGTAACTGCGTCTGGGCCGCTCTATCAAATGAGACCTTATCCGAATCCCGGTGCAGTTCTTAGAGCTAACGCTGCAACTGGCAGACCTGCCCAAAACTGATCACCAAAAAAGTACAATAAATTACATTACTGTAAATGTATATAATTATAATTTTATTGAAACTTGCTGTGTATAATTTATATAATTAATTAACATAATTAGCTTGTCATGAAGCTATAGAAATGTTATTATTTTCTAAGTAGCGATTTATTGATAACATGCAAAATAAAATAAATTTTTAAACAACCAATTTGGTCTTTTTTATAGAAAATTATAGTTCTATTCACAAACTGGTTTTGCAAGTGATCTGTACAACCATCAATTCAATAATTGAATCAATATAATCACTCCAATACCATTTTTTTAATCAAGATTCTAATGTTCAGTGTGCTGCTCAAAACTGATTCTTAAGTCTAAACAAATAAGACCTTACAAAGTACAAACATGAATATATGACAGAAGGAAATCTCATTGGTTTAATTCATTTCATGGAGAAAACTTCCTCAGTAGCTGTTTTCTCCATGAAATGAATTATTTGAAGGGACCATGGTATAAAATATGAACCTACAAAATAATGAATCATGCCAACCAGACACAACTACCATAGTCATACCGTTAATTATGTAGTTGGCTCTGGGGTGAGACCAGCCTTAAAGTCACCTGTAATTGTCCGGATATATCCATCTATTTTTTTTTTTAAATTTAAAATGCCAAATGCTTTTTCTATGGTGAGTGGAAAATGCACCACCCATACTAGTTAGGTATACTTAAGCTAGGCAAAAAAATGTCTCACGTAAGTTTCTGATGAAACATTGCACTACTCTGTAGTTTCTGTAAATGATGATTTGATATACACTACAACTGCGGGCATGGCTAGATAAAAGTGATTTGATAGTCCATTTAAAAGCTGGTGTTACATTGTGTTTTTTGTATAGTGGGTGGAAAAATGCACCACCCTGCATACTACACTAAGGCAAAAAAAGTGGCCACCCTTGTTATTTTATTTATTTATTTTTTATAGTAAATACTTGCAATCGTTATAATCTTTATTTTTGCAGTTTACTGGATATTTTTAAAGAAAAATATAAGATAGATGAATAAAAAAATTAAACGAGTAAAATAATTTTACCAAAAATGTTGCTATGGAAACAAAGAAAAAACTATTCAATTCAAGTATGGAGTATTTCCTCCTCTTGCAATTTGGGCAACTTTTTACCCACGTTAACAACTCGTTCTAAAGGTGTTCGATAGGGTTGGGGGACTACATGCTTGGCACTCCAAACATTGAATTGAACTTGGGTCCAAGTAGTTACCAATGATTCTAACTGTGTGGGGTCTTGCATTATAGTCAATGGTCATGCATAAAAATAAAATGTGGCATATAGGGAGCAAATTCTGATCACATCTTCAATGTATCCCTCAGCTGTTAGGAACCCTCAATGAAGATCCATACAAATGCCTGAAAACCACCACCTCCATTACTTCTCTGGAGTAAAAAAGTTAAGGGTATATATTGCTCTCCTGTTCCCCTCAAATAAAAAACTTGACTGATCAAAAAACAAAATTTTAGTCCAACCTTGCTTCGACTAATTGACGTTACTTCTTGTGAAACTTAATAGAGTTGTTCTGTGCCTTGTCAGAAGTTCAGGACCAATGGCGAGCCTTGTCGCACCTAAACCAGCTTCTGAAAGTCTGCCTTACAGTGCATAAACAGGCCTTTCTAACTTGTTGAGGTTGTTGCTTGATCTCAACAGCGGTAGACATCATAATTTACATCAATTATGGAGAACATTCGAAACAATAAAACGACCATCTCTGAGATGTGACATGATCGTGATCTGATCCATGCCTTCTTCAACAACAGCCAGTATCTTGTCAGCGATAGAAGGAAGTCCCTTCGGACAATTATTCTGGAAATGTTAAGCACTCTGGCCATATACGCTTGACTTCTTCTGTATTTCAATAATACTATGATTCTAGCCGAATCTGTATAACTTAAAACCATCTCTTAAACCAATTTGAATCTTAAAAATGGTCCAACTTAAAAAAAAAATCAAACCACCAGGATTTTAAAAAGAATCTTTACAGAAAACCAACAAAGAAGAGATAGACTATTCAAAGATGTATTTACAAAATCCAATTGTAAACACAAATTGGAGTTTTTATCTCTGTTTTATTTACCTCTAATCTTTTAAAACGGATCAAATATTATAAGATAATCAATGAAAGATTGTCTAAGAGTTAATTAAAAATATTAAGGATTAGTTTTTGCTTCTTAGTGTAGTTAGGTATACACCAGCTATGCCGAAAGAAAATCAAGTCTTGAGTAAGTATGATGAAACATTGCAATACGTCGCTGTCTCTCTGCAATAATGATTTGATATACACTAAAACTATGGGCATGGCTAGACAAAAGTGATTTGTCCATTTAAAAGCAGGTGGTGCATTGTTTTTCATATGGTGCGTCGAAAAGTGAACAACAACGTGTAGTAGTTAGGTACACCAGCTAGGCCAAGAGAAAATCAAGCGTCTTGAGTAAGTTTGAAACATAGCGGGTTGTTCTGATGAAACACTGCCCAACTTGTAAAATACTAAAACAAACTGCTCTACATTTCTAAAAGCTGTCGATATAAAGGAAACCAAATTAAAATAAACGATGGCATTAAAATGAAATTGATGATAAAGTGTGAAACGGTCTTGCGATGCTGGTCATTACAAATCACGATGGCAGTGAAGGTTACACTTGATTTTCCAAGTCGCTCTCCCCGAGTTATAATGACGTCATTTAGTCTCTTGTGTCCTGAGTTGTATTGACTTTCCTTGTGTTTATAGTGACCTTAATTTTATACTTTAGTTTTTATGACTTTTACAGTGAGATTATGATTAATATGGAAACTGAAAATGTTCTAGAAGACGGATTAAATAATTCACACGTGAGTAGAAAAGGCCTTTAGCCTTATTTTTTAGACATTGTCGACTCCGAGAGCTGGTCTCGTCACAGATAAGGTTTTGATGTCCTTTAAACCAGTACCAAATTGATGGAAATCGACTTCCTACTCAAGCCAGATCATTTCTTTTTTTCTCAAGTTTCTGTTGCTTTTTTATTATAAAATTTCAATTTGAAAAGAGCCCACTCGGTTTTCGAACCGTCCTTTTTTTAACTTAGTCGTTTCTGACAAATCTCTATTCGCAATCTGGCACAAGCTGAGGACTGTTACAACAATACACGACTCATCGGGATGAAATTCGTGTTCCGAACTCTCTGCCGAGGGTTTTTCACGTCTTTCGGGAAAATCCGCCCGAGTTTTGGAAAAATCGGGTGTGAAAAAAATGGAAAAGTCGAAATTTTTACTTTGCACACCCTTAAAACATGTTGACCTCAAAAACTCAATTTTCATTTTCTCCAATGGATCGTGTCGGGTTTTCACAAATTTACAATATTTTGCCAATTTTTTTCAACACAAATTTGAAATTTTTAAATTTTGTACATCCACAATGATATTTAAAAAGTTTAAAATATAAAATTAATAATTAAAAATTTGTTGGCCTTTTTACTTAAAATTTGAATTGATTGAATTATTCTGATCGTAGTTAGTTAAATATAAACTTCTAAAATACACTTAAAAAAAAAAGAAGATTTTATATCATAAATATCCATAATAAAACTTTCAATAATAATTAACAACAATTATTGATAATAATGTATTATTACTGAATGTAAAGATAGATAAAATGTAAATATATTTCTGATTTCCTAATTAGAATTTGTCGAAAGAGAAATTAATCACTATGTATACTTTTACAATATAACTTGTCATCTCTAATTAAATATTATCATTTGAAAAAAGATATCATATCGAATGTAAGATTGATTAAACTTTACCAAAGTACAATTTCAATCTTAAAAATGAAAATTCTCAGTAGTGTCTCTTGTTCAGTTGAATAAATTGTTTCACAATATTGTGTTTCGGTTGAGAGTGAAGTCATTTAAATTCTTTAACAATTCTAATTGAATCGGTTTAATAATACAGATCCCCCCTAAAAAAGGTTTTCTGCAGAGTTTTACAGCATAAAGAACAAAACCAGACAATAATAGACTTAATGTGTACATACCTCTTTATTTTTTATTGACCTTGACTCAAGAGGATCCTTTCTCTTGTCTGCAATATTGCATAGGTCCTTAGTTAATATTTTCAAGGAAGTAAAAGACAATTGATTACATCGCGGGCACGTTTGAAACATTCAATCGATTTAATTACAACACGGTTTGTCAGTTTCCTTTTGGTTCAGTTGCTAAAATTTTCCTGTATCGAATCTCCTGTTGAATTTCTTGTAATGTTTTAATTTAAAAATTTTCTAATGATTGTTAACATGTTTTTTGGAGTACATTTGACATAAGTGAATGTTTTATTCTTAGTCATTCTAGGCTGTGCGTTAATTGATTTGAAGTTTTTCCCATATTCTTGATAGTTACAACAATTTTTTTGTTTTAACTGTCCAGTGTTATGTAATAAAAATAAAAATATATTCCGAATTTCTGTAAATCCAAAAATTTACATTTTAAAAATTGATCTGTTCACAAATTTTCTTACATTAGTATTTTTAACTTTAGATTACAGATTGATAAACAAGTAAACAATATTGTTTAATGTGATAAAGCAGCTTTCTTCATTTATTTGTCTTTTACAATTTTACATGGATTTGATTATGATGATAATTAGTAATGCAATTTAATTGATGTTTTTAAGGCTTTTTTAAATGTTTTTCTTAAATTACTTCATTCTTTAGTATCAGAAATTTCCTGACCATTTTCAGTTCGTTTTAGTGTACGTTGCTTACTAGTTCTAGTTAAAAAAGACCCAAATTCATAAATTATAGTACTTTGTATTTCTTTATTGTTTTGATAAGATTACTAACATATAAAATGCCGGTTAGAACGTTCAAAATTTCTTTGAGAAGAAGTTACAAGGCAAAAAACAAGTGATCTCTTCTTTTTAGATTTATTTCAAACTTTTGGTTAATTTTCAGTTTGATGGAATGACAGTACTATATGACAAATGTCGTAACGGAAACAATGCCAATAGTAAGAAAGAAAACTCGAATAAGTCACTAGTACAGTTAAATACGGAAAAAGAAATATGTATGGAATATTTCGAAAGTTGGAGCGAGAACGCGCAAATAGAATTTGTCCAAGAACTCCTTTCGCGGATGTGCCACTACCAGCATGGACATATAAACACATACCTCAAGCCGATGCTTCAGAGAGACTTTATTTCATTACTTCCAAGTAAGTATTTGTTACTGTTAGACTAGTATGTTGTATTGCAGCGATCCTATTATACTCATACTTGTTTGTTTTTCCCAATTTAGAAAAAGGTCTTGACCACGTAGCTGAGAACATTTTATCCTATTTATACGCTGATTCATTGTGTTCAGCCGAGCTAGTCTGTAAAGAATGGTATCGAGTCATATCAGAGGGAATGCTTTGGAAGAAGCTCATTGAACGGAAAGTCAGGACAGACTCACTATGGAGAGGACTCGCTGAGAGAAGGACATGGTATTTTTTTAATTAATTAATTTTTTTTAAATTACTTAATCTTTTTAATATTTCTCATGTGACTTATTTTATTTTAGGATTCAATATTTATTTAAACCGAAACCTGGCAAAACTCATCCTAATCATAGATTTTATAGATCATTATTTCCAAAAATTATCCAGGACATCGATGTAACTAACGTCATAAATTATAAACTAAAGAACATTTTAATAATAATTATATTCGAAATTTTAGAGTATAGAGTATAACTGGCGGACGGGTCGTCATAATTTACAGCGAATCAACTGTCGATCGGAAAATTCCAAAGGTGTTTACTGCCTTCAATATGATGACCATAAGATAGTTTCAGGTCTTAGAGACAATACTATAAAAATTTGGGATCGATACTCGTTACAGTGCGTCAAAGTTTTGACTGGCCACACTGGCTCTGTACTGTGCCTACAATATGATGACAAGGTAATTAAATCAAAATTAACAAATATTTCGCTCTTCTGAATTAGGTAATCCAATGTAATTATGAAACAGTAAGAAATATAAGATGATATTTCTTTTATATAAGCGTTGTGTAATAAATTGATCAATTGTTAAATAACATTTTCTGAATATACAAACATAAATAATTGATTCAACTTTTATTTCATTGTATAACAAAATTTTGTTATTTTAGGTTATAATCAGTGGATCTAGTGATAGTACGGTGAGAGTATGGGATGTTGTCACTGGCGAAATGGTGAACACATTGATCCATCATTGTGAGGCTGTATTGCATTTACGTTTTTCAAATGGAATGATGGTTACATGTTCTAAAGTAAATACACAGATATTTTTTAAATTTAATATTTAACAACTGTATTAATACTAAAAAAAAACTATTTACTTTTTTAGGACAGGTCAATAGCTGTTTGGGACATGTATTCCTCGACTGAAATAACGTTGAGGAGAGTGCTGGTTGGTCACAGAGCCGCAGTAAATGTCGTAGATTTCGATGAGAAATATATCGTATCTGCAAGTGGGGACAGGACGATTAAAGTGTGGAATACGGCCTCATGTGAATTTGTCCGAACGCTAAACGGCCATAAAAGAGGAATCGCTTGCCTCCAATACAGGGACCGTCTTGTCGTGAGCGGTAGCTCAGACAACTCTATCAGATTGTGGGATATCGAATGTGGCGCTTGCTTGCGAGTCCTTGAAGGCCATGAAGAACTAGTCAGATGTATAAGGTTTGACAGCAAACGGATAGTTTCGGGTGCATACGATGGGTAATCATCTATTTTTATTAATATATATTTTTCACAGAATGGGTGTCACGACTTTAGTTAACTGAATGATAAAAATTGATTTATTGCTCATGCACAAAATTGTATTAATTTTTATAATGCAATGTAGTCTGAAAAGTTGTCAGAAGAAATTAAATTACAATTTGTCTGAAAAGAAAATGTCATATTTAAGCCCTTTTTATCTTTTAATGTGTTTTTAATTCAGTAAGTCGAGTTATTTATAAACAGTGACACCCTGTTTCCAAAAATAGCTCTCTAATTAAACTTTACTTCTTTTAAGGAAAATAAAAGTTTGGAATTTAGTGGCAGCACTTGATCCGAGAGCACCAGCAAGCTCGCTTTGTTTGCGAACCCTTGTGGTAAGTTAAATTCACACATTGTAAAAACCTCATACACACATAAAAAATAATAGTAATAAATGATATAATATGGACAATAAATCTATGCTTTTAAGGAACATACGGGAAGAGTGTTTAGACTGCAATTTGACGAATTTCAAATTGTCTCATCTTCGCATGATGACACGATATTGATTTGGGACTTCCTTAACTACGCTCCCCCAGATGGAACAACCCACCATCTCATGATGAGTAAGTTCTTGCATAATAAATACTTAATATCACTAGATACTAATTCACATAACAAGGTCGTGGTTTTTATTAGAAATAAACAATGGTTTATTACTATTGACAATTCTCTACAACTCATAGCTGTTTTTGCCTAATGTGAAAGACAAAAAGTCTTCTTATTTATAACCAAAGAGTAAACTTCCAGTTCTCTTGACTTGTCGTAAGTTTGGCTGTGAAGAGCATTTTGTTCTTTTGTTTAACTCTTTTCTATAGATTTTCAAAGAAGTACAATAAAGTTAAACTCATCTTACAAGTTGTATTTGTCATTGCAAAGCCAGGTATCAGATCTGAAGTAAGCTATACTTGTACTTTCTACTCATTTGTATATTCACCGTTGCCCTGAGTTTAATAATGATGAATATTCTTACTAACTTACATACTTTCCTTATGCTTTAGTCATTTGAAAGTACTTTATAATTCAAAGAAAAGGCCCGGTGAACATACAACAGCTGTGTGCCGCAGCACCACTACCTGACAGGTTTGCAATGATTTTTTCTAAGCATTTCCTTCCAGGCTGCAGTGCTGCAACAAAATGGTGGCACTTTTGTTGTTACTTGGCACGATTTTGCATCTCATTTAAATCCTTCCTACTCAAATCTGCTTGCAAAGGCAGATAAAATTGGTCATTATTTATACAAGATATAGAAAAATGCCCTGAAATGTTGAATCCAATAATGTTTATTTGTAAATGTATTCTTTGTACCCAAGGGGAGCAAAAATGTCATGTTTTCTATAGTAGACATCCATCCTGTTGGGCAATTGTATGCATACTGGCGGTATTTGAAGTACTTCAGTTGCTATAGCCCCACAGCGGACGACAAAACGCTACATATCTACATCAGGTCTAAAGTAATATTAACAAACGTGAAAATTCTTCAATTATTAATTTAGTTATACACATTTTTAATACCTTTTACATTTATTTGATGTATAGATTTATTTATGTTTATTAACTATTTTTTCAGCTGGCTATGAGTGATATGGTGCTGCAGAATTGAAATTTCTTCTTCTAACGGCCGCCGAGTGAGCTTTGTCCAACCTCCATGAATCTCTTAAACGTTTGGCTTTAGATCGTACATGTCTAATGCATCAGTGGTAAATAAGCATTAATATTTAGCTTGTTTATAAAAAATTACAAAATGTAAATTCATTTATTATTCCGTCTCGACACAGTGCGTTTAAAAACTTCTCTAGAAAATCTGTGCGATGTAATTAAAAAAAAAAAAAAAAGAGAAAATTCGCAGTTAGATAGATAGAGTGGTTTCCATCCCACCAAAGCTATTTACATTTTATAAGTTTCTAAGTAGTTTGACAGTTTGTACAGCCGAAGAAAATTTGTTGTAAGCATATCTATTTTCTTTTTCATTATTTATTTTTATTATTTTTTATTGTTATTATATTTTTTTTTAAATAATTGCAAAGCCATAGGCATGGTTTGTAGATGAGTTTTGTGATATATTTGATTTTAGAATAATTATTTAATTTTTTTACAGCCCAAATATGTTTGTTTTGCTATTGTGTAATTGCTTACAATTTTTTTCTTAACTTTCAAATATTTACGCTGAAATAAAAAATAATACAAGTTATTCTTATATGGGGGGGAGGGGAGAAAAAAAAATTAAATTCTTAGATTTTTAAAAAAATTGTATGATTTTCATGTGGCAGTTTGTTATATAATGAATTGGATATTATTATCATTACTATGAAATGAGAAAACATTAAAAATTAAAAAAAAATTGTAAATATTCCTGATTGTTTATTATGTATGATATAGCTCTTATGTGTGTGCACTTGTAAATAATTGTGGTACTGTTTTCTTTTGTGTAAATTATGAAAACCTTTCTTTTCTGAACCTTTCATCACTGAAAGTTTAAACTTGAACAAACAGAAAATAATAAATGTTACATTTTGATCAGATCAGAGAAAAAGTTGTATTGCGAATATTTTGGCCTTTTTTTCCCATTTTTCACAATGTACGTACTGTTAATAACTTGCAATATTAATACGATAAATTTAATCCTCTTAACTTGAAACGGCTTTTTCTATTTATTTTGTCTAGTAAATATATCAAACAAAATAGTGTGTGTGTGTATATGTATATAATTATTTAGTGTCGAGCAGTTGAAGAAAAGTCTTAATGATGTAAAATGCAAAATTTCAAAATTAAGTCTAATTGAAATAAAAATGCAAGAAAAGGAAAATAATTTTCAGAGTATAATTAAAACAAAATTACAAGTTAGAGCATTCTTTGTCTAATGTTGATAAACGTTATACAATTCAACGCTTATAGTTTACATTGTAGGAAAGAAGTGAAGCTTAATGTTATCGATACCCATACCTCTACTAGGACAGATGCACATGATAAATTGTGGATTCATACCGTTATGACTCTAGTTTGAGTAAAATGTTTTGCTAGACAGTCAGGTGAGAACGAGCACTATCACATTGACACTCACCCTAGATTTAATAACTAACGATGAGACATTAAGCACAAATTTTTTTTTTGCAAATTCCCCGTTTTGACTTCGCCAAAAGGGATGTAAAACTGTGTATTAAGTCCAGTTGTTTTATTTATATACTTATAGACAATTATTTCTATTATTTATAGGTTAAAAATAAAATAATGGCAATTTAAAAAAAAAAGTTGGAGTTGCTTCAAGGTGTCGGTTTTTTTCTTGTGCAGTCGTGGTCCAAATTGATCGTTACATTTGCAAATTATATCGTGTAAATTTCAATCCTTTTGCTATTATTGTTCTCATGGTATATAAGGTATACTAGATGCAAATATTTAGCAAGAATGGATTGGAAAGTGGTCAAAATCGTTGGAGTAGAAGAAAATCTATTTTGAAAACTCATGCCGACTATTCACTTTACTCTTGCTAAGATCTGCATTTGCATTCAATAAATTGGAACGAGTTTGTTGTTTAAACACAGAATTATAATTAGAATTGAAGGTTTTATTTTTGTGTTTTAAAATAACTGACATTGTTATAAGTGTTGCAAGTTGTCCAACGTGTCTTTATTATTATTATTTAAGTTCAATTTCTTAGCATTATAATAATTATTTATGTACATTTTTTATTGAAAATATGTCACATCTTGTATTAAAAACAAGTTTTGTTGACATAAGTTTTAAGAAATTACAACACTCTGAAAATTATTTATATTTATTAGAACACAAACTTTCAAATAGACTTAAACTAATAACTTTCTTAGATACCAGTCTATTTAAATATAAGACAATGTTAAAAGTTAGCAGTTGTTTTTTTCAACGATTGCAACTATTTTATTTTTTAAGGTTTCAGTGATTTGATTCATAATGTATATAATTGAAACCATCATTTTATTGAATAAAGACATTTTTTATTATGTTTTTGAAATTAGATTTTTTAAAGTATATTATAATTTCTAGATAATTAATTGGATAATTATAAACAACAGTACATTAGAATTTCCCTGTGCCTTTTTCCTGTTAATTACATTTTTTTTTAACTTTAATTGGAAATGTATTTTTTATTTATTTCACATAATGCATTGATACAAAATTTCTTTAAAATGGTGAAGGGTTTGTTTTATTTAATCATTAAAAAAGTATATCACAAGTAATCAGGAACGTATTAGATCACAATTCGAATTAGGAATTAAATAAGCCCTGTGATAATCATTACAAATGTATAAATGTAATACAAATAGTTTTCTTTCCCGTTTTAATTCATAAAACTATAATTAATTATTGAATTAAGTAAAGCACATTTTGCTGTTTTGTGACATGTTCTGAGAATTTCATTGCATCGTATTTAAACGTCTAATTCAATTATTAAGAAACATAATAAAAAAATGACGAGGTGTAATTTTGTTATATATTTTACTTTTTGTCTATCCACTTTCTCTACGATAATTTGTCAATATTAAGTGATTTACAAATGGTATAAAGCGATTTTGATCTCAAATTAGGGTGCATTATTTAAGAAAATAAATAAATTTATATATATATGTATGTTGTATATAACTACTTTATTACATTATAATTTTTCTCTTTTGATTGTATAAAATAAATTTTGATACAGAGGCGTGAGTGCTTTTCTCACTCGTTTATTTAGATGTGTAAGTTATCGACTGCTTTGTAACGATGTTAAGAATAAATGGATGTGAAATTAATGTGAGAAATTGTTTCAAATGGCAGCTGAGGGGAATAAGGGTACAAGTTTTTAATCTGTACTTTTAATACTTCTAAAAATAGCAAATGCTTGGTTAATAAACATTTTTATAATCTCGATAAAAGTTGTATTTACTATTTGAAAAACCTTTTTAAAAAATATTGGGTTCAATATTTTCAGCATTGGAAATTTTAACATTGTAATTAAAACAAAGCAAACTAGATGAACATTAAATAATAAATAAATGTAATTAATAATAAGATAGTAAGCAATAACAAAAATATTTTATTATCAAAACAGAGAGGAACGACATTCAATGAAAGGACCGTTAAAAGGGAAAATTTGCCACTCGTGAAAGTCCATTTTCCATGAACTTCTAACAATCTGTAGAAAATTTATGACTAGAAAAGTTGATGTTTAATTGACTCTTAAGTCAGTTATTTTGTTATCGAGAAATTCAAGATCTTCCAGCCGATAAGCGGTATCGTAGTTTTCACTATTGGATGTTTTAAGGCTGTCATCTTCGTTGTTCATCTCTTTCACGAGTCCAAAAGCTTCAGCTAGGCGCACCTGATTTGGCTTCCATCCAGATCGATCTATTTCAAAAAAGGTGTCAGACAGACCAGAAAGTTGCTCTAAAACGTCTGCAAAATTATACCAAAATCAACTACACTTTCATGCAATTAAATTTTACACATTAATTATACAATTTAGCTTAAATGGAGATACTGATGTTGATTTACTAATACAGTTCTAACATGCACCCTAATTATTAGTAATAAATTTAAATGAATTATATGTTTTGTCTAAGGTCTTGGTTGAGTTGAAAAAGCCAGTGTCACAGAGGGATTTGAACCCCCAACCTTTGACTCAATACATCGCTACTTTTTTTGATATCGATCAACTCAGACACCACCTCCTTATCTTAAATTATTAAATTAAAAAGGATGTAGGTTGAGTGAGGAGTCGGTGTCTAAGTAGACTGAAGTCGCCATAGTTCACGTGGTTTGAGCAGCAGCATATTGACCCGAAGGTCGTGGGTTCAAATCCCATACATGACACTAGCTTTTTCATCTCAACCAAGACTAGATAAAAGTAGAATCAATTTAAATAATTAATACAGCCAGTCAATTATAACTACTAAATACATATATGGATAAGTATAAATATTACTTTATCATAATAAATAGATGTAATTTTTCATAGGGATACAGAAGGAACTTACAATTTTTCTTAAGATAACAACGAAAAAGAAATAAAACTAATGAACAGTACGAACAATGGACAAACAAATACATGCACAAGTATTCTATCAATTTATAACGACCTAGAACAAAATAATAAATAAATTATGTAAAAACAAATTATTAACATACCTGTAACATTGTAAGAAGAATATTTATCAATTTTAGGTTGGCAAGGTGTAAACTTGCTTGGAGTTTTTGCAAACAATGTTAGTTTCCTTGGAGTTTCTGCTACTCGGATGAGATACGGTTCGAGGGAATTCATATTCGTATCTGATCCAGTATTATCATCCATGACTTGGTTCCTTAAGCCTAAAGCATAAATGGAATTTATGAAATTATAATTGCATATGGAAATGTAATATCCTAAGCAACCCTAAAATAAATTGTGAAATTTTTTCTTGAGGTCTGCAGAGGGATGGGCACGTAGTTTGGTCATTTCCGATCACAATGGTCTGCCTACCTCATTACTTCGGCCTGTTAGATGCATCATACAAACCCACAACTGAAAATGGCAAAAAGATAAAATTCATCTGACAGACCAAAACATTGTATGGCAGGCAGATGAAACTGATTAGAAATGACCAATTGCCAAATACAACTATAATAAGTCTTTCATTTAAAATTTAATTATTTTGCAGAACTATAATATAAGTAAATATACCTCTTGATGCAGAGCTGAAGGAAAATGAAAAACTGTTAGTAATATTTAGTGCTTGTGTTATTTTGTTTACACAAAACAATATTAATTCTATTTCTGCAACTAAATTCTGCATGCTGGGTTGATTGAAAAGATTCACTTGTATTTTGTATTGCAGTGTGAACAATGCTGAAACAACATGTGTATGTAACAACCAAAATAATCTCTAAACAATTATCGAAATAATACATTTTTCAAGTTCGTTCGATGCTTCCTTTATTTTCGGATCGTCTTGAACTAACCGATCGTCGGTCGTGTGCAGGTGTTTAATCAGCCTAAAACACCTGAAGAGGAATGTTTCTGCATCCTTTTTATTGTAAATACCGTCCAAAATGCTGTCTTTAATCTGTTGAGATAAGGTGGTCAAATCGTCGTGGACGACTTGAGCAAAAGCGGATGAGTCGACAATGTTGTCGAGTAGCCCTTGAAGTGTTTTGAGCTCCTTTTGACTCTCCTCGGCGAGAAATTTGAAGAAATTTCGCTTAACAATGCTAGTCGAATCCATGTAAAATGCTGTCGCAGTCGGCACAAAATAATTCTCGATGAACTCTAAACTTGCAAGGCAGCATTGGACCTTCAGCTTCACTACAAATTTAAAAAAAATCATCATTATAAATAAATAACTAATAAATTTAAAATGATGACTGTGATGTTTTCTTTTAAATATAATTATGATGACTAAATTTTTCCAAGCTCAACTTGGGGAAGTCAGTGGCTGCAATGGTTTAGGCATTGACACGGCGCTCATCACTGAAAGGTAAAGGTGCTGGGTTCGAATCCAGTGGCCCTGCATTTGAACCCGACATACTTACAAAGAGGCTTTTTTTCAAAAACACCGGTACTCTCTTCTATTGTGGAGGAGTGAACCACCCACAGAATACTATAATACAATAACTCGTAAATATTAGAAATATTAGACCGTGCTTACTGTTAAAACTTTCTGTGCAGGCAACGGCAAAATTGCCAATCGTCTGAATTTGATCGCAATAATGGTCCATTTGAATAATATCAGCATTCAAGTCACTTGGCTGTCTTGGCGTCAATTTTTTACCCAGACATTTGGTTGTAAATGTTTTAATGGGTGCACATGATTCTGACATTACCTGAAAAATTACAACGCAATCAAATGCAACATTCAAACTTTTTCTATAAAAAAATAATCCTAGTAAAATTATTCAAGAACATAAATAACCCAGTTAAAAAAAGTATTAAATTGAAAAACATTCTAAAATAATGAACAAAACTCACATGAAGATACATCCTTAATACCGCAGTGTTTACTTTCCTTTCAAGATTTTCCAGGGAAGAAAGTAACAATTCTTTTTTTAAGCTTTTAATTGTTAGTTTCTCTTTGTTTGACCTCATTGCTGAGAACTTAACTAAAACCTATTAAAAAAATGTCAGTCAAGAGTAATGTTATAAATTGGAAGATCCTTCATCAGCATATACATACATTTTTACAACTGACGGCTATCTCTTGATAATCTGTATTTGATGACAGTTTTGCGATGGTCAAGGACTGACATAAAAGGTCGTCGAGTAGATTTTTGAAGCGATCGTCAATCGGCTCATCATTTTGAATGTGATTTATCGCGTAGTCCATCGAACTGACAAAAATCCCGCTCGGCTCCCTGTCAGAATCGCACGAGCTGCCGCGAAAAACCCTTAAGACTTCGAGGAGACACCAACGTATCTTTTCAGTCAGGAACTCCATGATTTCCTATTAATTAATTATTATTATTATTATTATTCAAGTAATACAGAAATGTAAAAATATCTTCTTACCCTAAATGATGGATTAACGCCATTGTTCGTAACAACCGATATGAGCAAAGGGAGTGTTTTGTTTAACTGACTCGCACATAGTTTAGTCTTGTTGTTGAAAGGTTTGAACTCTTTTGATTTCTTGTGTCGTTTTATCTCATCAATGGCATCAGGCAAAATTTTGACAAGTGTCTAAACAAACCCATAGCACAAAAAAATATTGTTATTAAACAGTACTATTTCATAAAATAAAATAATTCGGTTGTTACATAGTACAATTTAATAAAATTTAAGTCATACAAATTGAACTGCTTTCTCAAAAAGTTTATTGATAAGAAACACTAGTTCTTACACTATATTTTTCTTTCCAGATGTGGTGGAATTTCTTTCTTTACAACTGTTTTTTTCCTAATTGATTGATTAAACATACAGGGTGAGTTTAACTTCTGTTCGTCCCTCATAATTTTTTATAAGTGCATTTTTTGGGAAAAGCCCTGAGACACTTAAACTTTTATTTTTTTGTCGTCTCTCATGCACTAAAAACTTTGGATCTAACTCTAAAGGATAACATGATAAGAATAGGAGAACAGATACTCATCAACACATATTTTTTAAAGGCTTTGTACGCTGAATTTACTGGTGCAAATGGCTTTTAATTTCGAGCAAGCTATTTTGTTATTTGTCAAAAAGTATTTCTGAGCATTGAGAGCCAATTTATTATCTTTTAATTGAATGGTAATAAATTAATTGATTTTGGTACTAAAATAAAAAAATTTGCAACAATTTCCTCAAAAAACATCAGATAACAGTATGCTTTGTAAGAGCTCATTAAAGTGCGATTCAGCTTTGTACAAATTTCGGTCCAATTTTCCTAATATCAAAATCATCTCTACTTTTTCTACTAATGTATTTTTATGTACATAGTACAACAGAACATTTTTATGAAATCGAACAACATAAAAATTAAACTTTAGTGTGATGGTTTTTGAGATAAATGGTAACTATGGATTAAAACATTTCAATAAATGTTTTGGGGGATAACTCAAAAGCCTCAAGTGTTGACAAAACAATTTTTATTCATATTTTGTTTGCCAAAAATGAATTCCTTTAAATTTGTATATATGGACTAAAATTTGCACTAGGCTGAATCGCACTCTAATGAGCTACATCCAGTGTCCTAAATCAACATTATTTGCAAAAATTGTTGTGAAGTTTGAAAACGTGAAATAATTAAGTTACTATCAATTAAAATGAAAAATAAATAAATTGGTTGTTGGTGGTAGGAGTGATTTTGTTTTTCTAAAAAAAGTTTACACGCCTCAGTGTTTTCCTAAAAAGACCCAATAAAAAAAATATAGGGGGGGAACTGAAGTTAAACTCACCTTGCTCATTATTGCAAAACTCAAATAAATCTTATTTAACTGATTGATAATGTATTTAATAACAATATGTAAACAGATCATCCAAGAGAGCAAAATTTTTTTAAAGGTATGCAATTATCTTTCATCGTTAACAATTCCATAATCATCATGAAGAAATCATCATCATTACTAACGACTACAACCCATCAATAATGGGTCACTACAAAACTATCTAACTATTATGAAACATCTTTAATATCATCCAACCATTTGTAAGAACCCATCTCCAAATTATTCACAAAAATTCTAAATCAGAATTTATAACAACTCTTAACTATTCCATACTGTTCCTAGAACCATTAACAACCATTAATTACCAATTGTCAAATTCTGTCCATTCCTATAAACACAACCAAAGTTAAATTAGGCAGGTCAAGCTGAACATAAGATCTGGAGAAAGGTGGAGTTAGAAAGTCAGCCAGACAAAAATAATTTTCCTTGTAAAATTGACCGTAAAAATGATTGGAGATCTGATTGACGCAAGGCATCTTTAACAATTAGGAAAAAATTGGCTTTGCTCGATTACCCACTTAGTGGTAAGTTAAATTTGTGAATATAACAAAAATGTTTGAATAAATCAAATCAGTAGATCAATACTGAAAAATAAATAAAAAGTAATGTAAATATCTTTTGAAAAATAGAGGGATCAACATGTTTGCTTCTGGTAATGTGGGGATTGAAGATGAACCACTGTCTCGTAAACCTTCTGAGAGACAACAAATTGCTTGTCAAGTATTCAACGTAAACGATGAAACCATTCTCTCCACTTTACATCATGTTGGGAAGACGTGAGAAGAACAAGTGTGTTCCTCATAAACTGACCGACAGTAACAAACTTCAGGCTCTAAACATTTGCCTTTGTTTTCAGAGCCCCAATGAGATATTTTTTATTGATTTTCACATGCAATGAAAAATGGATCCTGTGCAGTAACACAATTAGATACCATTGGCTGTCATCAAACAAACTTGTTTTGAAGCGAATATATTCACCAACAAAAGTTAAGATTTGAACCATTTTTGAGCGTATGCTCACTTGTTTCTCAAGATCTTGGTTGAGATGAAAAAGGTAATACATTTTATCTAAGGTCTTGGTTGAGATGAAAAAGCTAATGTCATGAGCAGGATTCGAACCAACAACCTTCGGCTCAATACACCGCTGCTGTAACCTCTTGAGGTATCATGACTTCAATCCAGTCAAACCTTACATAAAAATTATAATAAATACAGTCAATTATGACTAATAAATTTATATATATCATATATTATACCATCATTTAACTAAATCCACTACCTTGGGCTTTACATAAATAGCAGATTTACATGGAACCCACATACAAGATTAAAATGACAAGAACTTAAACCCATTTGTGAAGGATCTTTTTTGTTGGCATCAGTTTTATACCCCAACCATATCAATTCAATTTTTTTTTTAATATAATTTTTATATCCTTTTATTTTATTTTTTCTAATAAGTTTACAAATGTGCCGTACACCTCCACTGATTGAGACTTTATGTATTCTAGTGGCTTATTGTTAATATTTGACTTTACATTCTGAAACCTTTCATCCTGTTGCTGAATATACTTAGGACACGCCATTATGATGTGCTACAGTTTCCTCCACGCCACTTGTCCTCCTTCAAATTGATGATTTTCTTTAGATATGTTTTACATAGTCCGTCATTAGATTTTAACCTATGGACTATCCTGCACGTTTTTTTATTAACACTGCTTCCTAAAAACCAAGCTTGCAATGATAGTTGGGGAAAATCCCTTTATAGACCAAACCCTTTCCTATTTCCTCATACGAATGTTGCCATCCCTCCATATTCCGTTTTTTCGCTACACAATACAAATCCAAATATGGGAGCCTAATGTATAAACTTCTTCTGCTTGATTTAGCCTCCTACGTAAGCAGGCTCTTCTTCTCATTACCAATTATTTGGAGATCGTGAGATGGGGTCTGGTGTGACGTAGATTTAGAAAAAATAGGTTTTCTTTATCGTGCCAATGTTTCGATCTTTATTGAGATCATCTTAAGGGCCTGGGATTTATAAACATTGTTTAAATTATACAAATACATGTAGGATGTGAAAAAATGAATTTATATAATGTTAGAAATTCATTTTTTTCGTGACCTATCTTAACCCATCCAAATAAATAAGAAAGAGTTCCATCACTGGATGATTTCTCACCACTGCCTCTGGCCTGACAGATCTGTCAGATTTGTCTATAACTATACTATTTGCACAAAGCATATTTTGTAAAGATAGCAATAAACAAAAATTAATTTAAAAAATTAAAAAAAAAATTTAACTGACAGAGCTGAATAAATTGTCAGTTCACCAGCGGTAAGCTTAGGCCAAAAAAGCTGTAACAATATGCACTTCATAAAATTTATTATTGTAAAGTATTACTCATTTTTGCAAATAATGAATTCTATTTTGAAATTTGTTTATTAAAAAATTAAGCAGGGATAAAACGAACTCACTTGAACTTGTTTGTAAATATTGTCGGAGAGAACTTGCCTCTCCATCGCCTCAAGCTGCGTAAGCACCTTTTCTATAGCTGGAAAAGACATGGTATTTCAGTTGTCAACAACTGGAAAAATAAATTTTTGATTCAACGAAGACAACTGACAACGGATGGAAAGGAAATGTCAAAATTCAAAACGACCGTTACAAAAGGTTTCAACCAGTCAGGTTGACGTATTTTACTACCTTAAACAATAATAAAACAATAATAAAAAAAATGATCTTTTTATTTATATTTCACCTTTGAAAACAATAAAAAAATGTATATAATTTTATAATAGTTTTAAAAATAAGATCTTTAGCTGATTTATTTTTGTTGAAAAAAAATACACAGTGTCAAAATACAATTTAACCCTAATTTAAAAATATATCTACAAATCGTAATTTTTGATATCAGTATTTACATGAGAAAGTACGGTGAATTTTTAAAACTTTTTTTCCAAATGGGGGTTGAAAAAAGGGGTGAATATTTAAAAGGTTCAACAGGTGGAGGGGAACAGGTAGTGGACAGGTCCTTTTGAACTTTTTTTTTTTCTGTTGGTCCTGTTGAATTTTGATGTCCACCCTCACTGAGGTCTTTCATCAGCCCTTTGTTTTCACCGTTGTTTACATCGATTAATCAATTCTAATGTTTTATGCGAATTTTATAAAATGTAGGTCTTTATTGTGCTTAAATAACGTCTTGTATTTATTTTAATGTTTCTGTTTTTGTGTTTTTTTATCACGAAAAGATGGAATCGGACAGTTTAAACGAGATCGAGTCGGGGGACCTGGTGTTCCTCGACAACAACCAACTCACCCAACTGCAAAGGTATTTCTCATTAAAATATATATATAAAAACATAAACTATATTTAAAATGTAAATGTAATATATATAATATATTTTACCAGCCTGACGAATTGTTTGGAGTTAGACCCGATTCTGGAACAAGAATCACCCCCACAGTTAAGTTGCGTTACGGTAAGTATTTTTGTTATTGTAATTTTGTGGTAGTTAGATGATGAAGCTGCAGCTTGCACTGTCCAATCTTCGCTAGTTTGGTCTATCAACTCACCATCTTCGCTGCCAGACCAAATCACAAATTTATCAATAAAATAAAACAAAGAAGCGTGTGTATCATTGCTATTTGTTCATGTTAAATAAAATTTGTATGGTAAGTAGTTTGTATGGTATAACTGCTGTCTTTTAGGTATTTTCTTTTCAAAAATTTGCCACGGTTCACTTGACTATTTTTATTAATTTATTAATAAGGAGTATTAACAGCTTTTTTCACTCACAAATACTCTTGATCAAGGAATGATCTTGAAGAAGACTTATCCAAGATCATCATCCTTAATCTAGTTTTTGTTACAAATATATTTGGGAGAGATAATACACTGATGGACAAAATAAGTTTGATTGTAAAAATAAGATATTTAAAACGAAAATGTTTATCACCTAATTCTAAAACAAAAAATTATTGAGTAAAAAGCAAAAAAAAAATGTTTAAAAAAACACTTCTCCTTGAATACCGACTATTTCAACTTCTGCCATGAATTTCGTCCATTAAAAGCCTTTGCATTCCTTGGAAAAGATTTCTGGCAAAATCTTGAAGAATTTCCCATTCACTGTTTCCTACTATTCTTATAAGTAAAGGAAATAAACAAATGATAATTTATTGTTTATTTTGACTATAATAGCTCGTAATCACCTGTAACTGTAGTAAAAAGGTAATGGAGTTAATTTAAAATTGAGTGCATTAAATTTCTCCATCAGTGTATAAGAGATTCATTATAATATATATATATATATATCATCCCCCTTCTCAAATCCTTACATTCTATTTAATCCATCTGTCAAAAACCTAGGGAACGTATTTGATTCTGCAAACCCCACATTTCCCAAATGTACCATCCCTGCTTCTCTACCTCCACCCTCTGCCAATTCCGTCGTGCAAACCAACTCTTCCCAATCAGCACCTGTAAACTCGTGATCTCCCCTCCCCCTTGTGGTACCCCGCTTTGATTATGGTTGTATGGTCTACAGTGTGCTACCTAAGCAGACTCAAGAGATACGAATACACGGACTGCTTTCGTCGGTTCATATTTAGCTCCCCAAAGACACTGGGTATGTCTTTTTTGTATATCATAGAGTAATTTGCTTGTGGGTTGAGGGTTCTTAGGACAGGCTTAATATGTTCTGAATCAAATTTTTCTAGTGGCTTCACATTTGAAACTACTATCAACCGTGGCTTTCAGTTTCATTCCATTCTATTCTTATAGTGTAGTACATCAGTACAGTAAAACCTTCATTATTTATTTATTACATCAACGCAAGTAGCCAATTTTAAAACAGTACACATACTCAAAGTATGTGGAATTACACAGCTTTAATTTTGACCAGAGATGAACAGAATAAGTCCAGATCACTATTTAAGTTCTTTAGTACATATTCTAGGAATGGGATCATTTTTTAGGTAGTTTGTTTTATTTAATGGTATAAAGAACAGAGGAGTGAATCTGATCCTTTTATCTGGTAGATTAAAGGATATCTTCTCCAACAATTCAGGGCAACTAATATTCCTTAAAAGTTTTACAAGAAAAACAATATCAATTGATGATCTACGATCTTCTAATGAACTAATGTTCAGTACATTTCTGAGAGTTTCATATGATATCCAACTAGAATTTAGACCAAGTTTGTAAGAACAGTATTTAAGAAATTTATTTTGATCAGATTTAAGTCTATATATGTAAGTGTGATAATAAGGTGACCACACAGTTAAACTCTAAGATTGGCCTTATCAGAGTAAAAAACAATATTTTTAGGCAAAATATACTATAAAAATCCTGTGTATTTCTTTTCAAGAAACCAAGTAGTTTCAAACACGTATTTACAATAGATTCAATATGCAGGCTAAAAGAAAGAGAGAAATAAAAAATTACACCTAGGTCTTTGATTGTATTCTACATCACAGTTATTATATTTAAATTGTAATGGACTAAGTTTCTTATGATAATGAACAACATTGCATTTATCAATATTTTGAGTCATATAATTTAGATCACACCACCTGACTAGATTAATCATGTCTTGTAACATTTCCCAGTCTTCAATAGATTTTATTATTTTAAATACTTCGAGATCGTCCGCGAACAACTTAAATTGACTATTGGTAAAACACTTAACAATATCATTAATAAATATATTAAATAATAAAGGCGACATGTGGCCACCTTGTGGAACACCAGAGGTAACAGATATAGGTTCTGATTCCATATTATCTATCTTTACAATTTGAGTTCTGTTAATCAGAAAATCTCTCAACAATTCCAGCAGGCCACCATGAATACCAATCGCTTCTAGCTTAGAGCAGAGAAGTGCATGGTTAACTGTATAAAAAGCTTTGCTGAAGTCAGTGTAAATGACAATACCACACAATCTTGGGTAATGGTAGAGAAGGCGGTTCACGGAAAATCAGAATTTATTTTTTTAATGCTTTAATTAAAAGGTGAATTATTAAGACACATATTACTTTTATTAATTTGTATCTAATTGAAAAAAACTTTTATTCAAGTCCTTGTTTTAGTCGGCCGTTGGATAATCAATTGCTAATTTTAAACTTATGTTGAGGTGAGCGGCCACTGAAGAAAAGTCCAAAAGTTTTGAACGAAGCATTTGGACTTTTATTCAATTTTTTCTCTCACAAAATTGAATTTTTTTTTCTCCAAAAAATCAAATCAAAAAACAGTCTACACAGCGATGTTGACAAAGAGATACTAAAGGCCTATGACACTGATTCGATTTCAAAAATACCTCCAACACCCTACAACAAGCTTCGAAAGCGCGGTAGAAGTGCATCATTGCGTCTGTAAATGGGGAAGGGTTTATTGCATTATTCCAGAACGATGGTCATAAAGAATGTGTCCAGTTTAAACAGGCTGGTGGGAGTTTCATAGGAACATGACAAAAGACGGTGTTGAAAACTATACCTATATACATAGTATATGTATGGCCCAGACATTGAACCGCAGATAATGGAGGTTTTACTATAATTTTTTTTTTCTACTTCATTTAAGCATTTTATCACTTGCCCTGGTTGCACTAGTTGTAAATTTCATTTTTAAAAAAATTCTTCCTCGCACTGTAGATTGGGTCATTCTTGTGTGTTCTTATTGTAACCTTGTAACTTTACATATAAACCTTGCCAGAAGTAAAGGGCTTTTTATCACTGCCATTGACTCTTTATAACAGAAGTATTATAATTTGATTAAAAGTTGGTATGCCCATTGAAGGTTTATTGAAGGGCCTACTTACCTTGTAGATGTGCCTTTTTTATCTTTTTGCCAAGTCTATTTTCTGATACCCTGACATTTTGTATGTAGATCCTTGTAGTGCTTGATTTTTTTTCACATATTTAATTTAATTAAAACAAACTGGCTATTCCTGCCATATTTCTTAGATTACAAAGCATATTTATAAATGATTAAATATCTTCATACAGCATTAGGAAAATTATTTGTTTATTTTTGTTATTAATTTTGAACTGTTTTTGATTGTCTGCAAATAGAATTGAACTTTTTACTTTCTACATTGCACACTCACATGAAGGTGTGAAGAGGCTCATGTAAGCCTGACAGGGCAAATAGACTAAAATTTGTCTTCAAAAAAGTAATATATGTACATGATTGTTTTTATTATTGTTTATGTCAACAAATTACAAAAAAAATCTTATAAGATTTATTTTGTTTATTTATAATTTTTTTCTGATTGAATTTAGCTGGATGATGAACCTTTGTGCACCTTAAAATCTAATGGGTTTTCCAATTTTAATGACATATCTATTCAACCTGGGTAAGTCAGATTTGTTTTTACAAAATATAATGTTTAAATATAATAATTTGTTTTCTTCTTCTAAGGAATCTGGAAAATATTGGCTTTCCAAACCATGAATTTATCATACAAACTGCAAATCTTAATGTAAGTCTGTGGTGTTACAAAGAAAACAATCATTTGTTTACTTTAACTTTTTCAGGATATGTCAATTAGCTTACCCTCAACCGGAATCCTCCCATCACAAGATGTGTACGAAGGCCCATATGGCTTTAGAATCTCATTAGACGACCTAGGGAGAGCAGGAAATGTGCGTGATGTGTCAATTGTCACTATGAAATCACAATTTATAACTTTGTTTTCTCTAATTTTAGTATTCAAAAAAATTAAACCAAGTTTTTATACACATGAATAATGTTTTGATAGTCCAGTTCAAGACCTCAATATCAATGGATGGTAGATTTTTTATAAGAGCGCTTATGATGTACTCAGGCAGTGAATTTAACAGTGAACCCGTGACCAGGTGCAATTTACACGCCGTTCTTGACGATCCCCATTTGGAAGGTGAAATTACATTTTAAGTAACCTCTTAATAAATATTTAACAATATATACTTATAATTAAATGTTTTTTTATATTCTAGCACACAAAGAATTTGGTATATGCAAGTGCATGTATTATAATAATGCTAGGCATGTAATAAGATCAGAGCTACCAGATGCGTTTTATTGCTACGATCCAGAAAGTAAGAGACACAGCGTGCTCACAAATGTTGCAAGGCCACAACCTGGTGCAGATTCATTTTCTGTCCCTTATATCTTTAAATGCAAGACAAGCTGCAATTCCATGCAAAGGAGGCCTGTGAACATAGTGTTTACACTAGAAAATGAACTGTATGTTAATTAAATTCACTAATTTCGTGGTCCACTTGACCAATTAAATCATTACAATTAATTAAGGTTTTTAGTTGAGATGAAAAAAAGTTAATTTAGTTGATGTCCGAGTGGATCGAGGTCACGATAGCTCAGGTGGTAGAGCAGCAGCGTATCTAGTCGAAGGTCGTGGGTTCGAATCCCTCTCGTGCCATTAACTTTTTTTCATCTCAACTAAAAACCTTAATTAATTGTATGTTAATTGTTGTAAATTTGTTTTATAAATGAGATGTAATTATAATATTACTATTTTAGATTTGAAGTTCAAGGCAGGAGTATTTTAAAAATCACTATAAGCAGCTGCCCAAAACGGGACAAAAAAATCCATGAGGGAAAGGGATCCAGTGACAACTCTCATAAAATTAAAAAGGCCATCAAGGTAGAAACTAAGAAAATTAACAAGGTAAAGTTATGTTCATTTGGGAATGAATTTTATTAAATTGTTGAATGTGGAGTACGAGTGGCCATTTTCCCTTTTTTGTAAGTGTGAAAGACAAGTTTAAATTTAATTTCTAGATTATTTGGAGATAGTGAGATGCGGGCAGATGTGACAGGTTTAGAAAAACATTTTCTTTATCGTGCCAACGTTTTGATCAAATACATGTAAGATGTATATTTGTATAATTTAAATAATGTTTATAAATACCAGGCACTGAAGATGATCTCAATAAAGATCGAAACAAAAGACGATGGCACAATAAAGAAAATGTTTTTCTATACCTATATCACACCAGACCACATCTCACGATCCCCCAAATGATCATTAACTAACAGTCACTAAACACCACACATTTATTTCTAGAAATATTTTAAGAAAGTAAAATATGCAAATGAATTGAAATGGCTTCAGGGCCACCTTTAGCTTGAGAATAATTTTGGATTAAAAAAAAAAAAGTGTGAATTAACGGAACAAATACAGTGAAACCCCCATAATAGGCACCCGTTTACAGCGACCTTTTACAGACAATTTTTGCAAAGTTAACGAAAAAATTTTCTCTTCTCTGTAACGGAACCTCTCCATACCAGTTGCTTACAATCTCATCAGTCCCGATCAGGGTAAATCACCCACCTAAAACAGAACGCCTAATTCCTGCAAATTTCATCAAAATTCGTGTAATGGTTTCTGAGGTACAGTTGTGTATGGGATTTTATGTTTGTGCATGCGCAGGCGATACCGTTGATCCAATTGGGCTGAAATTCATAGGAGACTATCTAGAAACCAATCCGCACAATCTCTGAAAATGTCATAAAAATTGGCCATGTGGTTTCGAAGTTTTGCTGGTATTGGAATTGACCAGAGACAGACAGACATGGAACCAGATTTGATCAAAAAGGTCTGAAATACAACATGCTAGTGGAAATTTTGATTTTGGGGTGAAAAAAATTTGGTTTACCTTTCTTTGGTGGGTCGGAAGCAAAAATTATTTTAAACCCCTCCTGAGCGGACAAAAACGCTCATTTCTATTATGTTCGTTATAGAGGGGTTTCATTGTATTATAAACAATTATTAGCTGTTCACTACAAAAAGTTGTTTATTATTAATTTAATTTTAAGAAAACTAATATATTTTTATTTATGCAATGAATGAATTTTCACAATTACTTATACTTTTAAGAAGGAAATGTTCCCCAAGCTGCCTTCAACTGAAAATTTCTTGAGTCAAGATCATTCTGATAGCCTTTATGGTTTTAATGTGTTTTTAAACAACAAAGGGAAATCATTTCATGTAAGTAATCATTGTTTTGTTCTCAATTTCAAAATGAACTCTGTGCTTTTCTTTATCCTTTTAGTATTCGGAGCTGTCAAATAAAGTTTTTATAAGTATGAATAGTGTTCTGATGGTTAACTTCAGGATGCACAGACCAACGAATAAAAGATTATTTATCAGAGCTGTGATGAAGTATTCAGACAGTGAACATGCGAGTGAACCTGTCGACAGGTGTTTGTACCATAAGTCGGTTGATGATCCACATTTAGAAGGTGATGTTAGAGTTAACATTATATGCTCTCACCATTCAATTTTTTTTTTTTTTTTTTTCTGATTTCAGCTCATGGTGATAATTCCTGCAACTGTAACTGTTATAACAACGCAGGCCATGTAATTGCGTGCAATTTACCCGAATCTGTTTATTGTTACGACCAAGGGAACAAGAGGCATAGCGTGATCGTCTCTGTTCCTTCGGCGCAACCCGGCACAGATTCGTTTTCCATCCCTTACATATTTAGATGTCTTACAACATGTCCTTCCATACAGAGGAGGCCAGTTAATGTTGTCTTTCTCCTTGAAGATGAATGGTAACATTAACATTTTAATTTTGAAAAATTTTAACTATGATTTTTTTTTCTTCTTTGTCTTAAGGTGTGAAGTACTAGGGAAAAAGATTTTACAAGTGAAAATCTGTGCGAGTCCCAAACGTGATATGCGAAGTCATGAGGCTAGTTATATGAAGGAAGCGAATAATGCTGCCATGTTGTGCCCAAAGGCACCAAAAAGAGTCATGTCTGAAACAGAACGGCATCAGATGAAAAAAATAAAAACAGAATCTGCGTCTGACAATAGTGTAAGTTATAGTTTTTTAAGCATTAAAGGGTTTTGTCTTATTTATTCAACTAGTTTTGTTTTATTTATTTTTATTGTTTATAGAACGAAGAATTTGTTCTAACATTTGCCAAAAATGTCAACTCTTTACTTCAGACTCTAGACAAATATCAAGAAAAGGACATGCTCAATAGCCAGCATGAAAAGATGGTAATCACTGAGCAGCTCAACTTGGACAAAACTCGTGTCAAAGAAAATTTGGCATTTTTTAAGAATCTTTTATAACTTGTATTATCTGTCTATCTCAAGGTTTCTTACCTGTGCTGTGCCATGTTTTGATATAAACAATTTTCATTTATTGTCATTTTACTTAAGGAATATGTTAGACTTATTATTTTGTTTTTTTAAACAAATTACTTTTGTACTGTTGTTTTATATAAATTAATTTTGTACCGTTTTGTACTACAAAAAATAAAAAAAAATATTTGTAATAGTTTTCAGTTGTAAATTATGAAATTTGCTCTTTACAGATCATTTTAGTCTGCCTATTATGCTGAGTCGTGTTAGGCATTTTGTCATCTTCATCATGTTTGACAATCAAAAGGTGGATATATATAGACCACATTGATCACCAAATTGGAGGTTCATCACCCTGCAGGCCCACAACACATAGAAAATCTCACAATAAATTATTGTATTCATTTTTTTTTTTTTTTCAAAAGTAAACATTGCTTACTGTAAAATGAGACGTGCCACACAATGTTTTCACATAGGTAGACATTTTTGCTTTAACGTGTAGAGATTAGTGACCGTTAATCGATAGTAATTCAGATATCGTGAGGTTACGGTCGGGTGTGATGTATGTTTCAGAAAAACAAAACAACGTTTTTCTGAAACATACATCACACCCGATCACATCTCACGATATCTGAATTACTATTTTTTGCTTTAAGTTCATAACTGCCGATTGTCATCACTTTTGTACATTTTAATTTTGAAATAATGCAAAGAAATTGATTAAGAGAATTGAAGTTGACATTGCAACTAAGAGAATGAATAAAAGCAAGATGAAAAAAAAATGTACTAATAAATAAGTAATATGTATGAAGCTGTTAAATAATGGCAAAAAGTCATCATCATAGGTGGTCAATCAATTAGTCACAGGTTTCAAATGGTAACTTAATGGCAAGATGACCAGCTAGAAAATAGTTATTAAATGTGATCATTTATACTAGAAAATGATGGTGACGGGACAGTCCATGGATCAATAGCTGTCAGAGGTCTCTCAAATGTATTCCAAATTAAAGGACAATGAAATTCCCAGGTATTTCACTAAAAATAAGCTTTTTTTCTCTGCAATGATCAAATTTATCTTTTGTGTGCTACTACTAATACATGTTATTCATACATTTTGAAAATATTTAGAATGGCCAAAACGCTCCGGGTTCCCTATCCTCAATTATTTGGTATGTATAATGCATCAAATTTCAAAATCAAAAGGAGAAACGAGTGGTCAATTGTTGATGAGGATGGGAAAAGGAGGGTGTGGAAGGTTCACTACCGAGTGTCTGCTGCACATTGGATACAACCTCAGATGCCATGAGGGTCCAGCTAAAAGGCAAAATACCAAGACGAGATGACTTGTCATTGGGCCTGGTGTGCACCCAAGCCCGAATGAAATATCTCATCACTACTGCCGAGATATCTCATCATTTGCCTCACAACAGACGACACTTCGTTCAGTTCAAAGTTGAATTTGGACTTAACTTCAGCACTTTATTACAATTTAACTTTTGCTATTCAGATTTAGTTCAACTAGTTTTTAGTTGTTTTTTGCTTGTAAAATATTTTACAATAATAATAATAATTATAATAAACCTCAAGTGGATTTGAAGTTGGTGTCAAAATTATTACAATTTTATCCATTATTTAACTTTTGAATTGCCTGATTTATTACTGCAAAATCAAGACGTTTGCATTTTGCCTCGTATTACCATGCAATGAAAAATTTTGCTACAACCTATAGAATTTTATCATAAGCATTACTTCCTTTGTAACCAACGATATATATAATATACATATAAGAAATACAGATGAGTGATGGGAAAATGCTTTAGTTTTGTTGTCAAAGAAATGGAAATTACCGGATCCACTATTTTAAAATTAAGGTCTTTGGTACAAAATTTATTATTTTATGAACTTCTTGGCCTAATGATGTCACTTCCTGATGAGTATAAATACATACACTAGATGAAATGTGTTATGTTCTAGCACAAAATAAATACAAATTACCGTACTTACTGCTCCTGATTAGGAAAAAAAGACAATTAGAAAATGTAAAAAAAAAGAACAGTGATCTTCAAATCAAAAATTGAATTTTTTATTGAACCGTGTGAACAAAAACATCAAAAGTTATGAGACATACAAGTTATGTTATTAAGAAATGGATGTCATTCAGCTCTCATCTCCGTTTAACCCATGCTCAATGGCTATTCAGTTCAGATTTGAACCATGATCCTCGTTTGAACGCAGTTCAAGACAAACTGAAAATTTTTTGAGTTGAACTCGGTTCAGCATTGAATTGAGTTTAAACCAAATTGGTGCATTTAAGTGATATTAAATTAAGGTAGAATATTGGGCTGGAAGTACTGAAACAGAAATCGCATTTTGATTGTGTTCATTCAATCAGTCCTATCAAGACAGACCGGAAAATCCTCAGGTGAGTTACCAAAACTGTAAAATAATTGGCCCTTGTGAGCGTAAGCCAAGTCAAAACATCTTCATTGAAATAAGGATATCCTTAAGAAATGAAAAAAAAAAAAAAATCAACTGTATTCCCAAGACATAGAAAGATTTAATTGTTTATTTAATCAATTTTTCAGGGGGATTGTCTTCTTGGTATTTTGTGAAATTTAACCTTGGCCATCTATATTTAAAATAATAATAATAATCACAGAATAGTATTATGCAGGAAATGGATTTCATTAATAACAAATGATATTTAAGCTTCCTTTGTTGAGAAATTATAGTAAATGTACATGCTTCGTATTTTTCTGTTATCTAATTTAATACAAATATAAAACAAAATTGGTTTTTCAATTCACAATTTACTCATTTTTTTTACTCACTTGGAATATAGTAAATTATAGATAACTTGCTTATAAAAAAGTATTGTTAAGACAGAATTCAATAATATTTCATAAGGTATATAGCAGGTTTACATTTAATGGTACACTTGTAACTATGTAAAATAATAAAATAACATAATAAAACTAAAAAATTTAAAAATAAAAACATTCTAAACTATGCTTCTATTCTTAAAAGAAATATTTTAAACAAATTACAACTAACAACGACTAATAAAAATTGTTTATTTTAGAATATATTTATTAATTACGATTATTTGACAGAAAATGAAGGCAAATTTTATTTACACTATTAAAAAAATAAAATAAATGTACATAGTGTATAAAAATTGAAGAGTCAAATATGGTGTTTGATGAAGTTATTTGTAATAAAGATTATTTTATTTTCTGTCTAGCACTAAAAAAAGCTATTTCTTAGAACTATAAAATAAAATAAAAACAAAAGGAACTCCTTTAGAAAAAAAAAGACAAGTAAACCATCCATTTTAAGACAATAGAAGTCAACAAATGTTTTCAATTAAAATTTATAATTATAAGAAAATTAAAGTCAATTTTTTGTTTTATACTCCATAAACACATGTATTAGTATTGGTTAAATGTACTGCCCCCTCTTTGGTTCCCTGGGTTAAAGTTAGAGAATAAATTCCTTCCACCTTGCATTAAGCTGTCAAGGGCTCTTTGTACTGAAGGGTCTTTTAGGAGTGGGCTTGGCCCTTCTTCTAGGAAAAAACAAAATCAGTATTATTCAATTAAATAATAGACAGAAAGAGGTTGATATTTCTCACTCTGTTCTCCAGGCGGTGGCACCCCTTGTGGTATGTTCTGTTGAAGAGCGTTTGGAGTATTGCCTCCAGTTCCAGACTTATTTAGAATGCTCAAAATTCTAGTCTGGAGCTCAGCCTGCTGTGTCACTGGTAAGGAATTTTCTATGAAAAAAGAATAATATTATTTATTAATTATTGGATTTTTAAAAATTTGTTGTTAAACAGCAGTCATATTAATCTCTAAATAAATTGGTGGTGATGAATCGTTTTTTTAATTAATTTATTTTTTAATAATAAACCAGGGTATTTCAACTAAAGGTTATATGAAACTTTCTTAAAATATTATTTATTTATTATTCGAGGGGGAACCATGTCTTAACCGTTGCCGTCACCAACAACGCCATGGGTGTAAATATCTTATTAAAGCAAAAATGTTTTTGTACATTCCACTATTAAGCTGAATTACCTTGATTTACCGGAGGTTCCAATTTTAGTTTTTCCTGTATGAAATGTTGAATCAAAACATCAAACTGCGGAACTGTAAGTTTCCTTGTCCCTGAAATGACCAGTTCTAAAAGATGCCTGATTTGTTCCGGCGGAGTCTCCACACCTCTTTTCAAGGATACTGACTTTGTGTAGGCCTCATAATTACGATTAAGGAATGTAACAGCATCCTCCAACAACATGTTACGATGTTCTGGAAATTAAAATTGCGTTAATGACCGATCGGGCGCCTAACTAGATGCGAGTACCTTGAGGTGTTCCATGGAGAACTTCTAGCGTTAAGCTCCTGTTTACTTTGTGCGCTGGGTTTACAACTATGGCATACAGGGTTCCACGGCTCGCTATGTTCCCGAGCACTCGGCTAAGCAAGGCAGATTCATTTGGAAACATCAAATCCACACTAAAGCCCAACGATTTCAAGCGGGTCTCAATGAACTCTCCATAGTCACTGTAAATTACAATCGATATGTATAAAATATTTTAGGAAATGGGTGTTAGTTTTTTTTTTTTTTTTTTTTAAATTTTGACTCATTATAAAGGCAATCCTTTATAACCTGATAGTTCCTTTAGCTCAAGGGTGGGAAAAGCCCTATATAAAGATTTAAGAAAGGGTTAGTTGGGAATCGATTCTACTCTTCGTTTGGAGCAAAAAAATGCTCAGGAGAAAATTTTCAGAAAGTTCTCTATTTTGAAGATATTCGTCAATTTAGCTTTTTTCAACTTTTCACTACCTTACCACATAAAAACGCTTACAACTTCCAAAATGTTGAGACTACAACAAATCCAATTATACCATTTGAAAGAACGCTAATTTTGCTGTAAGATACTTCTATTTGCAAAAATCTGAATGACATAAAATGCTAGCCAATATCAGTTGGAACATGTCAAAATTACAAAATTTAAAATTTTGGTCATGATTGCACGTTCTACTGAGGTTACAAAAAATACCTACAAGTTGTCATAATTCACAAAAACTTCTTCATCTAATATGCATTATGTTGATATATCCAGGTTTTTAAATAACATTCTAGTAGAGTTGAAAAATCAACGTCGATCACGTTAATCAGCCTTGGGTCAGTTTTGAAGGAAAAACGTTCGGCACTAGTCAATAGACGTAATGACGTGTTTCACCTTGACAATACGTCCTCACACAGTTGAACTCACTCAAGTAAAATCGACGAATTACGCTAATAACAAATGCCCCACACCCTCCATACTCTCCAGACATTGCCCCTTACGATTTTTACCGTTCTTCTCCCTAGTCAACCACTTAAAAGGAGGGAATTTTTGAACGAAAACTTCTGCAATACGAACTTACAAATTTTTTTCTCATCAAAGTATTCAGACTTTTGCAAAAAGAAGATATTTCTACTAACAGATCTTTGGCAGTATATTATTTAAAAAAAATATATATGTTTTTGATTAAATAACAAATTTATTTATTTTTTCTTGTGAAAACCGAAAAAACTGATGCACACACCCAATATCACAAATACATGTTTGTGTTATTAACTTCATTGTGAGTGTCAGTTTAGAAAAAAATTGTTTCAATTTTTATTCATGAAGAAATACCAGCCTATTTGGTTTGTTTTATTACTTCAATGTTTTTATCTGTGTAAAGTGTCTCTTTCAATGTCTTTGAACTGTTTAATGTATGAGTTTATTAATAACATACGTTTTCTAAAAACTTACGTTAAAGATTTGTTCATTACAATGATCTCTATGTCATTAATTCTATCATTGTTCGGCACACTAAGTGATACAGGAGGGTTGGCCGGTGGCAGCTCCTGTGGACCCCAAGGGTCTTTTTCCTTTGTCGACTGTGCCCATGGGTCGATGTCACTGCGGAACGCTGGAGAGTCTCGGAACTGGTCTCTAGGTCCAAAACGATCTTGAGGGCCGCGGAAGCCCCCCATTAGCATTGATTTGTCTCTGAAGTTATCTCTGTCATTCCCTCCGTGGAAATCTGTAAATGATTAAAAATTTAAGGTATGTACTGTTTTGTACAATTTTATTTTTAAAAAATATTTGGCTAACAAAGCAAGAGCCTATGTGAATGAATTTTGGCATTGAATCAAATTTGGTAAGGCTTAACATGAAGGGAAAGAAAATTTATTTATCATGCAGTTTTTCTAAATAAAAGACCTGAGGAAACTACCTCTTCATTCAAAATTTATTATTTACTGAAATTTAATCTGAATGAGTATTGAGTTTGGAAAAAAAATGTAGGCAACCAAATTAAAACTTTATTAAATTAGAATTAGAAAGAATATAAGCATTAAATGAAGATTAATCCATACATGCAGTCATAATTAACAATAGTAATTATTTTAATTAATTATGCTTTTAATCTTTAATTATACTAAAACATTACATTAAACTGTGTCCATCCTGCTTGTGACACTAGCTTTTTTTATCTCAACCAAGATCTCAGATTAAAAGTACAATTAATTAAAATAATTAAATGTAGAATTGAAATAACCAAATTTCCCTTAATAAATCTTCCAAATGTTCATCAAATATTTTATTGTAATATTTAATGGCTTTATTCTGTGCAAAAGACAATCCAGAAAAAAAAAACGAGGTAGGATAATTACTAATTGATTACCTCTAAAATCACCAGTACCACCAGGCCCTCTGTAATCACTACCGCTTGCTCCAGGCCTGAAGTTTTCAGCCCATGGGTTAAATGTATCGTTATCCCTGAAATTGTTTCCCCTAAAGTTTCCACCTCTGCCTTCATTTCTGAAGTTGTCACTCTGATTGAAAGGTGGCCCGTTGTCTCGGGCAAAAGGCGCAGGACGATTATCCCCGCCCCTGAATCCACCTACATTATCATCCCTGAATCCTGGGCTATCCCTGGACTGAAATGGATTATCATCGTTTTGGTTAAAAAGACTCGGTGGTCCTCTTCCACCGATGCTGCCACCTCTCCCTCCGCGCATTCCGCCTCTTCCTCCACGTCCACCACCACCATCATTCCTCCTGAAATGCGTGCATTGTGTAAAATAACTTAATATTCATAATGATAAAAGCAAAATGAATTTTGAAACAATATATTTTTACCCAGAGTCTTTTGATAATGGAGACCTGTCCCTAAGTTGCTCTGGATTGTCAGACTGATTTTTATCTTGATTACCAGAACTAGACCTTGGTGCTTTTGCAAACTGTACATCTGTAACAAAAAGTAATATAGTTGTAAATGAAGCTGAAGTTTGGCTTATAAATGGAAAAATTATGCAGTACAGTACGACAATTTATATTTTACAGGACTTGCCCTACAATGATGTCAGATGATTCAGCCAAAAATGTAATAATAATAATAGTTTATATATATATATATATATATATTTTTTTTTTTGTGAATTGCCTCTCCAAAACCTTGTACATATTTTGCAGTACAATAAAATATAATTCAAAATTAAAATAACAGCAAGAACTGATTCATAGTGTTCATTAAATTTTTTAAAAAATTACAGAATTTTTTTCCAGCTCAACAGGCTGACTTACACCCATCCACTGTCCCAATGCATGGAGAGTTGTGCCAGTAAATTCAATTTTAATCTGACAAGGCTTGCAGAACCGATTCACACATGACTGGAGTAAATGTATAATATCGGGTTGTCCGGAAAATAATGCAGGATTTTAAGTTTTCATTAAAAAAAANTGATTAAAGAACATTGCTTTAAAGTAACTAGTTTCTTTTTTTTTGTTTAATACCAAAATCCTGCATTATTTTCCGGACAACCCAATAGTTTATCTGATAGCAAACTTTCAGCTGAAGAAAATAAAGGACCAGACAGCAACCGCAAGAATATGTAGACTTTTTTAAAAATTATTTTTTACAAGAGGATCTCCAACACTGAACTGCTTCTCATTAAACGTATTAAGATAAACTGTCAAGAAGCAATTCTTAAGCACAACACAAATCAAATTTTGTACACTACCTGAATTAAACTGCATTGTTTTATTACTCGGTTTTGTGCCAGAGTGTAAATGTTAATTATTATTATGATAAATTACATTACAGGGAGACTATTATCTACAGTAGGAAGTTGTTCTTAAAATTAACACGTACAATTCAATTATGATTAAAATTCAACACAATTACCATCCAAGGAAAATTTACAATTCACAAAGATAAGTAAAAGTAAAGTAATTCCTCATCAGGAATCCTTAATGTCCAACTATTGGACTGGCTGGGTGTCATGAACGAGAAGACAAACTACTTTACAATACATCTTTCATTCTTTTACTTATCTCAATAATCTGAATTATTTCTTTTGAGAAAACCCAGGTTTCTATTACTTTTGGCTATAATTATTCGGAGATCGTGAGATGCGGTCTGGTGTGATGTCGGTTTTAGAAAAACATTTTCGTTATCATGCCAAGGTTTCGATCTGTATTGAGATCATCTTCAGTTGTTCAACTTTAATTGATAAACAAAATTCAAAACAGCTTGATATAAAAAAGGATTTTTGTTCACATATTTAAAAAAAAGTTGACTTACTTTTAATATGGAATGATCTATCTTCTAACAGTCTTACTTTAGTTCTTGTAATTAACAATAGCAAGTTCAAAAATTTCCAATTAATTTTTGAAAGCATGTATTTTCTCTTGCATATGTAATGCACACTCATCAAATCATGTTATCATTAGACAGAAGGGTTGACAAATCATAAATCAGCAACTTTTATGCAATGGCACCATATTGCCTGGTAATCCAAGGCAAATATGCTTAATTTAATAATAAATCCAGTAATTTACATTTCTTTGAAAATAGAACAAAAGAATTTTCTCTCTAATTTAAAAAAAATATATATATTTATTGATGGACAAACATCCATAACTAATTGAAAAAAATAATTTCATTTATATAATTTCACACGAAAAAACTTGACACCACAGTTTATACCCTGAAGATGACCCGAATAAAGGTCAAAATGTCGGCAAAGAAATGAATAAACTGTTTTTCTAAAATTACTTCATTCCTGATCACTCCTCACTACTTCAACACACACACTCACACGCACGCACAAAATTGCTGACTCGAAATCCAGTACTTTTTACGATAAAATTCAGTTTTAGTAAATTGATTCATTACAATTACATAAATAATAATATCTATTAAGTAAAAGAAGTATCACTTCACTCACAGCTCCCCGCAGCCACTTCATTGCTGAGAATCGAATCCTGATTACACAACATTTGAAAAAATGGAAAAGAAAAGGGAAAATTCGAAAGGTTGTCGGTTGAAATGGAGAGTTGGTGTCTGAGTGGATAGAAGTCACGATTGCTCAAGTGGTTAGAGCAGCAGTGTTTTGAGCAAAGGTCGTGGGTTCGAATCCCACTCGTGACACTAACTTTTTCATCTCGACCAAGACTTTGCATAATAAGAATAATTAATTGAAAGAAGTAATTTGGCCAATTAGACCACTAAACATAAATGGATTAATATTTAATATATAATAGTAACATAAATTACCTAATTTGCGTCCAAAATGGTTTTGGCCATTCAGGTCTTCCATCGCAGCTTTTGCCTCACTTTCAGTTGTGAACTGGACAAAGGCGAAATTCCTATTGAGCCGAACCTCTAAAACAATACAATGTTTAAAATAATTTTGACTCAAACGTAAAACTGCTGTGTGTACAAAAGTCAATTTAAGGGTATTTATTTATGTACGGGTTGTTTTAATACTTTAATCATTTATTATAAGAAGTAATTAATATAATCTTTATTTTTGTAGTTGTGCTGTTAGGAGAGAAATGGTGATTTCAATTTATTACTGATAACTGTTTATTGATAACGAGTTTTCGAAGGTTTAGTTTTTCAAAATTTGTTTAGTATATTAATCCATGAGTTTAAATATATTACTTCAAAATAGATATATTTTTTTGGATGTTTTGGAGTTTTCGAGCCAAAAAGTAAGGTTAACTGCATTTAAACAACACAGCTTCTAAAATAATATTTCTTATTTTATAAGGATAGAAAGGCGCACCGAGGATTTTCCCATGTTTGCCGAAGAGTTCTTCGAGGTCTTTCTGCGTTGCCTGGATTCCGAGGGAGCCGACGTAAAGTCGTGAGGACGGGTTTATTTTCCCTCCGCTGCTCATCGCGCGATTCTGTCGACGCCTTTCGACCGGGTTTCACGGTTGTTTGTTTATGGTGAAGAAACGCCGATGGGCGAGCAAAAAGCCGCTGTAAAAAAACGTTTCCGGCCTAGCAGCGAGTCTTGTTTCCCTCTTTGCCCTCGATCTCGATTCTAAACTGAACACCTTTTCATAGAATTACGATGAAAATCTCATAGTACCAAACAAACCCGATGCCATACCTCGAAGGAACTGTTATCGGTATAGGGATACCGACTGCCGACTTGGCTATGTAATTCAATGATCAAGTTGTCATGTATAGCTACTTACACGTACAAAGTATCGATTCTTCACTGGTTAACTGGTACTTCCACTTTCGAGACTTATACGTTTATATTCAATTATTTAACTGATTCGATACGTTATCTGAAGTTTCGGTACCAAGCCCAATGCCCTCCACAAATGTTTGTAAATTCAAAGTCTTATTTCCTGGTAGTTATACTTTCGATACTAAAGGTTGCTTCCGATACTAAGCACATCAAATTTTCTACCGGTTTATTTTGTTTCATTACTGGTATTCCAGTATAATTAAAATATATAATTTTTTTTACATATTTAATACACAATCGCTTTCCATTCCTCATTTGAAGTTTGTTATATAATTATTATTTCTAATTGAAATTTTTACTGAATATAATTCAATAAATTATGCACAAAATAGTCTTACTTTTACTTACTTAATCAACATATATTTAAGTGCTTTCTAATATTATGTATATAATAATATTTTATATTAATTTACAGTGACAATTTAAAAATTTACAATAACAATGATAATTTATATGAAACATTCTTCTAAGCTATTTTCTGACTACATAGTTTAATACTTAAATAATTTTAACCTTGTTTTCTTAGTTTTGCTAACATTTTATATATTGTGTATTTCTATATTTAAACATTTTTTTGTAAATCGGATTAATTCTGCAAACTATATTATTACTATATTAATAATGTTTAGCGGTCATAATTAAACATATTATTTAATCTAAGGTCTTGGTTGAAATGAAAAAGCTAGTGTCATGAGCGGGATTCAAACCCACGACCATTGATCGAAGTCACGATAGCTCAGAGTGGTTAGAGCAGTGGAAAATTGAGCCAAAGGTCATGGGTTTGAATCTCACTCATCACCTTAACTTTTTCTTCTCGACCAAGACCTTAGTTAAAAGAATAATTAATGGAAATTATTATTATTATTTCTGCAGTTAACTGACTCCTGATGAGGACTTCAAACTAGAAGTAGAAAGCTGTTGTGAATTAGTTCAATTAATTTTAGCATAATTCAACAAAGTATACACAAAATACTCTTATTTTTTAATTATTTAATCAATATATTTTTAAGTGTTTTCTAATATTTATATATTTTAAAATATGCTATATTAAATTTACAAGGACAATGTAAAAATTTACAATAATAATGATAAATTTATCATTTTTATGTATATTTATATGAAACATTCTTTTAAGCTATTTTCTTACTTTACATATTGTTTAATACTTAAATAATCTTTTCTTCATTTTTTTTAGTTTTACTTTTATATTGTTATATTTTATATATTGTATATTTTTACATTTAAACATGTTTGTAAACTGGATTAATTCTGCAAAATATATTATTATTATTATATTAATCAATATATGTTTAGCGGTCTTGACCATATTGTTTTTTTTTTAATCTATGGTCTTGATCGAGATGAAAAAGTGACACAAGCAGGATTCGAACCCAGGACCATCGATCAAAGTCACAATAGCTCAAGTGGTTAGAGTAGCTGCATATTAGCCCATGGGTTCGAATCCTGCTCATGACCTTAACTTTTTCTTCTCAACCAAAACCTTAGATAAAAAAAATAATTAATTGAAATTATTATTATTGTTTCTTTAGTTAATTGACTCCCGATAAGAACTTCAAACTAAAAGTAGAAAACGGTTATGAATTAATTATTTAAAAAAAATGTATTTTATTTGTGATAGCATTAAAAAAAATTCTATGTAGGAAAAGTTTTGATACTTTCAGGTGTAATAAAACTCAATATATCTATTTCATTTGCATTGTATCAACTGTAAATAAGAATACAAATTTTTAAAGAAGTATAAACAATAAAAATTTTATTAAAAATATGTATATGTTAAATGTTATAAAATCTCTTTTATTATTTTTCCTGTCTAGTTTTAACATAATTGAAGCTCTTAGATTATCTGATGACAATGTTGCTAGGTGCTAAAATGTTCTTCCATAAATTAATCCATCATTTTTGAAAACCCTGTTGTTTATATCATGTAACCCCCCTTAGTATAAAAATTAGCATATCTGATTGGGTGGGTGTTCATGAATTATATTACATTTGGTGGGAAGAGGATAGGCCAAAAGAATATGGGTCGGGCCTGCTATGCTGATTTTATAAAGGTGGTATAGCAAACTGTTGTGGTTTAGGTTAAGTCTGTAGACATATTTAAAAAAGTTTCTTGGTCCGTTGATGAAACTGAAACACAATCTAGATGGTATTTTTGGTTGGATGTACACATATACTTTCCCTTTTTGAGTCTTTTATTCATACTTCATTTGCCATCTCTTGCATATTTGTCTACAAGAGCATTTATTGTTTAAACATTGCTTTTCCAGAACCTGAACAGGCAGGCCTTTTGATAAGATAACTTATTTGTTATATATGTTGATGCTATGAGCTTTTACCCAAATCAGGAAGACATCCGTTTCACTTTTACTCATACCTATAAGCACTGCTTATTTTTTGTAATCAGCAAGTCCTTTATATGGAGAGAAAAACACTGAGGCTGTCTGATAGAATTATTGATGTTCAGTTTTTTTGTTCAGGTGTTTTATTATAATTGTGATGTTTGTATCGTTGTGAGATGGGAATATCGGTCAATGGTTGTTGGCACAAAGAAAATGACTTCGAATCCTGGCCGACGTTTTGATTTAATTTTAAATCTTTTTCAAGGCTGTCGCTTGATATCTAAGTGTCTTCTTTTTTTAAAAATTTATTTATTGTTATTAATTGGCCAATGTTCCATGTTATTTTTCTACTCCATTGGTTGCTACCAACTATTATGTGTTTTATTATGTATTACTCAAGTACAGCTAAGCTTTTGGCTGTTATTAATTTAGTAACGAATAATTTATTTATGTTAATTACTTGTGATCTCTATGTGAAATTAATAACTTCATGTATGTACAAACATTATAAAGATAATAACCTTAAGGCTGATACCAATCAAATTAAGACATTTAAATATAATTGTGCCAGGTAGGGCAAGGGGTGCCTGTGCTACCGATTTCAGTCGGGTCAGGAACTCTGTAATGGCAGTGACGAGCCATGTAAATCTACAGAGGTTATCCCGGAATGTGTGCTTTGGTTTCCATCCACTAGGGACTTGTAGCCATAATTTCTGATTCTGCATGCAAAATGGAAGCTACGGATGGCTTATCAGATTCAGTGTTGCTTGTCTTGACGCCTGCATCTGGATCGCTTTCACCTGCCACAGTTGGTTCTGCGCGTCACGATTTTCTGCAGAAAGAAAAGAAGTTGACATCTCCATTATTAACAGAAAGTTAGACGCATAGCAATGGAACAAGCAAGGAAAATGTACTTCAGTCAAAATCAATTTTAAATTTTAAAATTCAATATCAACATGATTTACACTAAAAAAAAAAGAAATACATTTGTATAAAATATATAAAACAAAATATATTATTTTACAGTAATTGTTAGCAACTCATAACATACAATAAAATTTGCCAATTTGCACTCCCATTAATTACGTCGCCTTTTTCTCCTATTGTCTTTTGTCGTGTTATTCTCCATTTTCACTTCTGTGATTTGGGGTGACTTGTTAATTATAGGGGAGGGTGGTGGTAATTTGTCCTGCACACCAGTGTCATTATGTGTTGAATGCATCACATCATTAAACGACAGTGAAGGGCAGGATTTTTTTTGGGCTTCTAACGTTTTTGACCTATTTTCATTGATGAGTGGTGAATTTGATATCCTCCTTTCATGCGTTCCATCATTATAAGAGGGTGAACGTGATTGAACAGGTTCATGTCTGTAAATATTAATTGATTTAATTAGAATGGCACAAACTACAAATTATGTCATTTGGGTAATTTTTCTATTCAAGCTTTTCCAACATTTTCTTTAGCCTTAAGCCATGTTCAGTGTTGCTCACCGACATTAAATAAAAACTATGTATAAAAAGAAAGTTGACAAAGTTTGAATATAAAAATCACCCAACTCACGTAAAGAGACAAAAAGAAAAAATGCAGAAAATTAAACGTAAAATAATTATGTGGTCGACGGAACATATCTGAATCAAATTTGTCAAACTACTGTACTAGGAGCTCAATTGCTCACTTTTTCCAGTTTTCATACAAATATGTGTGAATATTAAAGAATGAATTCCAAACACTTCAATGAAATTCACAGCATGTCATTTTTTAGGCAAATTTTGGTACAGATTGAGCACACTGTTCAGATTAAACAATTAACCACCTGCTTTACAGAGTTAGTTAAATTAGTTTATTTTTTAATGCAAGTAACCATTTGTTTGAAGAATTGTAAGTCAATGGATCTTTCAGAAGTTTTAACTTTTACCTAGAAAACCTTCTGCACTTATCAGTAATCAATTTAATATGACATTCACAGATAATTTGAATTTTGATTTAACTCATAAGATATTTGATGTTTTTTTTGTTTTTTGTTTTTTCTTCGACTTTCATCCTTATAAAGGTGATCTGTTATTAACTGTTAGTTCCATTAGCTCTAGGGTGGGAAAAGCCCTATTTAAAGAGATTGTAAGAAAGGGGTAGTTTACCCCAAAAGTCAGTCTAGAATAAATTGCATATCTTACGACATGAAAGCAGATAAAATTCATGCATTGCTTGCTATGATGAGTTTCTGTTTAAATTTATGTGGAATTTACGTTGATAACATAGTAACTTAATATGTCAACAGTGGTTCTGATGTTTTAGTAATGGAGAGAAACGAATCAAAAACCAGCCTCGATGTGGACCACCTAATGAGCTTATGAGCTTAAAGACAACAACTTATTAGCGGTATTGGAGGATGAGGTCAACTTAACTGTAGCAGAGCTATTGCACAACAATAGAAAAAGAATCCCATCCGTGGGTTATGTTGTGAAGCTCGATTCGAGGGTTCACAATGAACTGTCCCTCAGGAACAAGGAAGATCACGCCTGAATAGTATAAATCGGTCACTGGGGATGAGAAATGGGTCCATTAAAAAATGTTAAATGCCGAAGGACTGTTTGCAAGAGGAATGAAACATCAAGAGCGTTGTTGAGATTGCTCCCTTTGTAAAGTCCTAGTAAATGTTTGGTGGATATTCGAGAAATAATTTACTGGTAACTGTTATCACGAAATCAGACCTTTACAGTAGAGGTATGTAACTGTGCCTAGATAAAGTGTCTTCTGTCCTGTTGATGGAAATATATCCAGCCCTGGTGAATAGATGCAATGCCATGTTTCACCAGGCTCATTCAGCTCCACTTACTCAGAGTGAAATCGAGTTATGCTGGCAACCAATATTCCACCATCCATACTCTTTAGAGTTTGCCCTTTGAATTTTTGAAGGAAAACGCTCTGAAAATCGACTTGCAGATTTTTTTCTCATCTAAAGACCTTAGACTTTTACAAAAATGTATGTTATTTAATAGCCGGTCGTTCAATAAGTTATTCAATAAGTTTGAAGTAGTGTGCAGTGGTTAGGTTAGATGTATTTCACAAACTTTTTCATTTTATTAGGTTTCGTGGTCTGCTTGTCTAAATAATATCTTTCAATTAATTAAGGTTTTTAGTTGAGATAAAAAAGTCAGTGTCACGAGCGGGATTCCAACCCACGACTTTCAGCTAGATATGCTGCTGGTCTACCACTTGAGCTATCGTGACTTCAATCCACTCAGACACCAACTTCCCATCTCAACCCTACCTTTTGAATTTTCCCTCCTTTTTGCCATTTTTCAAATGTCATATAATCAGGATTTGATTCTTGGCAACATATGAAGTGGCCATGGGGAGCTGTTAGTGAAGCTATACTTCGTTTTACTTATTAAATCTATTATATTTAGTGGTCTATGGACCAAATTACTTCTTTCAATTACTTAATCTTTTTATGTAAGGTTTTGGTTGATAGTACTTCACTAAAGCTCTCCATGGCCATTTCAATTGTCGCCGAGAATCAAATAGATTAAACAACATTTGAAAAATGGCAAAAAAGAGGGAAAATTCAAAAGGTGGGGTTGAGAAGGAAAGTTGGTGTCCAAGTGGATCAAAGTCATTATAGCTCAAGTGGTAGAGCAGCGGCGTATTTAGCCGAAGGTTGTGGGTTCGAATCCCGCTTGTAACATTCACTTTTTTATCTCGACCAAAACTTTTTTCATTTTATTGCTGATGGACCTTTCAAATGAACCATGAATATGTTTAAACCAATCCCAACAATCCCCATTCACGACTTCATTTGAGTCAAAAAAGCCACCCATTTTCAAAGAAAATTTCCAATCCCTTCCCCAAACTGTAACAATCTTATAAAACCAGCAAGATACAAATTCATATTTCACAACAATTTTAACATGTAAACTCTTAACAAACATGACATATACTTTTTGTGAGCATGAATTACTTTGATTAAACTAAAATTCAACTTTATATTAACATAATTATCTACTTTAATTAAGAATACTTTTAATCTAAGGTCTTGGTTAAGATTGAAAGTGTAATTAATATAATCAATTATGATTACTAAATACTTCCTATACTATATACTAAATACTATATTATAATAAATAGATTAATAAATTATTTACATTTTTCTTGTATAATTTTAAACAAATTTCATAATCAAAATATTATTGTAATTTACCCAACCCTTGAAGATGACCCGAGAATAAAAATCAAAACATCGGCAATAAATTAAAAAGGTGTTTTTCTGAAATACATCTAACCTGACCACTCCTTACTACTTCAACCACTTATCTTTTTAAAAAAAGAGGATATTTCTCTATCAGAACATTGACAGTATGTTATAGAAAACGAAGGAAAAATATATTTTAGATTAGAAATAAAATAAATTTATATTTGAAACTTCACTGATCACTGAAAACCGAAAAACCTTATGCACACAACCAGTATTTACATATATTGTGAGTAACAACAGCAGGTCTAAAATGATTTAAAATCGTTCAAAAATTACACTGATGACTGTTATGAACACTTTGGATCAAGATGATTTAGTATATTCATGAGGTGAAACTCATACTCAAGACCATAACTTGATCCAGTGTTCATAATGTTTACTTGTGTCAGATGAAAGTATAAATCTAATTAAAAAAATAAATAAATAAAAACTGACATTTGAAGTATATTTTACATGTAATTATGAAAATATATATTAATTACTTACAGCTGAGTTGATAGTGACTCTCTAGATTGTTCTTGTTCAATTTGAACATTTCCATTTGTACATGGCTGGCTAAGACTTGAAACATGGTTAACAACCAAGCTGTCTCTTGTTTCAATTGAGTTGACATCGTGTAATGCATTGTCTAAGTAAACATCAGTAGACTGGACAATTTGATCGGCCAATTTTTCACATGTCAATTTCAAATCTTTTACACTCATTGGTAAGTTGTCCAGAGCGGGCTGTTCATCAGCATTTGTCAACTCGTTACCATTTTCTTCGAGATTCCGCAAGTCCAAAGCGATTTCTGCAGCGAGTTCAGAATCTCCGGCCAAAATTTCATCGATCTGGGGGAAAAAATATCAAATAAATATTTCAAATATACATTCAAATCATAGAAAGATTTACTTCTTCTTTGTAGTCTTTAATCAACTCCTTTAGAGCGACCATCAAATTAGTTATTAAAGGTGATTTGATTTCAGTCAATTTCCTTTTCAATCTTATAAAGATGGGAATGCAGTGTTCCATATAATTTTTCTTTAAAACCTGTAAACAAAAATTTTTACTGCAAAAAAAAAGTTAATGAAACCTGAAACAAGTATTAACATGGGTAACTATATTTATATTAGCTTGTTTCAATATTACAAACCTCCCTCCCAATACGATCCATAATGTTTTTAACAGCATTATTAGTAGTTCCATTCGTTAATTCATTTTCATCGTCATCCTTCGACCCTCTGGAATTGGAAATTCTTAATCCTTCACATGCAATAGCATATAAAGCGTCTTCTAAGACAATAATACCAGTCTGTTCAAGCGGAATTTTTCCTTCACATACCTTATCTTCAAAAATAAGAAATAATATTAGTACAGTATCTGCAAGTATTAATTATAATAAAACAACTGTAACTAAACTAAACCAACTGTAAAAGTTATATTAACCACCACTTTAAATTTAATTTCAAATAACAATAAAGAAGTGTTTTGGCCATTCATACAAACCCAATGAAGGTAACGAAAAGTCAAAACACGTCCGACATGGAGAATAGGCAGACCAAAATGACTGGAAATAAACGAAACACATCCTCTCAGACCCATTAGGAAATATCACAAAATATATTCAGTATCTGTACTAAATCAGTCTGAGTTGTTTCGCTATTTTTCATCAGTTCATTTTCCTTTTTTATGTGTGTTAGCGGCAAATATTTAAATATGGCACATTCGGAGTAGAAGCAACAGAAGGTATCTAAAAATGACAGTCGGACACAAAAGATAAAAAAGGACACCTTTCAAATCAGATCGTGGGAAAGAAATTAAAGATATGCTGCCTAGTACTGGCATTATTCTGTTTATATGCAAATAATTTAAAGTTAACCTTTTTGAGGACTGATTTTCGGATTCCAAATCGCATTCCCCTGCCTTGGCTGTTACTTGACCCCCCAGTTTGATTTAATTTCTAATACCCATTAAAATTCCAAGTACTTTTATGTTGCACCAATTCCGTTCAAAATTGGACAGTACATTGCTATGATATTATACTTTACAACTGAAGTAAATATAAGGATAAAAAAATTGAATTTAACTGAAAATTTACTTGACACAAAAAGTCTTTAATGAGCATTTTATAACATAATAACCAAGAAACAAAATAAATACTGATTTATTTGGTATGCACAGGCATAAACATACACAAATATAGAGTTGAAAAAAAATTATACAAAAAAAGATAAATATATAAAAATACAAACAACAAAAACAAAAATTACTGTGAACATAAATGAAGTAAAATTTAAACTGAAGCCACTTGGCAGACAGTTGCCAAAATCAGAATAACAATATATTAGGAGGATAGGTTCACAAAACTAAATCATTCCAAATAAATGTTGTTAGATAAAAATAGATATTGTGAACATATGGGGGACCACAGTGGACGAGGATGTTACGGCAACGTCAAACTCTTATTTGCCACACTAGTGGTTCTGTTTTTTTTTGTTTTTTTAATGGATTATGAAAAATTATTGTAAAAGATTATTTAAAGATCATGAGATGTGGTCTGGTGTGATGTACATTAGAAAAAACATTTTCTTTATTGTGCCAACATTTTGATCTTTATTGAGATCTTCTTCGTGGCCTGGAATTTATAATTTTAAATTAAACAAATTCATATAAGATGTGAATTTGTATAAATGTGAAGATATGAATTTATATAAAGATGTACACAACAGAACTTTTCGGTTTAATCAAAGTATTTGTACTCCCTCGAAGTGTGTTCTCTGAATAGTCATGTCACTATTGAGTCATGTGACTTAGTGAGATTTTAACGTTTTTTGATTATATATATATGATTTTGAAGGAGTGGGGAAGGAGGTAGGGATAGAAATTCATTTTTGTATGAGGAGTCGGCCTCTTTGATGTGAAAGAGACCGACAATGGAAAAAAGGAAATGCTTTGTCATTCTGATCTGGTTAGCCATTCAGGATTAATATAGATGGGATTATTGTGGAAATGAGATATAAATTGTTGGAGATTTAGACTATGTACAATTGTTTGATGTGTGGGAGTGTAATGTTTTATATGTTGTATTAGATGTTTTGTGTGTTATATGCATGTTATTGATATTGAATTTGATTTATGATACTAGTGTAGCTGCTGCTGAGTTTACATGTATAATTGATGCTGTGTTTATCCCTGTTGATGTATTTATAAAAAAATTACATTTTTTTTTTTGGTGTTTAATATTTTTAGATTGTAGAAATCGAAATTGTGTTGGAGTTCAAAATAGTATCCAGTGCTGTAGGATTTTGTTTGGTTTTTTGCAATCATTGTAAAGTGATTTGACTCCTCATCTGTAACACCTAACGGGTAGTTGGGCATTATGCCAACCTGAATGACAGGAATTACTTTATTTATTGTGGAGAATGGCTTTTCAGAATAATGAATATATTGCAATTTCGCAAAAGTTTGAGAGTGAGGCCAGATTGTGAATATCAGGGGGAGAAAATAGAAGTTCGTTGATGATGACCACGGGAAAGAAAGGGTGGTCTCCATTCACTATTGAAGTGTCTGTTACACATGGCATAAAACCTCAGCTAAACAGATGCCAAGCGTGTCCAGCTAGAGCTCCCCAAAGGCAAAAAATCAAGAGGATGAGATAACTTGCCACTGGACATGGGGAGCATACAAAGCCCAAACAAGATAACTCGTCATTAGGCCCAGGGAGCAAGCAAGCTTGCCTGAATGAGATAGCATTTTTCAGTCAAATGAAACTTTTTTTCAACCACATGAAACTTTTTTTCAATCAAATGAAACTTTTTTTCAATCAAATGAAACCTTTTTTCAATCAAATGAAACCATTTTTCAAGCAAATGAAACCTAAAACCTAATGATAATAATTAGGTAGAGGCATAAATAAATGACATTATAGTACTAACAATAATTTTTATGATGATTGAATATTAATATTGCAATAATTGAATTGTAAGGCTTAGGTACAAGAACGTTTCTTGTAAAGATCCGTATTCATCAAACTTTTCTACATCCACCCTGTCGAAGTTTAATTAAGTAGGATAGAAAAGTGTTTTTAAGCGAGCAACAACTTTCTGTGATAGAAATTATGAATGATGGAGTGGGTGTGGAGTTCAATCCTTTTTAAAAAGATGGTTCCTACTCACAATAAGTTGTTTTGCAACAATCCGGATTTCAAGCCCTTTAGCTCATCATCAGGTTGAAGGGTTTCTACAAACACGTCTCTCGACATGAATTTCAAAAGTGAACCCGATGATACCCCCACCAACGTGTAAACGGATCTTCACAAGAAACGTTCTTTTACCTAAGCCTTACGATTCAATTATTGTAATATTAATATTCAATCATCATAAAAATTATTGTTAGTACTATAAAATCATTTATTTATTCCTCTACATAATTATTATCATTAGGTTTTAGGTTTCATTTGCTTGAAAAAAGGTTTCATTTGCTTGGAAAAAAGTTTCATTTGGCTGAAAAAAGGTTTCATTTGCCTGGAAATAGGTTTCATTTGATTGAAAAAAGTTTCATTTGACTGAAAAATGCTATATCTCATTACTAGTCCCAAAATGTTAATAATAAATTATTTCCTAAAAAGGCTCCCTTATTCTTAATTTACAAACAGTAGTGGTTTAAATGGAATTAATAATGTGTGTGGATTGTTGTGCATTCATACATTCCTAGTATAGATTGTGTGGTGTTAGTACCTCTAAGAATATTAATTTTGAATTCTCTTTGTACGTCAAGGAGCAATTTGTCTGTATTGTTGAAGATATGGATTATTCAACCAATGAGGACAGGCATAATAGGCTACATACAAACTTCAAATTAAAAAACAAAATTAACCCTCCAAATTAACCTCAAAATTAATAAAATTGTTTACGGTTTAAATATCAAATTACAATTTTGCATACCTAAAATTTCCGAACATAGCTGACAAGTTACTTTAAATTTCAACTCATCATCCATTTTATTCATCATGAATTTATATAGATTTCTTCTTAACCCTTTGTTAGTATTTCCAGGTATGCAAAAAGCATCGAGTTCACGAGGGCTGATTTCAAATTGACAAAATCCATAACTCTCCTAAGGGAAAAATTAAGTTTTTGTTTTTTTAAATGTACATTAATAGAATATTTGTATAAAAAAATTGTTATAATATGAAAAACTTACGTGGTATGAATTATAGAAGAGAATAGCTTTTATAAATTCTTGACCCATTATCCTTGGATACTTTTTTAAAACAGTATTTACCAAAAACATTGCTGCATTTTTCTTAACTGTTAAGCACGAATCATTGATCATGGATAGTATGAAGAAAAATATTGGTGACTTTAATTTAATATAATCTTCCTGAAATCCAGTAAAATAATTTAGATTTTCTGTAGTAAATGTAAAAAATTATTATAATAATCTATACATATAAAAATTCAATTGAGTTAATTTGATACCGATTATTGCATTCAACTAATTTACTTTGTTTTGGAAATGATTAGCTACCGAAACACAAGGCAGGGTATTGTATTGAACATTTTCTCGGCGACTATATATTAATAGCATTTAGAATTTTTTTTAAAACAAGGGTATTTAAACTACAAGGTTATAAACACATTTGTAAGTATGTCGGGTTCGAATGCAGGGTTACTGGATTTGAACCTGGGACCTTTACCTTACAGTGATGAGCTTTTCAATGCCTCAGCCTATGTGGCCACCGACGCCACCTACAGTACTTACCTATTCATTTCATATAAGACTGAGCCATACTGAAGCATGGCCAGGTACAAACAAGTAATAAAAAACGTTAAACAAAATTATACCTGAAGTAATTGTGTTATCAATGTTAATGTTTTATTCCGTATTTTCCAATCTTGATCTTTGAGGCAAAGTGCCATTTCTCCAAGGTATGGTTCAACTAATGAGGTAAACCTAAACAATAATTTCATCGCATAAATACAGCAGAACAAATAAATAAATACATAAACATATATCAATTTAAAATAAAAATGTTACCTTTAAAATTATATTACAATGTTAAATAATATCATTACTTAAATTTGCAATTTTGGTGTGCAATAAATAGTTTTATTTAGTCAATTTTATTATTTTTTTAATTGTTACATAAGAAAACTCAAAAAGGCCTACCTTACACACAAATCTGCTAATGAAATTAGTGAATTGATTTTGATTGGAGTTGGGCTTTTAACAAGTAGAGATCCAAAAACAGGTACTACTTTTTTTGACAATAGTTGATCCTGAAGGCATAGTTTGCCTAGCGTAATTACAGTCACTGCAGTTACTAATGAACTTTGTTTTGTTCCTTTATCAGCCTCACCTGTAATAATTTTGGAATAACAAAACAACACATCTCTAACCAACCTTTCCTCATACCATCTTTAGGATCCATATCAACAATTGTTACAAGCATATCTTTAGTATCTTCCTTTATTACACCTGGAGAAATTTGAATAGCCTCTCCTAATGTGAAAATGCGCTGCACTACACCGAGTTCCAGATTTTCACTGATTTCAGTATTACTATGTAATACTTTGTGAAGATAATTTTCACATGACTATAAACATTAAAAAAAGTACAATCAAATTAGAGTTTGTTCCTAAAAACCGTTATTATACAAATAATAAAACCACTTACCTCTATTAAAGATACAGCCCAACTTTTTGCATTTGTGCTATCATACATTACACAGATATCAAAATACCGTGCTATAAGTGTAAATGGTACTTGAAAATTTTCAACCGAAAGTTTTAACTTTGTACAAAGATTTTCGATTAAATCGACTTTACATTCTTTCCAATTAAGATGTACGGCTTCCATGACGAGCTGGCTGCAATATTCGTCAAACTAAAACAAACGATTCATTTTAATGCATGCAGATGAAAGGCAGTACGTTAAAACTCACAGAAGTATTGTTATAAACATTTTCAAAAAAATATTCCAATATGAAATTAGGGTTTTTTAGGGTTTCAAATTCAGATATGCAGACAAGAAGAAACCATGCAGAGAGATTGTTTTCAGTTCCAATATGGCTTTGTAGAATTCTTATAACATCAGCCCTGTAAAACAATTATAGTTGAATATATTTATCCTATATTACAGTATAGGACAGTCGTCGAAGTTAAGTATAATGAAAATTAATAAAAAAGAGAGGAAGACAAAACAAAAAATACAAACATAAATAAGAAAGAAAACAAACAATAAACTTGTAATGTGCCAATATTTTCAGTTTTAACATGAAAGCCTCTTAATTTTTTTATATTATTACAAGATGGATATTGAAATAGCATGCTGGTAGGAGGTATACTGAAGGTAAGGAAAGGGGGGGGGGTTCAAGCACGATAGGCCAATATAGGCGCTTAAGGAGAATTGATTTGGCAGAAAAAGAAGTCGGACATACAAAAGAAGGAAATCCACCAGGTTTGAAGAAGTTTCTTTTTTTCTCTCTCTTCTCTTCTTTCTATTTTCTTAATGTCTGCCTTTTTAGTTATTAAGATTCATTAATTGTCATTATTCATGATAATTTTAGAAACTAGATAACTAATTAAGACAAAATTTATTTATTTTATTTGTTTGATTATTTTTGGTTGCTAGCATCAATTGGTTTAATTCGTAAGGAGTCCATTTTCAATTTAGTCATAATTCAGTTATTAACAAATTTTGGCTTTATTTTTATTTATTTATTTTTTTCCAACAAGTTGTCAGTTTTTCTTTGTATACTTTCACATTATTTCTGAACACTTGCTTTTTTACAATTATTGTTTGCAAGAAACACCACAAGTATTTTTGCCTTTGCTACAAGGTGAGATCCACAGATTTAATTAGACTCGCAATAATATAAATTCCATATTCTTATAAAAAAGAGTATAAATATATAACTTAGAATAAATTGTTTAATCAACTTAAAGAACAGTGATTAAAAATGTTCTCTAATCATAAATTGTTACTTTAATATTTTTGAGTTAAAATAGTCAAACTGTAACGATTATAATAGAAATAATAATATTCTTACGAAATATATTTTAGGATGGCCCATTGACGGCACACAAATCTGAAGAGACGGCGCAATCCCAGACTTGAGACGAGTGAAATTAATTTCCACGGTAAAATTTCTTTTGACTGGACTGTATGAGAATGGGGTTTCATATTATCCAAAATGACGTTGCCAACAGTCTATAAAACAAGAATTAAATTTTATGTTTTTATATTGAGGTATTAATTCTGATTCATATTCTAATACAGGGCGAATAAAGAAAAAAAATGTTATTCACGATAATTTCACAGCAAACAAAAATCACATAGAAACACTCGACTCCTTCAAAATTCAAATCATAAACTTGTCATAGTTAAACATTGTACATTGGTTCCAGAAGGATGTCTTGTCAATTCCATGCTCTATTCAGGACAACAACAATGAATGTTTTCGAGAGGATGGTAAATAAGAAGTATGAATAACAAAAAACAAAACAAAAATCGAAATGGCAGAATTGAGCTTATAAATTACCAACTATTCTTGGCCTTGCTACTTCCTTCACAATACCAGCAAGAAATGGAAGACAAAAAAAAATGCAATAGATTTTGGTTTAAAATTGATTTAAAAAAAAAATTACCCTTATATAATTTGTGTTATCTCCATACTGTTATTAAAACAATATTTTATATCGTGGTCAGAGTTTATAAAAATGAATCATCAAAAATCATCTCTATAAAAATTTAAATGTGAAAATTACCTCTATAACTTTTTCCTGGGATTTCACCTCATTATCAGCAATTAGGGGGAAAACACTGGTTACCCATGCTTTCTGCAGATCTTCCCTTTCCGTTGCAGTCAGGAGCAATTCTGTAATGCCTTGAACCATCAGCTTTCTTATGATAACTGAATTATCTTTGCACGCCTTCACAAATATCTAAAAATATTAATTAACCAAAAAATCACAGTTAATTAGCATGTTTCAATTTTAAAGAAATCAAATAATGAAGTGCCAAAATAATGAGCACAAGAGGAAAAATTAGGCAAGCATATTAAAATTACCTACTTTTAAATACTTTATACAATTCAGATAAACTTTACACTGTAAATATTACCAGTTAACGAGAAAGATATGTGTGGTTTTTCATTCATGATTTTTTATTTTGTTAATACCGTTACCAAAATTTCTATTTACATTGGAAGATTAGGTGTTTACATCACATAATACCAAGAGGATAATACGTCAGTTCACAAAGAAAAGGTGTCTTGAACAGTTCACAGTAAATTATGAAATATTTTCTTCATCTTCAAAACCCATAATTCAAGTATGATTAACTGTATGAATTTTAGCTCAGTACTAGGGCAGCCAAAGCAGCTTAGTAAAATTTGCAGTGCGTTCAGTGATAAAACAATAAATAAAAGTTTATTTCTGGGAAAGAAGGGTTTGAAGGTGGACCAAAGGCTGGTAGAACATCTTAGATGAAGACAAATTGAGGGAAGCTATCAAACTTGAATCGCATCAAACATGTCAGGAGCTTGCCAGTGTTCGATGTAAGTGATGAAACCATCAACTTGGAAAGGCAAGCAAATAGGATCGTTATAAATGCATGGACGATAACAAGCTTCAACGTCTAAACATTTGCCTTTCAGTTTTTCTCAACATGAAGAGATGTTTTTTGACCAGTTTGTCACGTGCAACGAAAAATAAGTAACACCAGAAGGTTGTACCATTGACTGTCACCAAATGATCCTGACCCACCCACCAAGGACTACCCGACTGAGGTTCATCTTCAAACCCCTCCTTACCAGAAGCAAACATTTTTAAAACCACTTATTGTTTTATCACTGAACACAGTGCAAATTTTATGAGCTGCCTGAGCTACCCTAGTACCGAGCTTAAATCCCAAGCCATGAGAAAGAAAATATTTTATATTTTACAGTAAATTGTAAGAATTTTTTTAAAAATGAAATGACGTATTATCCTCTTTGTATTACTTTATGTAACACCTAATTCTCCTACGTGAATAGAAATATTGATTATCAGTTTACAACAATAACAAATGAAAAACAGCATGAACTTTTCTAGTGACTTGGTAGTACTTCCTCTTACAAAATTTTAGCATAATATTTAATAAATACAATTTACTTTCAAAAAGTTTTTTGATTAAATTAATCACTATATATTTAGCAGTCAAATTGACCGTATTAATTATTTCAATTAATTATTCTTTTTATATAAGGTCTTGGTTGAACTCACAATAGCTCAAGTGGTTAGAGGAGCAGTGTATTGAGCCAAAGGCTGTGGGTTTGAATCCCGCTAGTGGCATGAAGTTCTTTTCATCTCAACCAAAGACCTTAGATAAAAATAATAATAAATTGAAATAATTAATATGGTTAATTTTGACCGCTAAACATATCTGAATTAAAATAACAATTAAAGAGGTAATCATTTCACTAATAGATCCCCCTGGCCACTTCATAAGCAACACTCTCAACACGACTCACAATAATGATACATCTACACAGAAAACAAACACTTTGAGCCCTGAAGATGATCTCAATAAAGGTCGAAACAATGGCACGATAAATAAAACCTATTTTTTCAAAACCTACGTCACACCAGTCCGCTTCTCATGATTTCCAAATAAAAATTTGAAAGGTTTAGTTTGAGATGAGGAGTTGATGTCCGAGTGGATCGAAGTCACACTAGTTCAAGTGGTTAGAGCAGTGGTGTATTGAGCTGAAGGTTGAGGGTTCAAATCCTGCTAATGACACTAACTTTTTCATCTCAACCAAGACCTTCGATAAAAAGAATAATTAATTGAAATTGTTTAAATGTAATTTTTAACTAAATTTTTTCTCTGGTTAAATTAAATAATGTATATATCCAATCAGTTTTCCCAAGTTAATTTTACTTAAATTAAATATATAAATTAATAAATATACATAAATAAAATTAAAATAAATAAAATGCAGTCTTATATTGACCTATAAAAAAATCTAATACTGTAATTTTTATACTTACATTTCACTCTTGCCTTTCAATATTAAATTACTATATAAAATATAATAAAAACTTACATCAATTCTTTTTGCGGTGATCCAGTCTGAATCTAGCCTGCATATATTTATCAAAATTTGAAGAGCTGATTTTCTTACGAAAACTTTCGGATCTGCACTCAACAGTTCAACTTTTTCCATTATCAAACTACCCTTCGGCAATGGATCCTCAGGAACGTTGATCTCATCGGCATTACAAAAAAACTTTTTAAAATCAAAAATTGTTCTATTATCGTCAACTTTGTTTTGAACGAATAAATCGACAGTGATTCTTTTAATTGCACTATTTGAAGTGAGCAAGGAAGCAAATATGCTTAAACATTTTGCTCTGACTGTGGCCGATATGTCATCAAACCTTGAAATTATAGCAGTTAGAAGAAATTTATGGTTAAGGGTTTTAGTGTGATTTAGCACAGTGTTTATATTATTTTCATCTTCAGACACATCACCATTTCTAGATGAATTGTCTACTGATTCATTGTCACGGTTATACTCCTCGCTTCTAGTTTCTCTTTCGTCTAACAGAAGAAGTTTAGAAATTAATTCAACAGCGACTACCCTATTTTTAACTTCATATGCATGGGACAGACTAAGTATCCATAGGCAACAATCATTAAATAAATCATCGGGAAGAAAAATTAATATGTCAACGATTTGCTGCAAACTTTTTGCCCTAAGGTCTGCCTTTTCGTTAGTCTTGATACACAATTGCTGCAGCAGGCCTTTAACCCCTCCATAAGCAGGTTTGCCAACATTGTGTAAAATCTGTTTTATGAAACACAGAATATGCTCTCTGATATAATTTTTATACTTGAAACTCATTTGGAGATCTTGATCTTTCCATATGAGTTCGGATAATAATGATTTCATGAGATATCTGACAATTTCCATGAGATCTCCATGTCTGGGATTGCAAAAACTGTTTAATATCTCATAGGATTTATAAGCGAGATATGTGATGTTGGTTTGTTTAGGTAGGGTTTTGGGAAACGCCAAAGTAGTCTTGTCTGATTTGATTAAAAAAACAAGTACGTGAACAATCTGAACTAAAATTTCTCTATTATTCTTTAGTTGAAGATTATTTAAAGAATCTTCCAAGTCTTCAATCGTCAAGGCCAATATTTTAAAAATTTTATTTATTTCGTCACTACTGATGACTTCCTGCTCTGTATTATCTTGAGTGTTGCAGTCGGTTTCTTCTTCCGCCTCTTTCTTTTTTGACTTTTTATGCGAAGGCTTTGCTGTACCGGATGACTGGATCAGGCTTACAATCCTAAACTGCTCCACGGCTTGTCCAAAGAGTATAGAATTGAAAACACTGAATATTTGTGAACCGTGAATGGATATGAGTATAAAGTACAGGTCTGCGGCCGTGAGTGCGCAAAGTCTCGCTTCTTCGTCGACCAACTCTTTCAGATCTATTTTGATGAAAGTGCTCAGCACTGCGATCAGGCCTTTGTAGTCAAACTGATGCTTGATCAGCGCCTGCCAGGATTTCCTCACCGACGTGCTCGAGTCCTGTGATAAATTCGATGAATTTAAATCTTCTCTGAGCCATTCTTTAATCGAATCGCAGAGATTTTTCATCAGCGTGTACAGGCTTTCGGACGAATCGTCGAGGAAAAGCAATTCATACTCGTCCGGCAGTGTCTTCTCGTTGGTGAAGTCGTCGCGATGAACTCTTTCCACCCATTGTCTATTGAGCTTCTCCAGTTGAAATTTACTTACAATGTCTAAAAAATCCATGTTCGAATAAGTTAAAAATACGGATACATCTGAGTGAAAAATCAAACAACAAACAGCACAACACACAACGGAGGGAAACGTTGTTTACAGTCAGTTGATGGCGGCAAATTCTGTTTCACTGATACGGATAGCCAACGGTTATGATCAGGTTTGGACGCCTTACCAGTGACGTCTTCTACCGTCTTTAACTTCCCTCATAATTTAAAAAAAATTTAAATTTTAAAGGTACAAATAGAAATAAATTTAGTTGTATAAACATTAGCAATTAATAATAAAACAATAATATTAATTAAATAATAAAATATACAAAACAATTTTATATGTTTAGTAGTCATAATTGACCTATTATTTATTTTAATTAATTATACTTTTTATCTAAGGTCTTGGTTGAGATGAAAAAGTTAGTGTTACAAATAGGATTTGAACCCACGAGCTAAGCTCAAGCGGTTAGAGCTGCGGCACATTGAGCCAAAGGTCGTGGGTTCCAATCTTACTGATGTCACTGACTTTTTCATCTCAACCAAGACCTTAGAATAAAAGATACAACAATATTAATATATTTTTAAAATATTAATTGTTTATAATCGAATGATGAAACCTCATTAAAGAGAAAATCAGAAACAGAAAAACGGTAAAAGAAGATGGGAAAAAGGAAAGGAAGAGGGAGGAAAAGAAGATGAATCATGTCATTTTATATACTAAGATGACATGGACCAGAAACAAGCCAGCGAGGAAGCAGAATGGTGAATGTACTTCCTGGGGAAGTAAATTCCATAGGCCTGCAATTCTGGAGGATAAGGCTAAAATTTTAGATGAGGGTGAATATGAAAGCTTGGGATATGATTGGTGCATTTGGATAAGGAATGTGGAAAAAAAGATTTAATTTTAAATATGTACATTAAAACTCTAATTTTATAAGTGCTTAGAATGTTAAGATTACACAATAAATGCATCATTTAAAACTTCAGTCTTTAAGCAGAACTGTAGGGCCCAAATTAAAATATATATATANTTTATGCATATAATCTTGATCTTGGTATAGTCTGAATGAAAAACATATTCAATTCTTATTTGCCAAACTTTTGACCTTTTTTAAGGTCATCATCAGGGCAAAATAATCTTAAAGATGTCTAAAAATGGACATAATTAAGTATTTAATAGATGATTTCAAATTTGTTTGAAGATCGACTCAGTCCAAAATTGCCAATATTGTATTATAATCTTCTACATAAGAAATTCAATCTCTAAACTATTTATAGGCTGAAGGTTCATAAACTTACTATTGTTTTTGTAATTTGTTATTACACTCAGCCCTGAAGGGGAGTAAGATTTGCATCAAAATACATCGACAACAATAAAAAAATTGGTTGAAGAAGTTCACTAAAATTATTTATCCATATCTACCTTTGAAGAAAAGACAACTAAAAAAGGAAGAGAGGTAGTAATTTATAGTCCATAAACTTGTATAATATGACATAATGGTCATGGCATTTGTTACCTTACAAAATTTCTGTTTAAAATGTTAAATGTATCAACCATTTTTTTTACCCATGAATAATCTGGATCTGAGTATGGTCTGGATTCTCATGCAGCAAATCACTGTATATCCGCCGTGACCTCGATTATCTTAAGATCCTTATGTAATTCCTTATTCCTTAAGTACCAAGGGTCATTGGTTTTTTTCTTATTTTTTATATTTTATTTTAATATTATTACTTTTTTAAGGATAAAATTAATTCTAGCCTTTTCTAGTGTTTATTTGACAATAAAACTTATTCATTGTATGTACACTGAAGTAAAACAACAGTTGTCAATAAAATGATTTACTAGCATTTATTTTTGTTATAAGATATGTAAAAAAAATTTAATTCCTAATTCTTTTCTATATTTGGATATGAAAAAGAAGATACTAAAGATGTTAAATTTCTATTTCTGCTTGTTTTATAAAAATGGAACATACAACTTTTTCCCATTTATTTGATTTACCATTATCATTGAGTTTAGTAGATTTACTAATAAAATGTAATTTTTGGTATTATTATTCGAATAGTTTTTGGCTTATTATATTGTTTTATTTTTGATCCTTTGGAAAAAGGATTTTTAAGATAATAATAATAATATGTTGTCTAAGAATAACTTTTTCTTTTTACATGGAAATAGTGATATGTGAAGTCATGGATTGTGATCGTCTGCGATCATCCAGTTTTCTGCTGGATCCATAGTTGGTCATATCAACTCCTGGGGTGGCGGTGTAGAAAAAATAAATAAAATAAAAATAAAATAAGTCCATTTGCATGTTGGGGTTACATGCAGGGTTGCTGTATTTGAACCTGGGGCCTTTACCTTACAGTGATGAGTGCCATGTCAATGCCTAAACTGTGCGGCCACCGATGCCCCATTATTTTGTAAATACATATTTTTGTATTTATACAATTTAAAAATATTTCTAACCAAGAAATAACTAAATTTTTTATAAATTATTACTCCTCTTTCTGTTTGTGGTTCTCATTAAATTTTTTTGATAGTGTTCATTCTAATTTTGTGGAACTCCATAATAATTTGATGGGTAGGAAATAAATTGTCTTTTCCACAGAGGTTTAGGCGTTTATTTCATCAGATACGTTTCGATCTAATATAGACCTTCTTCAGTGACATTTTTTAAATAAAGTAGTTTGATGGTTTGTTACATAAAAGTATAAAAAAGTGAATATCTGGATGACTGTGGACATGGCGAGTAGTCAAGGAACTTGCCACATTTATAGTCTTCCAGACATACACTTTATATTGTTTATCAACTTATATCTATGTAACAAACCATCGAACTACTTCATGCTACTTACTTCAATACTTCGATGACAAATAAATTGCGAACTGATTCAACCAATTAGTCAAAATCTATAATCAAAACAAAACTTATGTAATTAAACAAAGCATAATGATTTTTTTTAAACATTTATCAGAGTAGTTTAGTTCCCTATTATTTTTGTTAAAGAGTATACTTAAAATTTTTCAACTCGTGCAATTGGTATTCACACCAAAATTGAAATTGCATCTAAATTGATCATACTTTATATATTTTTTAAATTATTTATGAATCAGTATAACTGTGATGTACATACTATTTACTCGTTTATTGTCTTTTTGCTTTTAAATGTACTTAAAATGTATGTTACTGTTCATGTAGGCTCAGAACATATATGGACGAATGCGTTTTGTATGTGAACATTGTCTGCTGTTGTGCTATATTGACTTGGTAACAGACAACATTCCCTGCATTTTCTATGAGCGTGTTAAAAGCTAATTCACTTAAAAGCTAAGGATGGAAAAATCGCTACATTTTTATTCTTATTGAGCAATAAATTACCCAATCAATAATTATTAGCCAAATTGCTTCTTTCTTTTAAGTCCAATTTAAAAATTGCCAATTCTTAGAGAATTATATAAGTTCTGCACATCACCAAATTAGAAAAACTTTGTATTAAAAAATAATTGTAAACAAAATCTTTTTTTTTGGATGGAGTTTTATCATTTCCATAGATTTTAGAGCCATTAGTTTGTCTATGTATTTACTCATTTTGGACAGTAGTAAAACAATGTACACACTATTGGAGATATTATGTTGACAATGTTTATGATTTTATATGTATATATAACTCTTTTTTTTTTTTTTACAATAAGTTGGCATTTATTTATAAAAAAGTTAAGTTCAAATAAATAGTTTTCTAGCTTGCAACACAAACATTACACATTTTATTAATGAAAAGACCCTCCAGGTGATTAATTACTTTGAATTTCCTATAAAAATAATTTATATTACAGATCACATATACAAATAATAATCCCTTAGATACTCCCAATATGGGAATAAACCATAATTCATAAGACATCGACTACAATTTTTTCTCTACTTTTTAAAATTATTGAATATCTTAGTTAACTTCTTCCAAGGAAATATCAGTTCCTGGAATACAACTTTTTTGTTATAAGCTTCAAAATACAATAGTATTAAAAAAAATAAAATAAAAATAAAATAATAATAATAAAAAGAAAAGAAAAAGATTTAAAAAAAATTGTATGCAATCATTATGTGTCCCAACAAATCGTATGTGCTGAAGGAAATAAAGGAACATCTATTACTTTCACAATTCATCATACATATATCCCAATAATCAATATAATGAATTCGATTAAAAAATGTACAACCTTTTATTAAATAAAAGGTAATCACGAATAAGGAACAAATAAAATTCAGCATTTTGATCGTATCTTCCTTGAAAATGTTACATATTATCAGCTTTATACAACACTAAAAAATAGATAAGACAGTAGTGAAAAATATATAAAATATAAAATGAATCACAGTGATTTAACTGTCATCGGCCATACTTCCAAAGTTTAATGAACGCTTAAAATACTAATGTCATTATCTGCCTATTTTAAGCTTATTATAGTTAAAACTTTAAATACAATATATCTCCTGACCTAAAATTAGTTTTGGTTAAAAATGGAAATATAGTAAAAGGGACACCCTCTCATTCTTTACGTAATATTTTCAGGCAAAAATATTTTATAAAACTAACCAAACAGTTAATCGTTATATTACTTTATCATGACATTTCTTTATTTATAACAATTTGTGCTTCACATAAAAAATATTTGAAGTATAAAATGTTCTATTGTCACATTGAATTTATGTATATGTATTTTTGGTTGGTTTAGTAACATGCCCTTTGCTGCTGATGTATTTTTCCAGTTAAAACAAAATAAGTCCAATACATCAAAATGATGAAGATTACCTTTTTGTGATGAAATAATTACATTTTATTTCATGAAAGATTTACTATGTAAAAAAATAAAATAATTACGAGCTTCCTCCAATACTTTTAATTATGCCGGAACCTTTCACAAATGAAAATGAGTGAAGTGATTCTGTGTTTTTGGAGACATATTAAATAGCAATAATTATTCAAAGTCGAATTTTAGTTACTTTAAATTTAAACTAATTTTTTAATACATGATTTAACAAATTTACCAGGTACATTTCAAAGGAGTCACCCTTAAAAGCCAACCTTCTTTTTTTTTTTTTTTTTAATAACATGTGGTCAACTTGTGAAGTTAAGGAGTACGTTTTTTTCTCTAAAGCTTATTAGTAACTGATAATATATTTACAACACTTGAACTAGAAGTGCATGCACATTATAAACTTCTAGTTAAAATAATAAGTTATTTATTGATAAAATAAACGTATGAACCTCCAGGCATTGTGGAATGAGGTAGCGAATGACCATTTATGTATAGACATCATTTGTAAAAAGTTCGATGAACTATAACTACAAGGGAAGAGTATTTCATCTTGTATGAATCTGGGCCAAACGTTCACGAGAAACTGTACAACCACAACAAAACATAAGTAGTGCATTTTATAAATCAGTACCGACGATCTATCACTAAAAATTAATGTGCTATGTTCTACCAGTGATCTGAAGCTAATCTCTTACACGTTTAAACAGGCTGAGAAATCGATCTACATAAATTTTGGAAAGTTTACATTGTTATATCCTATTTTATATATGTATACATATTATCATACACATACACACACCCTACTATACACATACATATCCAAACATTCATACAGTAGCAATATCATTTTATGAGTTTGTCATCTGAATTGACACGATCGGACTGACAAAATCATGTAACAAGTTCTCGTTGTTTATCCTTGATAGTGCTACGAATTATGGATATCTGTAGCAGCAGGTGGAGGTTGCGGAAATCCATTTTGGAAAGGTGGAAAAGCTCCTGGAGCCGGAGTTTCATCCAAGAGGCCTATGGTATCTAAAGGTAGAGGAAGTTGAAGAAGGGGCAAAGACCTGGTCATTCGCTCTAATGATCTCACGTCATTGTCAACTGCCTCAAGAGCTCTCTCTAGCTCTTCTGTTTCTTCTCTTGTAGGCTCATATTCCCCATTTTTATCTAAAAAAAATATAATAATAATAATAATAATAATAATAATAATAATAATAATAAGGATATGGAGAAATCGCACAATGTAAATTATCAGTCGTCCTTATGTTTGTTTTTTACTTTTATAAGTCAAACATCCACCTCGAAGTCAAGTAAGTCAAATTGTAAATAAGCTGAACAATTTTGCACATTTTCCTTGAATCTTGAACTTATAGAGAATAGACCGTATTTTCAAAAGACAATAAAACCAATATTAATCTTACCAGTAAACAAATCATTAAAAGCATCAGTTGAAATTTGATTTAATACATTTGTTAAATCATGCTCTTCAAGTAATCTTGTTGCTTGACTGGCAAGTTCAACAGGATCGAGAGATGCAATTGCCAACACTTCTTCAGGTACTTCCTCTACGACATCACCTGCAATAATTTTAAGAATTAGATTATTAAAATAAATAAAATGGTATATAGAATTGGAAAGTGCAAGTAAGTACAAAAAAAATCAATATAATTTTATTAGAACTAATAATAATAGTCAGTCTGCATTTTGTTTCTCTTTTTTTGTGTAAAATAAAAGGCCCTCAAAAACAGGAAGTTGATTTAATAGCAATTTTATTAATTATAATATATCACTACAGGAACAGTTAGAATGAATGATATTAACATAAAAATGTAATACAAAAGATTCAGGACTAGTTAAACAGTTAAATACTTATCTAAACAAATGGCGTAATTTTTGTAAAAAGATTTTTAAAAATATCGGTTTGTTAGACAATTTTTAACTTTCCCGTTTCTTCAATATTTTATTCAGTCTTTTTCTATGAAGTCTTCCTGATTAGCACGGTCATTTCCACATAAAGTTATTTGTACTCTATGGCATTTGCACACAAATGCAACACATGCTATCCATTTGTTTTGTTATTTTTATGACTTCAACATTTATGACATGGTCCACCGTATGATTATGAGTAGGTCACCCATTTTGGGGATTATTACATTATTATGTTGAAAGAAATCAAGATATATCTTTCAGAAGTTTTTTTTTATATTGTCACTCTCATGTAATTAATTTTTCAGCAAACTAATAAGTAATGTCCAGCAGTGTAAAGAAAAAAATAAAAGAGGAAGCCTTTAACAGCTCTGTACACTGAGAGAAAGAAAAGTAAAACAGTATGTGTCGCTCCCTGTAAAGAATGAATACTAACTACTTTTGGCACAATTGAAACAACAAAAACTAAAAATACAATAAAAAAAGAAATTGCGGTACTCAGTACCACTAACATGCCTGTAATTTTATATGCTGCAGAATTAAAGAAAAATGTTTAAGTGAACAAGGTTTTGTAGAGGAATTCTTGCTTTCCAATATAAGAAAAAAAGTTTGTTTCAACAAAACAATGATTGGCTGCACACTTCCTGGCGTACAAAGTGAAAACATTCCAAAATGAACAAAATGAAACTTCTACTGCTTACATCCATTACAGCCCTGGACTACCACCTCTTCTGAGCAATGGCCCATTTCCTTAAGGGAAATAATCCAAGAGTGGTACCATCAGATATTGAGCAGCTGAGAGTAGCAATTAACCATTATTAACTTAATTTTAATTCTTGAGATTGTAATTTTATATTACTTTGTTTTATTTTTATGAGAGACCATAGAGCACGATAATGTACAGTAGGCTGGAAAATAGAGGGGGTGCTTGTAGTTGTTCTCACCTTCAATGTGTACTTCCGGTGACTGTATGCCAGACTCCATCAAAGCTTGTACGCCATTTGTAGAATACAGGTTTTCGCTGGGTATAGGAGCCGGTGATTTTTCGGCCACCGTTTCTTTTTCTGGAGAATGCGTCGCCAATTTTTTTCTCTTTTTGTTATTTCTTTTGCTATTTTTTGACAATCCTATAAGCCGGTTTTTCTTACTAATTTTCTTGCTGTGCCTTGGATCAACGTGACCCTGTGTTGGAGTTTCCTAGGGAAAAAAAGAAACATTTATAACAATATATGAGTAACTAATATAAATATGCTTTTAAAATAATCTAAATACAAATATTTACTACTCAGCATAATCCAAATTCAAATAAATTCTTGGATAATAAACTTATAACCACTATGGTAAGTAAAAGTAAACATTACAATGGTTAGTACGGAATATTTGCTAAATTTGGGCAAGAATTTTGTTTTATTATTATCTCACTTTATTTTTAAGGAACCAAAGGAGGTCCTTCCAATTCTTCAAACAAAATTACAAAATTCTAAATAATATTTATTTTGATGAAGAAGAAATCGACCACTACGATCAATGTGTTTGGGATCTGGTTTCTGGTCTCCCAAATATTTATTTTGTTACAAAATTCTATTTAATAAACTATAATACTATTTTTTTAAATCATTTATCTTTATCATTTATAAATATAGTTTATATTTTTATCAATTATTATTCAACTGTGACATTAAGAGAAGATCCACAATACTTTAAAATGATGAGAAAAAATTGAACATATTAAATCTTATAATCTTCAAAATTTAATTTAAAAAGATCAGTTTAGACAAAATAAATGATGATTAAATTATGTCACACATATTAATCTTAAATATTTTTAAGGTCAACAATGAATATTAATAGAGAGTGAAGCTTACAAGAGGTTCAGCATGTCGGGGGCAGACAGGATGATCATGCCGTACATCGAATACAGGCATGTTGCATTGAGCGTTGTCAAGTTCCTTTCCCGTACAGTGATGAAATAAACGTTGGTCCACATTGTACATAATGTGCTGAGTGCAGTGCCTCGTGCAGGGCAATGCTTGCCAATTACAACCTGCCGAGTAACTACACTTTTCTCCGGTAATTAAGAACTTTGCGCCCCTTGAAAAGTTTCATTCAATGTTAATTGTATTCAATTTTTGTAAAGTACAAACAGTATATTAAAATTGTATTAGAAATAAATAAAACTTACAGTGGAATTTTTGAATGTGATTTTGATAAGCTTGGGTTTAAAATGGTCGCCGTTGCATTTGGAAATCGTCTTGCTGCCGCTACTACTGCTGCCAGAAGACCCGAACTCGGATCATCCGAGACTTTAATACCTTTAAGTGTTTGAGCAAGTCTTCGTCGCATCTGAGCTCGTGAAGCCTCAACCCTTCTTTCTCTTGGACTTTCATCCGTTAAAATGTCACTTTTTGAAAACCAGTGACGTTCGTACATAGATTGATCAGCATCAAAGTCATCAGAATCAGAGTCGGACAGTTCTAATCCTAAAGGGAAAACAAATGCAAAATTGTTTTTTTAAATTTAATTTTAAATAAAATAATGCACAAAAGTGGTAGATTGGTGTATAATAACTTCTTGTACTTGTTTCATATAGAAAGCTAATTAGAGAAAAGAATAATTCAGCATCTCAACAAAAATCCCTACTATTTTACCTGTGGAACTTTTGCATTACATGTTTCGAGCTGTGACGTCCATTTTGTTTATAACATCAAAATTTGTAAAATGTAAAAGTATTTTTGGTGGGAAAAGTTGTAAATTTCAATAACAAAAAATAAACCCTCTACTTGCCAGACATTGCCGGTGCTGTGCATGGTGTAATAAATTCCAAATTTTTGATTAAGAACTAGGAAATTATTAAACATAGGTAAGAAATATGTTATGACAAATATATATTTTCTATTATTAATATTTTGTATTATGTTGACTCTATTATTATTATTTAGATTTTTCATTGTTTTAATGGTTTTTAGATATGTTTACAGTTTCTTAAGGCATTTTTATTTACTTATAATTTTTTAATATTGTTATGAAAGCAATATTTGTATTATCCATGTAAATGGTTGTATGAAAATATATTAATACTAATATCAAAATAAACAAATCACTTCTAAAAAAATGGGTATTTATTATATTTTAAATATATAATATTTTACGATAATGAAGTTCACTGTGTGATCATCGTTCTTAAAAAAGATGTAAATGATGTTTTAATGAGTAAACTTTTCTTCCCGCACGAAGTGAACGGTTTAGTGAGAGAGAAAGAGGACAGTGATTAAGAAGCCGTCCTGTAATTAAAATTAACATCGCATTACTCTTAGCTGAATCACAGATTTATTCATGACTGAAAAATTAAAGTTTGTTATAATAGGAAACAAAAAATATAGTAATGTAATCTATACTAAATATCAAAAAATAATTTATAGAAAAATATCTTTTTATTAAATAAAATGAATGCTGATAATTATAATAAAGTATGTAAATGTTGAAAAGAATTCTGAGAAGAGATAACAAAATGGGAATTCAAAATGTTTGTAAATGAATGACTCAATCAAGGGGGGAAATTGTTTAAACAAAAATGTTGTCATGTAAGGACGCTTAAACAATTATTGAACGGAAGTATGGTAATGGTAATAGATTGAACTGAATAAATGATGCAAAAGTAAACAATAATGTAATTATAAAGGTACCCATTCAATAAAGGGTACTTTATCATTATGAAATAACTTCATAACTTTAACTCTCATGCTTATCTTATAAAATTTTACAATTAAATGAAATAAATTGTGCATAGGTTAAAAAATAGTAAAAAATTTAACACACACATACACATGCATGCATGCAGCACCACCCTAATGTTGAAAAATTGTTAATTAAAATGTGCATACGTGATGTCACACACTTCAGATAATTAGAACAGTAAGGGAAATTAAAATGTGAAGATTGTGTGATGAAAGATTGAAGTAATGATAGTTTAAGTGGTTGAGCATCGAAGAATTAGAAGATCGTGGGTTTGAATCTCGCAAAATACAAAATTTTCTTTTCAAAAATCATGTATACAGGCATTCCCCACCTTTTTTATTGGTGTGTTTTGAGATAAATCGTAACATTTTATTTTTTGTCTAGTTTTTCACGAACCAAAAAGTTTTAATCTAACTCTCCAGGACAACGGAATAGGAACTTAACTATTTCAAATGACAAGGTACTCATCAATGTACATTTCTTGAAAGGGTTTCTGATACTAAATTCTACCGTTTAATTTGGAGAAACGTTCTCAAGTTATTTGCAAAAAAAAAAAATTTCCAAACACTGTTTTTTGGATAAATGAAATCTTCAATTTCTACAACCAAACACTAATTTATTCATTTATCTTTTTAAATGATAGTAAATTAAAATTGCTTGTAGTACACAAAGACAATTTGGAACAATATCTTCAAATAACATTGATTAACAGGACGCTCTGGATGGAGCTCATTAAAACGCAATTCAGTCTGGTGTAAAATCAGCCCTCAAAAACGAACTTAAAGAAAATAATATGAAAATGTTTTAATATATAACGAACACTTACCATAAAAACCATCACACTAAAGTTTAGTATTTACATTCTTCAACTTACTGTGCATACATAAAAAAGTCTTGTAATATGTTGTATGTTACAAGAAAAAGTAGAGATAATTTTGCTGTTAGAGAAAGTGGACCGAAATTTGTATGAGGCTGAATCGCTCTTTGGTGAGCTACATCCAGAGCATCCTGTAAATCAACGCTGTTTGATGAAATTGTTGCAAAAATTTTCATTCTAGACCACGAGCAAATAATTTACTATCAATTTAAATTATTCTAAAACATGAATTAAATTAAATAAATTGGTGATTGGTTGAAGAAGTTGGACGATTTTGTCCACAGTGTTCGGAAAAAAGGTATTTTTGAATAATTTGAGTATGGGAGCTCCAAATGTAAAACTGTTTGTACAGTCAAAAAATAAAATAAATAAAAAATGAAATGCAGGGATGATGAGTATTTTACAGTTTGAAACATTTTCTTCTGGAAAAGTTAGATCAAAATTTTTTGCATCATGAGAAACTAGGCAAAAAATGTATTACATGTTTAATTATTAAAAAAAAAATTTTGTTCAAGAAAGTTTTTAACTCACCCTTCACAAAAAAGGCATTGAGACTGTAGTTTATAGTTTGTCATTGTTTCGGTAAATTATTTTTTTGGTTAAGGTTAAATTGGGTTTTTGCCAAGGTAAAAATTTTATTTTGTTTTTTTAATTTACTATGATAAAATATGGCAGCAAACTTTGGACTACAAAGCAATGGTCATAAAAATAAAACAAAAACAAAATAATTTACGCTTAATCTACTATACTGCCACTGTCAGGATAATGTAATCATAAAAGGTATAAGCTAAATAAACACAAACAGTTTCAATCCTTCTATCGTGAAACACCAATTCAACTAAATTTAAACAATGCAATCTAAAAAATTATATGAAAATGCTATTAGATTATATAAATAAATGTATTTAAACAAAATGATTTAACAGTTAGTCTCGTTTAAAAACAAGAATTTATTAAAAGACTAAATGTGTTGCCATTCATTTAGCTGAAAAAAGAAATTATGTAAGTTAAATTATAATAATTAAGTAAATGGCAAAGAAATAAAAACATGATTGTGTGAAGAGCTTTTCAGTGTATGAATAAGAGTGAATACAATGACTGGCTTTTAATCTTTTATTCTGATATATTATTCTTTTTAACAAACTGTTTATTGTTATTCTATTCATGACTTCAATGCTCAAATCTTTAATTCATACACATCAAAATAACTGTCATTGTTAGCAATGAATGTGTGGTAAAGAAAGCAATACATACCAAGAGGATACAGATCGCTCGAGTACTTTTTAATATCATTTTTAATTAGATATATCCTTTCGAGCAATTCATGCTTGGAGTTGCGTTCCCTCTGCCACGTACTCTTCCTCGCTTCCCTTTTCGCCAGAATACATACTTTGTTGGGATCTCGTTTGAGACAATTGTCATTGACTTTCCCTCGTACCGAGATCTGTTCTAGTTTCTTTCTTTTCCCGATAACTTTATTTCTAGCGATATCCGCTTGTAGTTTATTCATTTTCGAAGCCGGGTCGACAACCCTGAAAGATTTGACGGCCCGTCCGGCTTCAAACTTCAACTTGTCGGGGCAAACCATATTCGTCGATTTGTTAGACGATATCTTTTTGTTCGAACTCCCCGGCTGATAGAGGCTCAGCGACTGCGGCTCCGGTTCGGTGAACGTATACGGATCTTCTTGTTGATCCTCAGACTTGACTAATTGACTGTAATAAACGTGATTGCCTCCGGAAGGAGATGGGAGTTTTTTACTCGCACCTTGTGTTACACATGTCTTCGATCTGACTATATTATTTTTCATAATAGCTTCGATTTTTCCTTTCGTACACCCTTTTCTATCACGTTTCCCACCAGTGATTTTACAAGGGGAAACTTGCACATGTCCATTAAACCTTGGAAACAATCGTCGCACATTCGTTATTAATCATTAAATCTTGTATAAAACTGTGATTATAATTGGTACATACCTCGGATTATTTACGTCGGATAAAGTAAACATGTCTCGATTAAACGCATCCTGCATAACCTTAATCTTAACCAGGGAAAAAACGTTGTGGCATTATACTCCGACAGAAAACGACATCAAATAAGACATTCAACTTTCCAAGAAATATGAAATTACTGGAAAAATAAAGCAAGGTTTCGAATTTTAGTTGCATAACCTTAAAGGTTTAAAGTCCGTTTTTTTTATGGTCTATAAACCTTCAACCGAATACTTCGACCACTGATCTTATAAATGTCTTACATTTTCTGTTGAAAATCTTATATAAAAATCTAGAAGACCTAGCGTCCGAACAAAAATAAATAATAAAACATAGCCTCATAACCCTCAGAGAAGTTATTAACCGCAATAACCATACACAATGAAACCTGCTCAGACTAACACACAACTACTTCATAACTTGCAAGCCTTATTCCAAAGGGAGCACTGATCGCGCTACTCCTACAATCAGAAGCGCTTTATTTAAACGTAATAAAACAAATATCTATTCTTCCTTTTTTTAAAAAAAAACATAATTTCACAATCCTTTCTACTAAATACATGGATTCACTTATTAAAAACAAATTAATTATTCTATTGATTAAGCATTTACAATAAAGCATGATTTAGGATCAATTATCTCCATCATTAAACTCTGTTATTTTATTTATTTTAAAAGTACAAATGGAGCTTGAAGCCCCATTAGATATTAAAAATATTCAGTTTAATAAACATAGTAAAATAATATTAATAGCCATAATAATAGCTCAAGTGGTAGAGCAGCAGCGTATTTAGCCGAAGGTCGTGGGTTCAAATCCCGATTGTGACACTAACTTTTTCATTTTAACCTTACATAAAAAGATTAATTAATTGAAAGAAGTTATTTGGTCAATCGGACCACGAAATATAATGGATTTAATAATAATAATAATAAAATAAAATACTTTTTTCCCTCATTCCTTATCCAAATGCACCAATCATATCTGAAACCTTCAACACTCCTCTAAATTTTTGGCCTTATCCTCAATAATTGCAGGGTGAAGACTTCAGAATTCGCTTCCTTCGGAAATACATTCTGCTTCCTGCAGGTCCAATGTCCATGATATCCGAGTTTTTAAAAATGATACGAACAATCTCCTTTTCTGTTTACATTTCCTTTTTCTCTCTACACTTTTCTTTTCAAATGTGGTTTCATCATTCAATTAAAAATAATTAATATTTTAAAGAATATATTATTGTCATTATGGTTTTGTACGTTTTACTATTGTTAATTTACTACATTTATAAAACTAATTTTTTTTCTATTACATGTACATGGAAGGATGCTTAAAATCCTCATTTGTACCTTTAGAATAAATAAATAAAATGTACAAAACCATAATTACAATAATATATTCTTAAAAATATTAATTATTTATAATTGAACGATGAAACAACAGAAGAAAAGTAGAAAAAGGTAAAATGAAACGGGAAAAAAGAAAAGGAAGAGGAAAAAAAGATGATTGTCGTTTTTAAATCTCAGATGCAATAAAACAAGCCAGCAAGGAAGCAAACTTTACTTCCCGGGGAAGCAAATTTCACTCTTGATCCTGCAATTCTGGAGGATAAGGCTAAATATGTAGAGGAGTGTTGAAAGGTTTGGTTTGGATAACAAATGCGGCAAGGTTGATATACATTGTGGACATTTAATTTTAAATATGTATTTTAAAACTCTGGTCTATAAATGATTAGGCTGTTAAGATTACACAATGTTTTTTTTTAAACTTCAGCCTTTATTATCAGAACTGTAAGAAACTTTGATGTTTCATGCAAATAGCAAAATATTTCTTTTCACGAATAATCTTATTATCTGTAGCAATTATTCACCTAACCCCCTTTTCCCATACAAGACTGCTCTACCTCTTTGAGGGAGATAACCTGGGGCATAAATGAATGAGAAAGGTCTGTGCCACAATGTAAACCATGTCAAGGAGTTAAATAGTATCAATTGCTCAAATAAAAGAAAAAATCTGTTTGGGTAAATAAAAAGTACTAAAGAACTGGGTTTATTTGAAATAAATTATAATTACAATATTTTAAATTTGTATTTTTACATTGTTCTACTATTGTAACACAAACTTAAATTAACATCGCTTAGGACGATGTTTCATAATTTTGTTTTATGTGTTTCCAAAGTTTTCCTTGATTCTTGTTTTCAAAATAATAATCTGTAAAGAGGTCGAAAGTCCTTTCAAAAAAGAACGCTCCTACTACGACCACCACGGCATAGGTCGATGATCTTTTGAAGACGGTGTTGTAAAGTCTGCTGGTCAGACCCATTGAAACTCCTGGAACAATAATCAGTGCATTGTTTTTTATGTAATAAGAAAGCTGTAATAAATTAATTTTTCATAATATAATAAGGTGAGTAAAACTGACAAAATAAAATAGAAAAGTTTGTAACTGTGCTGAATTGTTTCTTACTGTGTCTTCTAATTGTTATATTATGTCATTTTACTCAGTTCAATATATTAATATATTTTGAACATATTTTGGACTGCATTGACCGAGTAATTAGGACGTCATATTTTGCCACATGGCGGTTCTGGGTTAAAATCCCGGCAGAACCCTTAGAATTTTAATGGAGTATAATTAAAACAAAAATTATTGTAAAGTGGTCTAATCACTTGTCCAACACACCCAAAACAGGAAGTTGGAACGATATGTCTGTCCTGTATGCCAATAAATTCTGGTTTCACTTTAATGACACAGAAATCTGAAATATGTGATTTTTGAGAATAATTTTATAATCCAGTGAGGATAGGTAGACTAAAATGTTCGGCAAAGACCACATAACTGACGTAAGACCTTGTAACTGGTCAATTTGGTTTTTGATTACCACCATTGCCCCTGGCCCTTTTTTTCACACAACCCTTCCCCCCTAACAGTTTGAATAGTTCAGAAGTGGCAGTAAGGGTAATAACTTCAGGGCAACCTTCTTTAGAGAACAGAAGCTCAAAGCACTGAGGCTTCTCATAAAAAAAAAAAAAAAAAAAAAAAAAAAAAAAAAATTGTAGTAATCAAAGTTTCTACTTTAAACTCCAAATGAATGTTTCATTTGTCACTTTTAATGAAAAGTCGATTAACTGATGCATATCTAAACACATTGGGACAATGAGATTCCTTCCTGTAGTCTGCAGAAAGATGAACCTGTAATTTGATCCCTATTGATCAGCTTGGTCTGCTTATTTGTGACATAAGCTACTCACTGGTCCGTAGAATGCGTTTCGACATTTCTTATGACACTGTGTGCCCTCAAAACCATTGGGGAAAAATGCCCAACAGTCTTAGACCAACATATCGAGAATAAACGAAACAATCTGTAAATAGCTAAATTGGAACTTAATAGACAACAGTCAGATTGGTCGCAGGTGACAACGCTAACAAAAATACCAATGCTTTTTGTGATTTTGAATGATAGAGTATAACCAAATGAGTTTGTTACCAATGTTTTGTACGAGTTTACTAAGGTGATAACCTGTTTTGATGGAAGGAAAGTTTGTTTTAACAAAACAGCACCCGGTTGCACACTTCCATCATATAAGGCAAAATGAATAGCGTAGAACTTCAACTCGCTCTACGGTCTTGACCTTGCTTCTTAAGATTTCCACCTCTTCCGAGCAATGGTCCAATGGTCAAGAATGAGAAACTTTAAATTACGTTTATCAACTAACCAACGAGTACAATGTACCTTTTTATAGATTTGTTCTATAATGTAATTTTAACTCTTGAAACGGTACCTTTTTTTAACCCGATATCGAAAAATATATTTAAGCTAATTACACCACCCAGTTGTTACGCAAATTTTATTTAACTTTTTATAGTAAATATACTTACCTAAATGGAAACGTAGGAAAAACTAGCAAGATTAGGGCCTGAAAGGCTGACAAAACTATGGTAGCCAGACAACGGGAAAGAAGAAATGGTGTAGAGAAAACAGCTGTCCAGGGGTTTTTTCATCTGTACATGTCGTCTCAAGTGAACACTTCACGTCACAACATGAAATCCTACTTACAGAAGAACATAATTTTTGAATAAAATTTAGTTTAAAGGTATATTTCAACTATATATTTTTTTTTAATGCTAGGATAATTTTATTTATTTATCATACGTACGGTTAGTAAAACAAATCTTATCTTAATTTAAAAATGCCTATTATTGTTTATTTGAACCATGAGTGACATACATTGAAAATATGGATGCGTTTAAAACTAATGTACACAGTGATATGCACCTATACAAATTTTATACTTTATTAATAATCAATAAGGTGTTAACAACGTAACATAAATAATCAAAACACTTTAATCCTTTATAGTTGTATAATATGGCTTTCTGAAAACCAATAGACACCGCACTTTTTGACCTGACAAACTATGTGCGCACTGCTTTGGATGAGGGAGATTAGGCAGTTGGGACATTCCTGGATTTATCCAAACCTTTTGACCGGGTTTGTCATAATTAGAGCATGGATTTATATCCAAAAACATGTTCAAATATGCAACGCATACCATCCATTCAAAGATACCATCCTTAACATGCAATACAATATGAACTAAAACAATGATCAAATATGCATATTATAATGTATACATTAAAAAACCTTAAATGTGCCATATTCACTAAATATATTCCAATAAACAGAGTGAATGTCAGAGGTTTCAATTTATCAATTAATAATTAACTAATTATTTTTATCTAAACATTTTTGGTCTAGTAAATATTCATTTTGGAAGAGAAGAGAACAAATAAATTTCAGTCACCTACAAAATCATACAATTTGCTGCGGCTGGCCCTTGATATAAGGGGCCTTAAAGCCCTATTTGTACTTTTAAATAAATAAATAAAATTTACATACCGTGCAAATCCTAATTTGGCACTGCATAAAAATATCGATAGTTCAAAATCTGAAGGTGACAGTGTTATCGAATCGCCTAAATTCTGCACTCGCTTTAGGTTATCTGTCATTTCTTAGTAAGGTGTTTCGCATTTAATATCTTTCGCCGGTTTATTATATAGTTATTGTTATTAAGCATAAATAAATTTAATTTGTTATTTGACGGAGATCGATCTTCCGTTCGAGACTGTTTAAATTGTTCAACTTATACTTACTAGCCCGATGATAACAGGATAGATCCGCTTAATCTTCGACGCCAGGTCGATCCCGATCCGTACACGTTCTCCCTTGGGAAAAAAAATTATAGTTTATTGAATTTTAATTTAATTATCTCTCAATTAATATAATGGAGCCTTACGACGTTATTATAAATCAACCTGTCGTAATCGATAACGTATGTTATTTTCACATCAATATGAATGGTTTTAATTTTTTTAATCTGACGTACTTTTAGGGATCTGGAGTGATTAAAGCCGGATTCGCCGGTGATCAAGTGCCGAAATGCTGTTTTCCAAATTTGTAAGTATTTCGTCCTCTCCTTTGAAAATAAATGGAATTTATCGTGTAGATTTTTTACCCGTAGAATATTAAATAAGTGCGATCAACCGTTTATTTATTTTTATTGGGATGTTGAACTCTTAGTTGAACTACTTATTAAAATTTGAATGCATGGCTTATAACATTTAATTTAACGACAGTGCAGTCAGATGTCTGCAGTCCTGGAAGTGGAAACTTGGACGGTCAAACCATTGACAAGCCACTTTCATTGCTCCCAGAAACACCTGTTTCTCCAATTCAGAAATTAAACAAAGAAAGAAAATTAATGTACAGATAATTTAGTGAAAAAACACAAAGGAATACATTTTTAATATATAACCAACATAATAGTGCATATTTTCGAATTATCCATTTGTCAGATCATCATGACACACAATTGAACTAATCTCAGTTGCCCTTGAGATGAAATGATCTTTTGACAATTATCACTCATAGAAACTGATTTATGCTTGCTATTAGTGATAATTTCTTCTTTTTGATTTTCACCTGAAAGATATTTCTCAACGTTGTATGGTTTAAACCTCTTATTACTGTTCGTGTTGAATGTTAATGGGTTTTTAATAGTATCAGTTTTTTTTACTCGTTAGTTCACTACATACTACTTTACACAGTAATCAAAGATAATTTCAAAAATTAAATGCAATGGTTTTGACATACAGATTTGTTGTTACACTTTGACAAATATTAGCGTCAAATACAGGGTGTTTCACTTCTATTATACCCCTTTGTAATCGAAATATATGCTTATGCTTAAATTAATGAGTATACATATTGCTAAAAACTAGGAATGAATACTTTCTTTGATTTATAGTTATTTTGATTAAAAATAACTATAAAAAAGTTGGACTGATTTGAAGAAAAAAGATGAAATAAAAATGCCATGTTGACATGGCACTCATTGCTGTAAGGTAAAGGTCCCAGGTCCAACCGAACCTGACATTCTTACAATTTTTTTTTTTTTAACACTGGCACCCCAAGTATTCATATAACCTTGCAGTTGAAATACCCTCATTTAAAAAAAAAAAAAAAAAAAAAAGGTTGAATATAGATTTAATCTGTGCATGTTTAGTGGTCTGTATATTGTGTGGAATTTAGTGACCATTAATTAATGATAATTTAGAGACCGTGAGATGCGGTCTGGTGCTGATTTCAACTATCCAAAAATATTAAGCATAGAACAAAACAAACATAAACATAACTTTTTAGAAATGGTTTACACCAACAGAGATAAACACAGCATCAATTATAAAATGGGCAACGGATGTAAACTCAATCACAGCTACGCTAATTTCAGTAATTAAATTCAATATCAATAACGAATATATAACACAAAACATATAAAACAAATATTACACTCCACACATCAAACAATTATACATAGTCTAATTCTTCAACAATTTATCTCTCCTTTCCGTTATAATCCCTGTCTATAATAATTCTGAAAGGCTAACCAGGCCAAATGACAAACCATTACCCCTTTTTTCCCATTGTCGGTACCTTTCACATCGGAGAAGCCGACTTCTCATAGGGAAAAAACCCAAATGAATTTCTATCCCAACTTCCTTCCCCACTCCTTCAAAATCCAACATGTTCAAACAAAAAAAAAAAAAAAACAACATTAGTACTCACTCACACTTCTCAGCACGATACACAACAATGACACATCTACACAGAAAACACACTTTGAGTGAGAAATACTGTGATTAAACTTAAAATTTCTATATTGTGTAGATGATTGTATAAATTCATTTTCACATCTTACATTATTTGTATAATTTAAACTATGTTTATAAATCTCAGGCCCTGAAGGTGATCTCAATAGAGATCGAAACATTGGCACGATAAAGAAAATGTTTTTCTAAACCTACATCGCACCAGACTGCATCTCGTGAACTCTAACTAATCATTTCCTTATTAATTATGTCAATTAATTATTCTTTTTTCTAAGGTCTTGGTTGAGATGAAAACGTTAGTGTTACAAGTGGGATTCGAAGCCACGACCTTTGGCTGAATATGTCACTGCTCTAACCACTTGAAAAAATGGAAAAAATTCATAAGGTTATAGGTTGAGATTGGGGAGTTGTTATCCGAGTGGATCGGACTCACAATGGCTCAAGTGATTAGAGCACTGGCAAAGGTCATTGGTTCGAATCCCACTCGTGACAGTAACTTTTTCATCTCAACCAAGACTTTAGATAAAAAGAATAATTAATTGATATAGACTTAATGTTTTAATTATGATGCTACTGTGGTGGATTATATCTCATTCTTTTTTCCTAAATGAAATTATTGTATATTATTTACTGTGATTAATTACCTATTTGTTTAGACACTGATTGATACTGTGTAAAGTGATGCCTCAAAATGTTAAAATTAAAATGTTTAAATCTGGATTTTGACAGTTTTTGTACTTTTACCATTTTATTCTAATTAAAAAAAAAAACTGTACCAAGAAACTAAAAATTTTATTTAAATATATGTAATAAAACTTTTTATATTAACAGTTAATTTCTCTTTGTTTTTATGCTTTTTATAGCATCGGGAGACCCAAACACGTCCGTGTGATGGCGGGCGCTTTAGAAGGGGAGATATTCGTCGGCCCCAAAGCCGAAGAGCACAGGGGCCTTTTGAGTCTAAGGTATCCGATGGAACATGGCATAGTGACCGATTGGAACGACATGGAAAAGATTTGGCAGTACGTTTACGGAAATGATCAACTGCAGACATTTTCGGAGGAGCATCCAGTTCTCTTAACAGAAGCACCACTCAATCCAAAGAAAAATAGGGAAAAAGCAGCTGAGATATTTTTTGAATCGTTCAATGTACCAGCGCTTTATGTCTCGATGCAAGCGGTATTAAGTTTGTAAGTATTTATGTATTAACAACACCATGTTTATTTGAATAATCAAAAATCATTTAGACATTTTTTAAAAGACCATTATTTTATTTATTTATTAATTTACAAGTTTTTCCATCTTATAGATATGCTACAGGAAGAACTACCGGTGTTGTGTTGGATTCAGGCGACGGTGTCACACACGCTGTGCCTATATATGAAGGCTTCGCCATGCCTCACAGTATTATGAGGGTAGACATAGCAGGAAGAGACGTCTCACGATATTTACGGTAGGTTGTTCACAGTTCATTCTATACATTTACAGTGAGCATCTATTTTTTTCCTCCTTAGGCTTTTACTTAGAAAAGAGGGCGTTAATCTTAAGACCACAGCTGAATTTGAAGTTGTGAGAACAATTAAAGAAAATGCATGTTTTTTGTCTGGTAATCCTCAGAAGGAAGAGTCTGCCGACACCGAAAAATATCAGTATGTCCTCCCCGATGGTAGTACATTGGATGTAAGTACATGTTTATGTATTAGCATAAATTTTCATTTATGGTTCAATTAGAGGGCGCTTTTCTACTATTAAAATAGTTCACATTCCTTTAACTTATTCAGAAAACAGCCTGCAGTAAATTAAAAATAATCTTTGTTCATTTTGTATAATTTGTTTCTTCTTATTAACGTCTTGTTTTTTTAATCAAATTTTTAAATTGTTCTACCTTTGTAAATGTCAACAACCAATGAAAGTAACTGTAAGTGGTCATGTGTAATTTTCAGATAGGCGCAGCAAGATTTAGAGCCCCAGAGGTTCTCTTTAGACCAGACTTGATTGGTGATGAATGTGAGGGGATACACGAAGTTTTAGTTTACGCAATACAAAAATCGGATCTTGATTTAAGAAGAGTTTTATATCAGAATATTGTCCTATCTGGAGGTTCCACTCTATTTAAGGTAAGATTTTGTTAGACCATGAAAATGTTGGAATTTATTTTCTTGACAATTTGTTTATTTTATTTTTAGGGCTTTGGAGATCGGTTGTTAACGGAAATTAAGAAGGTTGCACCAAAGGATATTAAAATAAGGGTTTGTTTATAATTTTTGTTTTTAAATCTAAATTAAAATAGCTAGTCAACTTTTGATGTAACACCATCACTAGCATTATAAATTTCCTTTGGTTAGACCGTATTCCATTAATACTTACATTATTGGTGGTTTTAATTATCTTTGTGGTTTATAAACAATTAAAAATTGAGATGAAAAAATGTGCCGCAGGTTGGGCCACCCACTGGCTTTGGATCAGTACTCTGACTCTCGGCATTGAGCCATGAAATACTTTCATCATAATTTTTAATTGTTTATAATAATTTATTATACTTTAATCTATGGTCTTGGTAGAGTTGAAAAAGCTAGTGTCACAAGTAGGATTTGAACCCCGTGACCTTTGCCTCAATATGCTGCTGCTCTAACCACTTGAGCTATCTCAACTATAACCTTTTGAATTTCCTCTCTTTTTGCCATATTTTCAATTAATAAAAACAAAAAGTATAATTAATTAAAATAATAAACATTAATAAAAACCTTTACTTTAAAACATGTAGATAAAAATAGTTAAAATTGATAATTTAGTTATAATCAAATAATATTGATAATTACCTCTGTTAATTTTGTGTATTCTACAGACAGCTATATGACACTGTGATTTTCATATCCTAGAAAATAAATTAAAAAAAAGTAAATTAAGTATTTGTAGGTTGAGATGAGGAAATGAGCTTTTAGTGGTGGGGGGGGCAAAGTCACATAAGCTCAATGACAGAGAGTTGTTCTACTAATCTGAAAACAGTGGTTTATAGTATCAACTATATTTGTTCATCTCAATTTTTTATTGTTTAAAATAACACCATTTACCTTAAAATTTAAGTTTGTATGTGGAATATTTTTTTTCTTTCAGATCTCAGCCCCTCAAGAAAGGTTGTATTCAACTTGGATTGGCGGTTCCATTCTGGCTTCATTGGATACATTTAAAAGAATGTGGGTTTCAAAAAGAGAATTTGAAGATGAAGGGGGAAGAGCTATACACAGGAAGACGTTTTAGTCTCGTGTATTAGTAACACCTTTTCTCAACCGAATAAGCAAATGTTTATTTTTTATTTTTCAAATGTCTCGAAACTATGTTATTGTTTCATATTGTATTTGTATATAAATTTCGTTCAATGATTAATTGAACAATATTTGTACGAGGTGCAAGAGATGAATAACATGGCTGTTTCTCTGATGGATGGACTATGAACTGGAGAATAATATTCATTTAAGGTATTTTTTATATGCAACAATTGTGCACAACTTAATATATACTTAGTAATAATTATTTAAATTAATACAAAGCTTGTGCAAATATGTAACTTATTAATGTGTACATATACATATTCTAGTTTATTTAATTTTCTATTGCTTGTAAACCATTGTTAACTTAATTTTTTTTTCATTTCTTTCAATTATATGGTTATTATAGCATTTCTTTTTCAGCTGCAAGCGCCACTTTTTTTTTATTATTGTCATATAATAAGAAGTGCTACTTTGTAAAAGAGATCAAGACGAGCATGAAATAATATTCTCAAATTAAAATCTGTTCTAAATTTATTGTTTCACATTTTGAATAATATTTTACCAAAATGGAGCTCCTCTTATAAATTCGTACGACGGATACTCTAAAATATATTTTTAATTGTGAGCTTTCTTCTTGAGGTCTATGGGTGATAAACTTAGTTCTAATTGTTTCTAATCATTTTGGTCCGCTTATATTCATGTTGGTATGACAAACCAAAATGATCAGAAGTGACCAAGTTACATTTTTCAATTGTTAACATTTTATAATAACTATATTAGTTGGATAGACAACAAATTGAAGGAGAAAATTCAATTTTGAAAATTTAAAAACTTTTTTTATTGAAATAGAACTTTTTCATATCTAGATGGGAAAGAAATTCATTTTTTAAAATTAATTTAAAAAAATTAAATGTCATAATTAATTAAGGTTTTTAGTCGAGATAAAAAAGTCAATGGCACGAACGGGATTCGAACCCACGATCTTCGAACTCACGGCTTGATATGCCGCTACTCTACCACTTGAGCTATCGTGACCTCGATCCACTCGGACACCAACTTCCCCTCTCAACCACACCTTTTGAATTTTCCCTCCTTTTTGCCAATTTTCAAATGTCGTGTGCTCGTGCCATTGACTTTTTTAACTCGACTAAAAACCTTAATTAATTATAATATGTTAATTGGTCAAGCGGACCACGAAATTAGTGAATTAAATAAGTCATATAATCCATGTGTGTATTTTCTGGATGGACCTATCTGCTTGTTTACTCTGCTAAACAAAACATTTGATCATGATCTCGTTCAATGATATTTTCTGTCCATACAATGCTTGAAGCAATTCCATAAGGCTGTGAAGGGTACCAACTGAGTTTGGTGTTATTGTACGAGAAAAAAAAAACAGTCGACTGTTTGAATCAATGAATTATTTTAGCTACGAATTCTTCTGGTCAATGATTTGATTCTTCCGGTGTGCAACAGTGTAATTGTATATAAGAGATCAGGGATGAAGGAAATTTGAAAGAAAGAAAAACGCTCAGTCTTTTTGTAAAGATTTCGATGAATATATCCACTTGTATAATACAAAAAAAGCTCCTAGTATTTTATATACATATTACAATTGTGTTTTTTAAAATGCAAGTGACTTTCAGCTAAATAATAACTGAATTTTGTTACTTAATTGCCAGTAAAATGTTAATCCCTGTAAATAATAATAAATATTGACGTGGAAGTGAAAGATGTGAGACAAATGGTTTCAAGATGATGCATTTTGATCTTTTTTTAATTTGGGTCTTAAAAGTCGAGAAAACTACATTTTTTATTCATTTTACAGGCAAAAATATATTAAAATTATACAGTAGTTACAAATTCTTGGAGAGCTAATATTAAGATTAATTATAAAACATAAATATTTAATTAATGAAACTGATGAATTAGAATTACAATATAATAACAAATAATTTGAAGTATGAATTATTAAATAAAAAGTGGCTGCACATATGCGCCATTAGAATAAAATAGAAAAAAAAAACAACAGAAATATTGGTAATATTCAAGCTAACTAGCACAACTTAGTAAATATTAAACTAACAGAGCTATGAGTTTTCAGAACTATAATAGTAATTATAGTTCATATCCATAACTGGATATGAAAATATTGTATAAACTGATCTAAACATTCTTTGAGTACAGAAATTAATTTATTTTTAAAAACTAATATCTTAGTATGTGAGGTGTGGATAAGCATTAGGCATATGCATTAACCTATTAATGGGACATTCTTTTATGCAATTAGTTTTATGGGCGGAAATGAAGAATATTTTATGCCTCTGGGATGAAAGCTGGGGAACAAGTTTAATTTGGAAAGTAAATAAAGACTCAATCTGATTTTAACAAGTTTATAAAGGAAGTTGGGGGTCAAGGTGAATTATTCTGTTTTCCAAAGTCATCAAAGCAAGCCAAAATATTAAAGTACATGTATAAGTATGTTTTTATTGTTTAGTTGGGTCCCGTGTTCGGGGTGCTTAGTTAAGTAAGCAAGTAGTAAAATTAGTAGCCTTATTGAGAGAACAAAAATTAAACATTCAGCATAAGAATATGGAATCATGGTCACTGTTTTTGGCATAGTCCAGTCCCTATAAAACTTGGTACTCGAGAAAACGTCAATTTAGTGTTAAAACGGTCGAAATACAGAAGCTTCAAATTTTTTTTTTCATAAATAACGGAAATGGAATTTTTAATTTCTATCGCCATGGTTCGCAGTTTTCTGTTAGGCCTCCCGCTTATATTTGAGTCGTTCATGAACGAGTACAAGGAGCCGTTAAACGAATCGCTCGCGTCTTCAAAAGTTTTGGCTCAACCCTAAATTGAAACAAATCGTAAATACTGACGATGGTAAATTTTCTTTCTATGGAGTATGGAATATTCCAGCCATTAACATTAAAATAAAAACCAGCATAATTTCAAACTGGTTGAATTATTTAAGTTTGAGATCTTAGAATAGAAAATACATTTTATAAATTTTTATTTGTTGTCATTGTCACTTATTCTTTTATAGATGTGGGGTGGATTTATTTAGTATTTTATGTAAATCTTTTATTTAAAAAGGACTGCGATGCATTGTAGGACTATGTCCATCTCTCCCAACAGGCAAATTGTTCATTTTTATTACTCAAAAAAATAAATAAAAGACAGAAAAAAAAAATTAGAAGTAAAATAAGTAAACAGAAGAGTTAAAGAGTGCCACTGAGGGAAAATATGTTGCAAAAAATAACAAATAAACAAAACCACCCTAAAAATTAGTCAAAGTGAGGATATTTAATGATAGTATATAATTGTCCAATTGGACAATGACAAAATAACGCGCAAAAATACTACCATTTGTCAATAACAAACCGAATCTATGTAAAGAAGAAACTTTATGGGAGTACTTTTAAAACCAAGAAGAATCGTGTGATGCATGTTAGTAATTTGGGCCAAATAGGCAAGGAAAATAAAGATTTGGTTTATAAGTTTAGATAATATTGATTTGAGCAAGGAAAATAATGTTACTGATACTTATGTACCTGTTTATTGTTATTATGGTAACCATTACTAACAATCTCAAACCATTACTAACCATCCAAGCTGTTGTTTAGTTGGCCCGGTTTACATACTAACACTTTTCTGGAGTTGATCCAATTTACAATTCACTTGCCAAATTTACATAACAATAAACAGGTGGAAGCATGAGTAAATATTAAATTGGCTGATTTTACATTTGCCCAAATTATAGATAAATTTAAGGCAGCTAAATTGTACCCAGAAGTTTTATTTAGTGGCACAGAAAATTTTCATCTTCAGAAGAATCCTCGATTGAGCAAAAGAAGTTCCAGATCACTTACATTTTACCTGCCAAATCAAATGAGTATGGGATTGGTGACAGTTGAGTTGATAATCGGATGATCTGAAAATCTATACGTCAATACATTCAATCAAAGGCGCACTTCAAAATTCATTGTCCAACCTTAAAAGTTTTTAAAACAAATTCCCTAATCCAGCTATACTAAATCATGTATAGAGAAAGCAGCAGCCTGCTTGCAAGCTGTTACTTTCTTAATTACTACAATATACCAGAGTTAGCTGGCGCTCTAGGTGTCACAACAATAAATTCAATAAATTTTCTTTGAATAAAAAAAATTAACTTGTTTCTTTTTATCATTCTGATTCTTTTTCTGTGTGCTTATAAATTATATGGGCTTAACATTGAACAAATTGAATTATAAAAGATGTTGGAATTCATTTTAGGCATAACTTGAAGTTTAAAAATCATATTAAATGATTAATAAAGAAAGCGAAATTGAATCCTTAGGCTTGATTCCTTCTGTAAATTTCAGTCATTCTTAAAGCTGTTTTACTTTATAAGATCTTTGTGCGATCATTTCTTGATTATGGATTTGTCATTTGGAATCCATACGTTTCTTGCTCCACATTTGGTTCAGTGAGACTGGAGATTTGGTGATACTCTTTATGATCTGCTCCATGGACTGATTGGAATTGAAACACTAAATGCTTAGATTTAATTTTTGCAACTTCTTTCACTACAAACTGATACCTAATCATATTGACTGTCCTGATCTTTCCTCTCTTTTAAGTTTTTTCCCTAACTCAGCGCTTAGTCTTGACAATAAATTAAATAAAAATTAGATTAGTGACCTAATATACAGTTAGGATAGTGACAGAAAGGGTAGGAATGTCTGTGGCGTATACTGTGTAGAGAATGAGTCCTAAGATACTTCCTTGTGGTACCCCTGCATATGTGCGATAGCTGGCTGATAAAGAGGGGCCACTGATGACTTTAGTGTAGCTATCGGTTAGGTATGATTTTAGGATCAGATAGTATTTAAATGGGAGGACTTTCTCTAGCTTCCAGAGCAGCCGTGATTACCATAACCAGTTAACAGTTTACTTCACATTTAGAAGTAATTTTTATACAACATAGAAATATACTTTATGTGAGTATGAAATACTTGGTTCAAAATTTATATTATTTATGTATTATATCTGTATTATTTCCAATCAATATGTTTTGTAATTCTCTCAGGCCCTGAAGATGACCCGAATAAAGGTCGAAATGGCAACAAATGAAAAAGGTGTTTTTCTAAAATACTTCATTCCTGACCGCTTCTCGTTATTTAAACAAATGAGAAATACTAATTTTGGTCTAGAGCAGTGCAATGAAGTCTACAACACGATGGCACTGATGAACAGTGGAATGAGTTCATATGAACCCAACTGATTGTTTGATTTCTTAAAAATGGTACCTTTGAACCACTTTTTTGTATTGGGGGTAGTTTGGGTGTTATTCCTCCACGGATGTTTATGGGGCCAGAAACATTCTCTCCTGCAAAAAAAATATCACTTCTCAAGAAAAGTCTACTGTTGCACAAACTGCAGAATACATGTTCATTCGATCTTTTTTGGATGTCTGTAGTCTGCAGAATTTCTTCCTGTTTTAAATAAAAAGTTCCGTTTATTAGAGGCAGTCTGAACACAGGGAGCGTGTGTACACGCTTGGCTGTTGTGCCAGGGTTTTTTTTAATTGTTCCTATCAAATAAATGACTGTTACAAACTTATCGATAAAAAATACCAAAAATTTTATGATTCAAAAAGTCAAAGTTAAAAACCGTTAAATACGGCAAGGTTTTGAAAAAGGGAGGGAAAATGAAAGGTGAACGATGAACGATGATCTAAAAGAACGAGTCTGTGATCTGCGTGAAGTAACCATAAACCAAGTATTCCAAGAGACATGTACATGGAGGGAAAACATACTGGATAGTTATAGAGCATGAAAACATTTGTGATACAACTGAAACATATATTACAACATAGTCCTTAGCTTTGGCATTGTGGCAATCAGTGTATTTATTTCTATTTCCGTTAATATGTTAGAAACAAGTTTCAAACGATAGTACTGCTTTAACGTCCATCCCCTCTAGTTTTTTCCTTGATTATAGAATTTGATTATCCTGATTCATTGTTCTAATTTACAACTAAAAATTTTCGTGTTTTCATTCGGGTGTTAGCTGTTTACAAAACATACTGTTATTCTGGCAATCTACAAATCTTTTAAGAACTCGAGTTTTTTTTTTAATTATACCAATGTGACATGTTTTTAAAAGTGTTAAGTAGGTCTCGTTCGCATAAATCATACCAGTTGTATCTGTCGTAAATAAAAATGTCAACCGGCGTCGTTTTCCTAGATACTCGAGTGGGTTCAATTTAGCCCAGAATCCAGCTTGATCAAAGTACCAGTTCGTAAGATTATTTAAATAGTGAGTAAAAATTTTTGTTTAAAAATTATTATTGTGTTGAACCGGCACACGGGCACTACTGGGTCTGTCTTCACTCGCGGGTTTTTTGTTTGAGTTATTCATTTGATCATTGAATAACTCAAACAAAAACCTGCGAAAAGACAGACCCAGTAGTGCCCGTGTGCTGGTTCAACATGAGTTCACCAACTTGCAGACTAAACCCCATCATCTACTATAATTATTATTGTGCCTGATGACTTGCAGGGATGATGAGGCCGAAAAAGAACAAGGAGAACAAGAAACTACCTTCTGCAGAGCCGGTTCAGATCACTGACACTGCCATCGAATGCCTTCTTGTATCTGACAATGAGACAAAAAGACAGTCGCTGGGAAAAAGACGGTCACTCCTTCTTCCGAAAGAGCGAGACGAGTACATCGGTGATGTAAGTAAATTTTAACATATGAAACCTTCAATGCTAACTTGTGTCTGTTTTGAACATTAAGAAGTGTCAAATTAAAGTTTTGCGAAAATTCTAATGATTCTACACCTCAGAATATTAATAATAAAATTAGCTTCTGTTATGATTATTCATCTATACACCACATGATGTTTAAGATTAAGATTAGCATAGTCACCTTTTCATCCTTATGTGACCTTTTATGTGACCAGGCCTGTTGGGCATCTCCATTATTGTGTAGAGCTTCTCATTAAGCATAAGGCTTTTTACCACATCTCAAGGGACTGATTACGTGATCCTGGAAACAATCTTCACAACTTCCTATAAGTCTCAATGTACTATAAAGGAGAGGAAGAACCCAGGAGATCAGATAAAATGATATGGTACACAGATGGCTCCAAAACAAACGAAGGAACCGGATCAGGCGCTTTCTGTACAAGCCCAAAACATGAGCAATCAAACTCATTAGGGAAGTACACTTCGGTCTTTCAAGCAGAAATACATGCCATCAATGCTTGTGCCCTGAAAATCTTAAAAGAGGTTACACTGACAAAAAAATCCTCATAAGATCAGGTAGCCAAGCAGCTATTGAAGCATTAGCATGTAAAAGAATCACATCAAAATTAGTCGGTGAATGCATCCCAAATCTCCAAAACCTGGGGAAACACAACTACCTCATGATATCTTGGGTGCAAGGGCACAGGGGAATTTTGGGTAATGAGAAAGCAGACAGACTGGCCAGAGGAGGATCTGCAAGACCATACCTTGCAAGGCCATGCAAGGCCCCGAACCTATTATTGGGATAACAAAAACAAATATAGAATCCTCCATCGCAGAATGGATCCAAGCAAAACAAAAGGAGAAGTGGATAAACTCTACGGGTGCTAGACATAGTAAACTTATGATGAAACAACCCTCACCGAGACTGGCAAAAACACTGCTGCAATTGGAGAGGGCCAAACTCAGAGGAGTGGTAGGACTACTAACTGGTCACTGGCATCTGAGAAAACATCTGCAAAACATGGGTATATACAGCGATGATCCCATGTGCAGATTATGTTATGAGGAGGAGGAAACAGCCACTCATATCATCTTCGAATGCGAAGCAACAGCTCAATGGAGGTTTAACCTAACGTACGGAAAAAACTTAAGGAATCAAATTACAGCAGCAACAGTCAATGACCTGATACTTCTAAGAAGAAGGATTGAGTCTATTGACTGAACTAAGGAACTAGGAAGGTACAATAAACCAGAAGGCTGCAGTGCCTAGGGAATACAAACCCTGCTTCCTAGTATCCTTTTCTACCATACCATACCACATCTCAAAGCTTTTTCTTGTACTTCAGGCCTGTGCTTATCTTCTCACAGGCCTACAAAAGCCTTTGCACTAATAGAGGACATGTTCTGCTGTCTCTTCTTCCTAACAATATCTGCAAGGCTTGTATATGTACTTATGTTCCACTCTGTACTGTTTTTGGAGCCGGCAGTGTCCAGTTAATAAAAGTATTCTGGTCCTAACACTCCCTAGATCTAGTAGTCGTGCGATGGTCCTTTGATGAATTTTTTCACTTGCATCTACCTTGGACTAATTCCATGGCACACAGGGCTTACTCTAATCCACTGTCTAATGGATCAGCAGTTTTGTATGCCACAAAAGAGTTAATAGGTGCCACATATGTACCACTACTAGCCTAATCCAGAGAGAAAATACTACTGTCTTCTTTGTTTGGATGAAAGAAGAACGATTACTGTCATAATTTACTTGTATGATCGGCATTGAAGGAACCGCTGCTTCTTCTTCTTTTTTTTTTTTTCGAAAAACATTCTTGCTCTGTTTCTTTATACTAAACTTCTATTTTCCCATCAACCTTTATCTTATTGTGATGAGCCCTGTGTCAACGCCTAAACTGTTGCGGCCACTGATACCCCTGCACTTTATTACTAATTATTTATTCAAAAATAGTTTACTGCAATAGGAGTTAACAATTTCATAAAATATGAATACAGGCAATAATTATCATTTATGATCTGGTGGATTGCATTACTACCATTTAAGAAAACTAAAAAGCAAGGGTTTCTTCTCGAGGTTCTGATATCTCTCGATAGCCTACTTCTGCCATTTGATCTGGTCTTTATAGATCTTATTGAGCAATACACCCACCATTAGAAAATATTTGTTATTTATTTTTATTGCGGTAATTGATTGATAAAATATTAAATTAGGGAAACAATACATGTACAGCCATTTTTCACTTAGCTAAAGTTAAATTATTTTGTTTTTATTTCCAAAATGTTCAGTTGGAATATTCCTTAAAAAATGAGGTAATATAACAATAATAAAAATGTATTGTTAATTGTCATAATGTCATAAGTACTTTGATAAGAATGGAAGTTTTTTTAAATTAATTTTTACATATATATTCTTTTGTAGGAGAATGATGACGAAACTGAAAAAAGGGCGAGGCGTGAGGCTGCTGAGGAGGAAGCTAGGAAACAGAAGGAGGAAGTGCAACAGAAAGAGACAAAGAAAACTCCTTTTAGCGCCACAAACAACTTTTCAAAAGATCAGTGGGAAGAACATTTTTCCCGCTGTATTCAGCTATGCAATCAAAATGTATGAGACGGGGTTAAAAAAAAAAAAAAAATTATAATAATAACTAAGAAATAATTTTGTTTGTTTGTAGAAAGTAAATTGTAAAAATGCATTTAAACTCAAGATAATTGACTATATGAAGCTGATTTTTTTGAATAAGTCGAAGAAAATTGAAAATTTGTCTGTGAGTATCACTAGAGAATGATACAAAAACTCATACAAATTGGAAATAATGTCTTTTCTCTGATTAGCTTATGAGCTGTACTCTCGATGCCAGTGCGAAAATTTATTCGTACCGGGTTGACAAAGTTTATGCTGATATGGTCAAAGTGATATCAGGGAAAGAGTGGACTAAGGAGGATGATAATGATAACGAAAATGAAAAAGAAAAACAACAACAAGAAGAAGATGTTGAAGAAGAGGAAGATCAGGCAAACAAAAAGAAGAAAAAAAGTAGGAACAGTGATTTCTCCGAACTTCAGTTAGATAAGGTACAAATAACAAAAATATTTTATTAGTAGTCAAGAGTGAATTTTTATAGTTATATGGTAAAAAATTGTTATGTAATTAATAGTCAAACAAATATATTGTTCATAGCAATTAATGTAATCGTAAAAAGAACTTTTAATCTTGCCTCATTTTTAAAGTTTTAATAGATTAAAACATTGATGATAAGCTTCTCAAATGTCCTTATTTAATTAGTACAGTTCATAAATCTATATTTTGTTTGATGGATGTTAATTTATAATATATAAAAATATCAATAGTTTTAGTACCAGTGAATAGAATTGTATACAAAGAAAAACTGTTTTGATTTGTGCTTGAACTCTTTAGTGTCACCATCCATCGATCAAATTACTTTTAGAAGTTTTTTTTACCCTCTATTAAATAACTTATTGTACTGCAGTATTCAGTCATCTTGCCTTATTTGAATATTTGGTTTTCCTTAAGTTGTAAGATTTTGTTATTAAATTGTTTCATAAAACCTAAATATTAATTAATTCAAAAACGATGGTTCTATTCATAAAGTATGTTAACTTTTCGATTATTGAATTGATATATCACTCCATCATAGCCATTTTTTGTTTTAACTAAACATTATTCTTTTATTTATTTTTTATAATTATAATTTTTTATATTTTTTAATTATTTATTATTATTATTATTTTAATGGCTTTATAATTATTAGCTAGAGTATGTACTTATTTGTTTTACCATATTAGTAGTAGTTGGAAGGAAGGGTAGCATGAAAAAAGGGCCAGGGGTGATTTTGGGAAATGAACCCATGACCACACGGCTACCACAGTCCCATACTAGAAATTCTTTCAGTGAGTGAAAATCTTAATTTGATTCATGAAGTGGAGTAAGGAGAAAAAATAAGGTGGTTATTGCAAGAAAATTTGGAATCTCTCGGATTTCCGGTTGATCTTTGTGATCATCGGTCCATTTTCTTTTTCTTTTGTATAGTGTTTTGAATGATGTAAATGTTTGTATCTGAGCTGTTGTTAATTTGTGTGTTCACAAGTTTTTAGTATTGAATGTGCTCTATTTGTAATTTCAAATATTTCCAGTATGTTTATTTTCGTCCTTTGTTTTGCGCTTATCTGTATTGTTGAGGTGGTTTTCCGTGAGGTGAGAATTACAGTTCCATCACCACAACGCTGACCACATGGAGAAAGGTCACAATATGCATATGAATTTTTCTTATCTTACAAGTCAAATATCAATCTCAATAATTCTAATTGTTGGTAACTTGTATAATTAGAATTTAGACTTGTCCAGAGTAGACATTGTAACAAAAGGTTTGCTCTTACAATGATTCTACCAGTTACATAAATGTTAAATATTGTTTTTACAAAACCTTTTCATGAAAATAATTTTTGTAAAATATATTCTGTTTTCTGTGATTAGATGCTGTGCAAAGATGACCAACAATTGGAAAAAAGTGAAAATCAGGAGGGCGAAAGCTCATTTAAAGTTAAGACGTTCCCCACAAATGATATTGAATACTTTCTCGAATGTCCTATATCAGATCCGGAAGGAGAACTTTTATTGAACGGACCTGTATTTACGACTTCTCTAGATCCTGGGTCCAACCGCAGTCTACAATTAGGTAATGATGCTGTGAAATTATTTGATCTGAAACATGACATTTTAAGCAGTTTGGTACTTAATCTTTATGCTTATTTTCTAATTAGTCTAGTGTTTTTTTGCCTAAATGCAAACTTTCTTGTTGTACCTTAAACTATCAGTAAGAACAGGCAAATGAAAACTTCCAAATATTCAACTTTTTTGTTGTTATTTATTTTTAAACTTTAACTTTTGTTTATTTTTTTTTTGTAATAAACTTTTAAATGTTAATCTTCTTGTGTTGTTAATAAAAGTTAATTAAAAAGTGTAATAGTTGTTTGTTAAAACTTTGTTGAACAAGATAAACTTAAAGCGTGTTGCTGTGTTAAATAATTAATTATTTATTATTAGAATTGAATTTTGTTAAAGAAACTGTTATGGAAAATATTTATTAAAAAATACAAATTCAATTTTTGTTTTATCACTATTGTCGGCANTTATTAATAATTAATAATAAATAATCAATTGTCAATAAATATATAATTAATAACTAATTAACATATTTAATAATTAATTTAAGGAAAAATTAAAAATGTGTGTAATGTTTAGGCCCAAGATACACTGGGCAACGTGTGAGTGTTGATCCTAATTTATACCTGGCTGATTATAAGAATATGTACAACTCTTTCGCCTTGATCGGCGAGGGTAACCAATCAGAAATAAGAGAAGTAGATAAGGATCTGATGTATGATGCGGATGAGCTTGTTTTACAAGATGAACTCAGGTGCCAACCAGGTAATTTTTTAAATAAACAAATTGGTTATCTTTTAATTAACCTAAAATTAATTTTAAAGATAACGACGATATGGTTGCGGCAATAAACGAGCCGGAATACTGTGGGGATTATGATGACTGTTGTATGGAAGACGATGAAACTGTGCATCACATGAATTCAGTCCAGCTCAAAAACATCACGCCAGTTCCTAAGGTGGCCCCATTTTCAGTACAAGCAATGACCAAGCTTGTTTCTGCTGAGCATGATGAATTCAGTTTCTTTGACAACAGCAAAGTCAATTTTTGGAGTGGTCCATCTCACTGGTCAATCAAACAATCGACAAGTAATTAAAAAAAAAAAAATCAAACTATATTTCAAATTATAAAACTTTTACCTTTATTATAGAGAAAATTGGTCAGAAACTGCAGAAGGATGTTAAAAAACCTGCAAGAAAAGTGCAAGGTGTCGATTTATCCATGGAAAACGTTGAAGACATAATTAAAGCTTACTCGGAAAGTATAAATGTCACACTTGCTACAAAAACGTTGAAAATGTGGAATAAATCGAAATGCAGCGAGCCTGAAGATATTCATTACACGCAGAAACAAATGTTAAGGTAATATCTAATAATTGTTAACTTTATTGAATTATTTATTCCAATATTGTTATAATTGTGTGTATCTGGTTTTATTTTTTTAACATGAAACTTAATTAGATCCATGAACATTGGTGTTATTTTATTAAAGAACTCAATGCTTTAATTTTTTAGACGAATGTATTTCGGGCTAATTTCATAAAACCTCCTCAGCTTAAGGTGTTTTGCTCTAGGAAAAAAAAAAAATCTCTTGTCACACATGAAATGTAAGGGTTGATTGTACGTACTCAATTTTTTTTTTTGTCGGATCCTATTATGCACCCAAGAAATGGCTAATTTTTTCAACGTGATAATTCTTTGAATATTCGATGAGGATTTTCATCACAGTTTCTGTAATACCAGCAGCTTTTGCGTAAATAAATAATTTACTCAATAAAACAGTCTTATAAAACAATCCAATGATAACCTTTCTCAAATACTGATAGGTGATTAGAAGGCAGTATAGGACAGTGACAAAATGGAAAGTGTCCTATACTCAATAATAAAGCATACATTCTTGCTGATTGATGGTATTGACTCAGACGAGCGTTCATTGCTCTTGCCAGAGATGGACAGTGTTGATTTGCTTGTTTTTAAAAGGGTCGGTTAAACCCGCCGTTCTTTTGTTTAAAGTAATACAAGGTTGACTACTTTTCTTTCTTGCCATTTTTCAACCCAGGTCTGCTTATTCTTTTCCGCCGTTCTTTTCTCCCAACTATTATTTCCGCAATTCTATTTCCTGCATCTGCCTGAGACATGGGGAGTAACAGTTCTCGTCCAATATTTGCATCTGCATCCGCCATCAGGGGCCCCCGCTGCGACGAAATTCTCTGCTACCGATCTCTGAAACTGAGTGAGTCGTTTTTCTTACTATTCTCTCAGCCTTGTCTCAATTTTTTCGTGTTTGTTCTACTACACACTGCTATAATTCATAATCTTGTTTTTCCTGGAAATCCACTTATGTTAACCTCTTTTTTTTTTTTAAATTTAAATTTTTTAAAATTTAAATTTTTTAAAATTTGTGGTGTTCCTACTGAACATAGTGCTTATGATAAAGGTTCAGCAATTAATTGTCTTTACTTTATAATGAAATGTAAACTACTCCAAAATGAATAGCGATATTTGTAATTTGTTCTTATTCTATTAATTTTAATTAACTCTTGTTAGTTGGCTAAAACAAAATAGAAAATATAAACCAAACACAAAAAAATGTTAATCCTCATTTTTAATAACGGATTTACTTAAGAATAATAAACATGAAGAGTATTCATTTTGTAAACATATACCTTTATTATCTTTTTTCCATTTTAATCCAGTTGTATTACCATTAACCATGGAAAGACTAGCTTGAACCAGAAGTTATTATTGTGAGAATGAGTCATTGAGGTCACTGAATATCGCAGAGGCAGTCGGCGTTTCTCAGAGCATCGTCTTCTGGGCTTTAGCCCAATATGAAGAGACTGAAAGTGCCAATAGTAAGTCTGGTACTGTATCTCAGTGCATTACAACATTAAGGGAGGACAGAAAAATTACTATTGCTGCAAGACGGAACCCTGTCCATAGTGCCCGCCTGATCCTAAATGAAATATAAGATGTTTTAGCAAGGCCTTTATCAACAGAAATGAGAGAACAGTACCCCAGTTCCTGCTCCATTCAGTGTAATTTGGAGGAGGCGGTTAATGGTTTGGGCTGGCTGGGATTTATGGACAAACTGTACTATGAACTGGAATTATTGAGGAATACATCCCCACAAACCAGGTATCTTATTGGTACAGTTTTTCGATTTCGGGATTTCTCCCATTGTCTCCAGACCTCAATCCCAATGTGAGTGCGTTGCAGAAGCTCGAAAAGAAAGCTTTTCGATCATCATCTGCAGTCAGTTGACCTGCATCAACTGAATTTGCGCACATGAAATTAGCAGAAATGCTCCGAAAAAGCAACAGACAAAGAAAAAAGAAACAATAGCGCCTGCTATCTTATTGACTCAGAAAAATAGACACTGAGAGGAGGGAATCAAAGCCCCGAAGCTTAACTTTTTCGGGCTTCCAGGCTGCCCAGCAAGCCCAGTGATAAATTATTCATACTTTTTTTTTAATTTTAAGGGCTCTAGCTGGACCCTCACAGAATCTATTGGGCTGAGTTTGTATTCATTGTGAAGCAGACATGTCGGCAATAAATGGAAAATTTCCACACCCTTCCTTTCCGTTCTCATCATCAATGAACCACTTTGCAACATTGCAACAATAATTTTTCTAGAAAACCATTTAGCCACAATATTTCTGTCACATTCGGAATGACCTACTTTCTTCTACCTCTCACCCCTCCCTTTCCCAACCCTCTACCCTGCTGTCTTTCTGATTTTTTGCCTCTTATCTACCAGTATGTAGCTTCATTTTTAGTTTTATATTATGTTCATATATTTTTTGTTGTCGTTTTTATGTTATGTATACATTACAGTTCGTGGCCCAATTGACCAATTAACTTTTTTCATTTAATATTTATGAAAGGTATTAGTTGAGATAAGAGATTTTTATCTGAATCAATCCCTTTCATAAATGTTATATATACATTTTTTTCATCTCTTTGCTTGTGGGTACATGATTTTGATTATTATCTTCTAATATATATGATGAATAATTTTTGTGAAAAATAAATTTTCAATTAAATACAACTTTGTTTTCTCCTTCATTTATTTGCTTCTGTTGAAGACTATATCTGAGGAATGTACTGTGAAATTTTAAATGAAATTGGTACATCTTACCAGAGCAGGAGTGAGTCAAGGAAAACGCTTTGGATTCAGATACACAATGCAAAATAAATCTGACTAGGGAGGGGTCACATAGCGGCCAAGAGTATAGGCAGGGGAACGCAGCGTCCTAAAACCAGACCTGAAAAGGTTAAAAATCATGAATAAAAAAAGTCCCAAACTCCCTCCCTTTGCCCTGTTCTGCTTTCCACGTTAAACAAATAGCACACTTAAATGTCGTGTCACCCCATTTTATTTTCCAGGAAAGGAATGTCAAACAATCAATGTTTGATTCACTTGTCAGCTATTATATATATGTATGCTGAACGAGTGAAAAAAAAAAAAAAAAAAAAATGGAATAGGCCGGGGTTAAGAGGGTTTCTACTTGATTAAACAAATTACTCTGTGAATGTTCTAGGTTTTATGTCTTATTATTTGTCAATATGATTGATTATATATAAAAAAATTCTAAAAAAGCTTTTGTTTACAGCCTATTTTGTAATAATCATCTACTGTATATTGACAAAAACTTCAAATCATTAGGAGTTCATTTTTCATCAGGCAACGACCAGGATTGTGAAGAGGCGATAATTGTAAGTTTAATCTCTTTAAAAGCTATAAAAATAATGTCTAATTAGGATATGTACAAAGAAATTTGTAATTGGATAATCTTCAATCATTTAAAATTTAAATAATAAATTCAATTTTAGAATTCCTTCAAAATTAATGAAGAAGGAGAAGAGGAGATAGGCGATGGTGATCATTTTGACGATCTTATCAATGATTCTCCTTTGAGTCCAGGCTCCGACTTGGCACAACCTCTTTTGGAGCCGGGGTCAATTGCTGAAAACACAAATGACGTCTCCAACAATAAAGCCGACAATGATCTAATTCCTGCTCCATTCAGAGTATTTTAAACATTTCATTAATATATATAGTTTATGTAATTAAAATAAATAAATATTTTAATTGGCTTTAGGTTAATGAAATACAAATTGATTACGCGAAGACGCAAAAGAAAATAAATATGAAGGTGTTGAAAGCCACAATTTGGAAACTACTCAATTTAGATTCAGATGTAGAGGTAATTTAACAGTTCTGCATGGAATAGGTTTTTTTTAAATCTTTAACTTTTGTTTCTCCAACAGATTGTTCCAGGACCGAACAGAACTAGTAAAAAAGTTGTGTTTTCCAATGTTTATCTAAATCTCTTTAACGAGCTCCCGAAGGAGGATGCGAAAGCGCTTAGTTTTCCAATAGCCTACATGGCACTACTGCACTTAGCAAATGAAAAAGCTCTTTTCTTGGAGGGTGACAACATGTATCATGATGTTACTGTCATGTTGGCTTCACCTCCCAAAATGAATTTGATTCAGTATTAAAAAAAAAAATGCTAATGCACTACTCTAATTGTATCTCGTTTGTTGCAATTTAAAAGAAAGGGAAGAAAGGCATCAGAGAAAAATGATAAAGCTGTAAATATGTATAAATAACTAATTGTGATACTGAACTCAAAATTTAACCTTTTCTTGCAATTTGTATAAATAGTGTGTGTAAATTTTTCATTCCGTTTATGTTTTTAAATTGCATGTAAAATATTTATTTTAAAGATAGTTTAAAAAAAACCTTTAACAAGAAAAAAAAGAGATTGAACAAAAAAATACATCACAAATACAAATATGTTTGACATCATGTTGTAGAATATGTATTTTGATTGTGTAAAATTTCTTTAGTGAATGTTAAATACAGTTTGCTATAAATTATTAATCAGAGTCTCTGGCAATTTTCTGCTTTCTATAGCACATAAAAATAATTAATTTTTATAGCATTGGTAAAAAAAATGCTTCATCAAATTTTCCATTGTTACTTGTGATCGAAATGATATTGTAACCATAAAAATAAAAATAAGCTGTAAGTCAGTGACCATGTATTGTTAAAATTGCCATTCCATGTTAATTTGACAGATAATGTGCCTTAAAAAAGTTAACAAAATATTGAAACAAAAAAAAGTGATAATCAGTAAATAAGAAATATTTGATAAGTATAGCTCTATACTCTTACTTAAGTTAATTATACTAATAGTGTAAATAAATATTTTTTTTTAGTTCAGACTTTTGTTTTTGGTTATATAAACAAACACAATCCAATGAAAAAAGTGAATAATGAGCATACAAACTTAAAACCTTAACTTTATATATAAATATAAACACAATTAATTAATAACAAATAAATTTATTACTTATTTACAAAATACACTTTGTTCAAACAAATTACTACATATATACATTGTTTTGTTTACTTCCTTTTTGGAGCTAATAATATTCCACCTACTAGCGCTGCAACTGTTAAGCCCTGGGCTACAACTCTCGCCCGCATCATCAACTGTGAATTCTTTGTGTTGCCCTTGTAGAAATTTCTGACTCCATAAAAGAGGCAAGCTGCCGTCGCAAGAGCACCTGAAAAAAATAAATTCAGCGATTATATGCTGATATGACATTTATAGAAGAAATTACTGGATTTTTTTTTAAACTTGAAATTGCTGACCCAATAAGTATATTTGACAAGACAAGTTGACACTAAAACTAAGTATGGGTATTTATTAAAAAAAAAAAAAAAAGACTATTGAACTCTATGCCAAGGGGACTAAAAGGTTAGGTAGCATCTACTAGAACTATCAAGTGGAAATTTCTGCGTTGGTCAAAAAGCCCAGAGTCATTTGGGATTGCATCAAGGCCTTGTGAGACATTGGAAACAACTAAATTACCCTTGTAATTAACAACTTGTAACAGGGCAGAAGGACAACAAGGAGGCCAATGGTCAAGGAAAGTTCGCCCTGATCCCTTTGGAGACATATCAAACCAGCAGTCATCAGACAACGGATTAAAAATAAGTACTCAATTCAATGGGAATGTAGCAGAGGAAAGAGGAATGTGAACTAACTGGGCACTGCAGACTTCAGACCCATAGACTTGGAGCAGCGGAAATGAGCCTATGCCCATATACCAGTAAGAAGAAGAGACAGGGGAATAAGAACAAATCTCTAGGTGAGAAAGGCTTATGTAGGCTGAGATTCATACTCCTGGGAGCGGAAGGATACAGGAGTTCTTGAAAAAAGTTTTGGCTTAATGAGTTGCTCTAGACAGCTGGAGGTGCAAACTAGACAAACTGTCTCAGTGCACATTTGTTAAGAAGCTGACTCCTATTCTAATCTTAATTTTAATCTTTGTCACGAAATCAAAATACTTAGAATGGGCATATACATACAAGTTCATGGAATAATTCAATTTGAGCAAAGGCATATGATATATTGAGATGACCTCATGAAATCTGTGGCCAATGAACCTGTGACAGAGCAAAACAGCCAGGAAGAACAGAACTAAAGGAAGGCAAAATGGCCAAACTACAATTTGTCACTGTTCCTTCCCACATGGTCCCTGTCATCAGATCGCCACAACCAAATCTGCACTCATGTGCATAGAATACAGACCCCAATCGTTCGTGTTTAAGCGAGATGCTGATTTGCGATCAGTCGCCTTTCTATTCGATGACTCCGGCAGAAGAGACCTGTTGGGAGACGTCTATTCTCATAGGTGTATTTGACTGTTTTAGAGGTCACGGACTGTTTGGAGTTGACTCCTTGTCAAGGAAGACCTTAAATGACGGTTCTGTAATGTGGTAAGAGCAATAAAACGATTGGACATCACAGTCGACCACTACCTTCTCTTTGATCGAGTCTTCTAATGGCCCTAAACTACTGTAAACCATCATGGATGGTAGAACATGGCACACCTAGGGCTTGTAGTTATGTAATCGACCCTATCCATTGTCCTGGGCGAGAATTAACTCACTTGACAAGTTGGCTCTGGAAAGGATGAAATTGAACTGATTTTCTTTATTTTTAATCTAAAGAGTCTAAAAATGTCAGTAACACTGTAAAGTTAGACAAGTCTAAAACAAATCTTTTAAACTAGTTATTACAGAAAATAAACAAATAAATACGTGTCCAGATTTTTGTCTTTGAACAAGGATTTATATATTTTGAAATGTCAGGGTATAAATAAACTGTTTTTTTATTTCTCCTTTCTAAAATTCAGGCTCTATATAGATTTATGCTTTACACACTTCACTAAATATTAATAATGAATTACCGATAGGGACGAATGGGTTCTCCTTAAATTTCCTCTGAAACTTTTCAAACGTCGTTTCCTCGTTGGCCAAGATCGATTCGCCGGGTTGAATCCACTCTAACTTGTCAAATTCAGATTCTGTTGCCATAATTCAAGCAGAATAGAGAAAAAGACCAATTTACCAACAACAATGTTGTAACCTTCGAAAATAATTAAAAATATAAATACTGGGATTCAACAACTGACGAATTAAAAATCGCTCCACCAAGGGGGCTGATAACCAGGCATTCAATTTGTGTGGTGCCAAATTTAAAAATTTAACAATACAAGCTGAGAAGAATCGCTGAACGAAAGATCATCCTGCCCATATACCAAAAGGAATAAAATATCTAAAAATGTTTTAATGATTTTAAAAATTAATCATTCAATTATAATTTAAAGATAAATTTGTTTTATGGGTGATATTCAAGACGTCAGATGAGCAGTCTTTGTTTAGGTTTTAAGGTTTTATAGATTTTAACATTGTTAACCTTAAAAAAACCTCAGGTTTGTTAACCATTGTTTACCACGTGTTAGTACAGTTGGTATTTTATCTTGTAAAGTTTCTAATAATAAAACAATTATGACAAAAATAAGGAGGCAGAAGAAAAGGAAAGTTTACAACTACGATGTTAATCGAAAGAGGTTGAACTGTAGATCGAAGAAGAGGCCAAAAATTACCTGGTAAGCATTAATGTTTACTTAAACTTTCATGATGAACATACTATTTTTATTTAAATAAGATAACTTCATTCAACCAAAAAATAAAAAAGCAACATTCATTTACAATTTAGCATTTACAAAAGTACAGAAAAATTAATTATTTACAAATACACTTAAAGACAAAAACCCGACACTTGTATTTATATGTTTGTTTTTCATAATAACTAGGTATAAAGATTTAGTCCTGCTGCAAATTGAACTCACCACACGCTCAGCCCCATATGTGTTCTTTGAAATACAATTTCTAGTGGAGCGGTGCGTATTGAACCCACTCCAATGTCAGCCCAGTTTGACTTCAACCACGTGTGGGTTCGTTTATGAGAGCCAAACAGATTTTATCTGTCCTTCACAATCCTGGGCTTGCTGTTAACGATATAACGTGGTAAAAGTTTAATTGAAATTGTACAGGATAATCCTGTATTGTATGACCCCAAGCTATCCTGATTATATGAAAATGAACCGTGGGATGTCATTAATACAACAGAAAAATACTATTTGTCATTATAGAATGAAGAACCATTTTGAATCAGTTTTCGAATGCAGATGTGTTTCCCATTAGCTGTTTCGATACAGTTGTAAATTTGTCACTTCCTTTTAGCGATACGTTTTTTCACATTTATTTGGATAGTGTAGGTATATAATAGATAAGCCGCTGATGAAGCCACAGTGCATTCTCAGACACTAAAAACTCTCCACGAATACTTTGCACACCTAAGTAGGCATTTCTTTTATTTTTTCCTTTTTCTGGTTAATGTACACAATAAAACAAGGTCCTCAGTTTCAGACTCAGATTCTAAGTCTAGAATTTGGCGAAACAAGGCCATTGTTGCTGGCTTGGGTCTGTACTGGGTTTACTATGCAGTGCCTTGACAAAAAATGAATGTGGGATATGTTAGGCATTGGGCGAGGTGTGTGCTGTCCATGGGCTGGGTTCAATTTGTGGCGGGCTTAATAGTTGACCTAAAATGTAGACACAACATTAATTTGATGTTTACCTTTATGGTTTTTATGTTCTTATGTTACTGACCTTTTTACTCTCTTTAGATTAAAAATAAAGAAAATCACTTCGATTGTATCCTTTCCAGAGTCAACTTGTTGAGTGAGTTAATTGGTTTTTTGTTTTCTTTGATGAAAAAATAAATTTTAGTATTCAATTTTTTTTTGTTTTAAAAGCATGGTTTTAAGTCGACAAGACCCGGGCAGATGCTTTCGCTAACAACAGACGTAGCCTAAGGCCCTGGGTTTGCCATGCTGTCCCATCCATGATGGTCTGCAGCAGTTTAGGACCACGGAGGTCTTGATTGAAGAGAATGTAGTGGTTGACCATGATGTATGATGGCTAGAAAGGATCATTTTATTGATCTTACCACACTACGGAACTGCCATTTAACAACTTCCTTGATAGGTAGCCAACTCCAAAAAGTCCATCATGTAAGGGCGAGCTTTCAAATAGTCATCAGATGGCTTCGTGAGAATAGCCTAGTTTGTAGAACCCAGCCTCAGGTTCTCTACTACCGGAGAGTCATCAAGTAGAAAGACGACTGATCGCAAATCACCATATAGTTTAAAATAAACATCAAAATACGAGTGTCCTGTTTTTATCTCACAAAAACAAAAATTATTCTTAAAATTATTGTGAACCTAAGTAATGTAAAACTAAAACAGGCTACGTGGACAAGGGGTGAAAAATCTGAGGTAGGAAAGGTAAAAGGCTGGGAAGGGCAGGGGTGAGAGGTAGATGAAAGAAGGACATTGCCAATAGTGCCAATAGATACTGTAGCCAAGTGGTTTTCTAGAAAAAGCAGTGTGTCACAATTTTGCAAAAGTTTGAGAGAGGCCAGATTGTGAACAGAAAGGGGCAAAAAGGGTGGTATGTTGATGAGACTGGAAGGGTATAGTCGGTCTCCATTCAGTACCGAGGTGTCTGCCACACAATAGATACAACCTCAACCCAATAAATGGATGACTCCAGCTTGAGCACTAAAAGGCACTAAAGGAAAAAACCCTGCAAGGATGAGATAACTCGTTACTGGGCCTGGGGAGCATGCAAACCCAAATGAGATAACTTGTCACTAGTCCTGAAAGGTTAACACATGTACATACATCTCTCATAATAGATTGATTCTCTGCTATTTTATAAAATTAATTAACACAGGCCACATTTATAAGCTAAAGCAAGTCCTGCCCATTCAAAACTGAGAGAAATTATAATTTTTTAAAAATAAGATGTTAAATCCAGGACAAACTGTTGTTAATAATATTAAATTGTTAATTCAGATATCTACTGTGACCAACTGGATCGATTATTAACAGAAAATAGTCAGAAATTGTAAATATATAAGGATTTATTTGTCAGCACATCAATGACTGTCATCACGTATGAAATTTGAATATATTTTTGAACTTGTTCGGTTATTCTTAAGTGAATGAGCATGTTTCTATTGCTTAGATTCTTAGATGACTTGGTCTACTGATGCTGGCACCCTTCCTTTATCATATTCTTTACTACTCATCTAGTTATTGTTTAACTTCTGAGAATTCTTCATGTTATCTGCAGAGCAATGAACCTAAAATTTGGGTTACCGATCATTTTAGTCTGTCTGTGGTCACCTAGAAGCATTTTGGCATTTCGCCATTTTCAATGTGCCTGTGTCATTATTTAACTGTTTAATAACAATACCTGAAGCCATTAGATAAAAAGGCTATTGTTTTTAATATCTGGAATCTATACTTCTACTAGAAATTTAATATTTGGCTCTTTAAAAAGCCAAGATGTGAACTGGAATAATGTAAAGGAGTGAAAACACTGTACACTAGATGAAAGAAATAGTAATTTTATTTTTTACTTTATTATTGTGTTTTTCTGATGAGAAAGAACCTTATTTCGTCATGTAAAATATTTTTGAATTATTCCTGACCAAAAAAGCATGAATTAGGCTTTAATTTTATGATTTAGTTAATCAATTTTTAAGTTTTTATTAAAAACCTAAATTTACTAATCATCTGAAAACGTCTAACTGCCCAAATAAGTTCATTTATGGATAAAAAGAAAAGTGCAAATAAAATAAATTTTTTATAGTTTTAAACAAAGAAATAAGGCACAAATTTTTGTTACAAGGTGTAGTGTGTAATAATTGAATCAATAATTAATAATTATGGTTAAGTTAGTAACATATATTATTCAGTAAATCAATCCTTTTCATTTTACATTCATAGATAATTTTGTTTTTTCCAAGTTACTTACACAAACAGTTTAAAATAACCCAACAAAATGCACAGGCACAAGTAAATTTACGAACAAGTTCACATTTCCCTTAGTCTGTGGGGTGAGGTTTTTTAAAGTGTTGAAAGTAATACTTCGTAAACTGGTTCACACGTGGGTTGAACTGTTGCCAATGATGACATTAATATTGCACTTTTATTAAATAAACTTTCTAAAACATAAGAAAAGTTGTCTTAATGTACATCTTTTTTACTTCTGTGTTATATACAAGTAAACAAATTATTGAAAAAAATGGTATAAGAAATTTAATTATTTCTATTTTATGGCTGAGTTGTGTAGGTATATATTTGTAATAATTTTGTGTGATTTTGTAAAATAAATTTGATAAATTTGTGTGCTCAATTTCAAAATTTCAAAAATCTCAAAATTTTAATATTATAAGAGTAATTCAAGTAAATTAGTACTACAATCTTTGGTGTGAACTTTCTACAGCAACACTGTCTGAACTGCACCAATCTCTTAAACTTCAAAATCAAGCTTTTCACAAAAGTCCTCAATTTTGGGAAATTAAGTAAAACTCACCTTAATATATTTGGTTTGTAAATCCTTACATTGCTCTTGGACTTTTATTTGAGAATAAATTGAAAAAAGTAACGTAAAGTTGTGCTATTTCCCTTTTATGACACTCAACGAATAGCTAAACATAAAGTCCTTCTGTATAACAAGAATTAAATTAGTTATAACTCATTCATTTTGACTTATGTTTTATTTTACCATTTTTTAAAACTTTATTTTAATCAATTTTTTTCAGTGAGCCTGTAAAAAGTGAATGGAATGGAAGTTTATCAGTGAAAGCGAATCTTTCAGTTATGGGTCTTAGTTTTGATCCCAATGATACAGTTAAAATTACAAAGAAAGACGTAAGATACCTGTGCTAAAGATGTATGCAGAATAATATAATTTGGACTGTCATTGTAGGAACCTACGGAACCTGAACCAGAAGTTAAGACAAAAGTTGTCGAGCAGCTGGAAGCTGAAGCGAAAATACGCGGTCCAAAAAACTTCCGGTTGCCGAACAGCCAAGTCCACTGGCTTACTAAACTTTTGCTCAAATACGGTGACGATTACAAGGTAACAGAGAAATTCTATTGGTTTTACATCAACATAAAGATTGCCTTGCTTTTTGCTTTATTTAAAAACGGCATATCTTATTATTTTCAGGCTATGGAGAGAGACAGGAAGTTAAATTGCTTTCAAGAAACAAGCAAGCAGCTCAGGGCAAAGATTAAGCGTTTTGAAAAAATTCCGGAACAGTATGAAGAATATTTACGTAAAAAACAGGAAGCTGCTGACCAATAAGATTATTTTTAATTCATACTTGAATTGTTTAATTAATTAATTCTTTTGTATATAGTTTTTAATACAGATATTTGAATTTTTTATTTTTTTATTTTTTATATAGGGATTTTACCATGTTTACCATTCCCATCACAACCTCTAGATTTTTCTTACTTATACCTCCACACTCTAGTAGGTAGTTGAATGTTAAATGATATAAGTGTGAATAATACATTGTAGATAATACAATTATAAATCAATGTTGGATACATTATACAGAATAATGAAGAAATTAGAATGCATGTTGCATATATACATACTATAGTCATTGTCAGTTTTAATCTTTAATTTGGCAAAGTTAAATAGAGAATACATACTGGACTTGATTCAAAATTCAAACTAGAAAAAAAACTCGGGAAACCTCGGGATATGGTCTATGCTTTTTTGTTGATTTAAAAACTGCTTTGGATACCTTCGATCACAACTTACTTTTTGGTCAATTATTGTAGATTGGTGTATTGATCAGATTCACACACATCTTGAAGCGGCTGTACACCGAGGTGATAACAATTGGTCTGGACTGAAATGGGTCTGACTCAATATAGGTGAGCTGAGCTATAGAATAAAGCAAGGTTGTCCACTGAGCTTCTGTTCTCCCTATACATCAGTGATTTAGAGGAAGGCATGCAATGCGGAGTGAGCATTGGAGGCACTAATATTAAATTGCTAATGTGTGCTGATAATCTAGTGCATATATCGAAAATCTGGGGCATTTACAATTCAATATCGACAATAATTTTCCAAAATGGTGGCCGATGAGCAGCTGCAGAACAATAGACGTTTGGGTCAGACTGTGTTGATGTAGTAAATGAATATCATCACGTGGGGGTGTGATACTGACCCCACGGCTAGCCTTGAAAATACGTTTGAAGAAAAAAGGTAGAAGAGGCAAAGTTTGCATTTAATTTAGCATAGAACAGGGCCTATGGAGACAGAAACATACCTTTCAAAGCAAAAATGACTACCAGGCATGGGCAATATTCTGCTAACGCGAGCAGATTTGGGGCTAAGAGGCCAATATGATTTTGTGGTCCATCAACAAAAATAAGATTTCAGTACATAATTCCTGTAATGATGAAAGTACTTTCCCATGAGACTGCCACTTCGTTTCTGTGTGGAGAAGCAGAGGATGATGAAGGCTTCCCATGTCGAAACATATTACTGTGAAGTCTTGACTTCAATGGCCGCGAATTGATATGATAATAATTTGAACAGACTCATCCAAAACTTTCTTAAATTGTTGCTGGTATTTGTTTCATAGCCAAAGCATATCTGTGGAGTACACTATGACTGCTGCTGCAATCCTTCGATTTATATTTTACTTTGATAATTATTCCGGTCGTTCGGCTTTGCACATGTCAATACAATTAAACCATGGAATTTAGTTACTTGTAAAAAAAATCGTCTAACAAACGGAATATGTTTTCACCTGCTGCATTGGCAGGAAGTGGTTTGCACAAGAGATCTTCCTCGAAAAATCTCGAGTATTCATAACGGACAAAGGCCAATAAAATAGCCAAATCCGCGACGTTAATTGATTCGTCGATTTAGGGAGAAAACGAATTATGTGTGGTGATTAGTGACCGTTTGTTAATGATTAGTTGGAGATCGTGAGATGCGGTCTGGTGTGACGTAGGTTTTAGAAAAACATTTTCTTTATCGTGCCAACGTTTCGATCTTTATTGAGATCATCTTCAGGGCTCAGAGTGTTTTTCTGCGTAATTGTGCCATTCTCGTATGAACGTGACTCAACACGACACAAAAATGGCACAATTACGCAGAAAACAAACACTTTGAGCCCTGAAAATGATCTCAATAAAGATCGAAACGTTGGCACGATAAAGAAAATGTTTTTCTAAAACCTACGTCACACCAGACCGCAACTCACGATTTCCGAATAAAAATGAATTATGTTGGTTGCTAGAAACCAGCAATTCTTTCACATCATTTGATAAATTAAGTATCCGTTTTTTTGCAGTATTGTGTGATAATGACATCGAACATATAAGTTTTACTGCTTTTACGTCAAGCATGTAAGGTACAATATCGTTAACACACGGTTTTATGAGGGTTGCATCGATGGTATGAACTTTACCTGCCTGTGCCACTCGACAATTGATCATGATAGACGCTTTTAATGAGTTTTCATTAGCAGTTTTTGCATGAGTTTTAATGAAGGTTTAAGAAGCAGCCCGTCAGTGCCTCGGGAAAAATCACTCTGTTTTTTCCGGAGTTGTGGACCTGGGTGTGTACCTCCAAAACGAGGACGCAATTTAACTGGAACTATCGAACTGTTTGGAAGGATTTTCAAGCAAATTACACACTGAGATTTACCCTCGTCAGCCAATAAATCCCAAATCTATGTAGCTGTCGTGGTACTTCCTTTTAGGTATTCCACTTCCACTGGCGTTTGATCGGCACATATTCGGAGGCTTGTAGAATTTGAGCATGCTGGATCCTACTGAGGTGCTTCATCTGCAGGCTGTTCTTCATTTTGCTTGTCGTCAGTAATGTCGGAAAGGTGTCCTTCCGCCTCATCAATTCCAATTCGGCGCTTTTCCGGCTGTGTAGTTGATGCATTCTTCCTCAGAGATCCTGGCTTCAGCCACCTTTCTATATCGAAGTAAGTAACTTTTCAACGATAGTTTGATCTTGAATCACATTTTCGAGAAACAACTGCTTTTTATACATTATTGGAAAAGTACAGGGTGTTACAGAAGCAGCAGTTCCGGGTATAACTTCGATTTTTCCCCAATACTAAATACAAGTAAGCGAAGTCCCAGGCCCTAATTCTTAGCTCCAGCCTAGCGGATTTAGTAAACAACCGGAAGGAATACGAAGCCAGCCCGTTACACTTTCCGGAATTTTAAGAAACCAATAAAAAATAGGATAATGGCAAGGCAAGGAACTTGTCCAATAAATTACATTGGAAAGACAAACAAAAATAAAACAGAACAAGAAAAGAAGAACACTAAGCGAAAGCACTAAGCGTAGGATTAAAAAAATCTGCATAAATTTAAGGCCTCCTTCTAGCCATTTACCCGATTCATCCGTTACGTATAGAAATAGGTATAGATGAAAGAAAAATGAAACAGTAAAAAAAATTATTGATCAATATTATGAATGAAGGACCCCAGTATCAACAATGAAATTCCTAGGAAACTGATCAGTCTTGTCCCGTCCGTCTCGCTTACCTTATTTATTTGGCTTTCGTTTGAAAAAATAAACATATAATGAATAAATAAAAATAAAACAAAAATCTTCGTTTTCAGTTTTTAATTTTATTAATTATTCTACGTTTATTTGTTAATTATTAATTTTCTCGAAGTTCGCCGCGGACCTCCTACTTAGGGTCGGTGGATCACGATTTGGGAAGCCCTAAATTGTAAGATGTTATTTCTTTTCTATACATAAAACAAATGTTACTATGATAAAATTTAATGTGCTATTGCGCAAGTAATATACGATGTGTTGGATTGTATCGGAGGAAAAGATCTTCTGGTGTTGGGGGGAAATCTTTTCATGTTCTCACATTCCTAACTACCTTTGTAACCTGGTAACTATATTTCTTCAAACAGTATTCGGCATTCTTACATATCTCGGAGAGAGTAACTGCATCCTTTTGGCTTTTCCATTCTTGTCAATATGCTCTATTTCGGTTGTTATTTCATAAAATATACTGAATAAATAATATTGAGGGAGCAAATTTGATAAATCTAAGGTGTACTATCATAGATTGTCAACAATGCTTGAATGATATATAATATTGAATAGTGACTCCAATGAGCGGTTGCTTCGCATTCGAAGATGATATGAGTGGCTGTTTCCTCCTCCTCATTACATAATCTGCAGATGGGATCAACGTTGTATATGCCCATGTTGTGTAGTTGTTTTCTCAGTTGCAGCAGTGATTTTGCCAGTCTTGGTGAGGGTTGTAAGTTTACTGTCTCTAGCGCCGCTTTTGTTTTGTTTGGATCCATTCTGCGATGGAGGATTCTGTATTTGTGTTTGTTATCCCCAAGTATAGGTTTGGGGCCTATGTATGGTCTTTTAGATTCTCCTCTGGCAAATTCTGCTTTCTCGTTACCCAAAATTCCTCTGCGCCTTGGAACCCAAGAAGTTGTTTTGTTGTGTTTCTCCAGGTTTTGGAGATTTTGGTTGCATTCACAGACTAATTTTGATGTGATTTTTTTAACTTGCTAATGCTTTAATGGTTGCTTGGCTATCAGACCTTATGAGGATTTTTTTTGCCAGTGTACCACTTTTAAGATTTTCCAGGGCACAACCGTTGATGGCATGTATTTCTGCTTGAAAGACCGAAGTGTGCTTCCCTAATGAATTTGATTGCTCATGTTTTGGGCTTGTAAAGAAAATGCCCGATCCTTCGTTTGTTTCGGAGCCATCTGTATACCGTCATTGTACTTGATGCTCTACAGTATTCTTCCTCTCCTTTATGGTCCGTTGAGACTTTAGGATGTCATAAAGAATGTTTCCGCGATCATATAATCAGTCCTCATTTCTAAGAATGGGTGTCTGATTTTGTTAATTATGGTTGTATGCCCGGATTGTTTAGTTCCTATCCAACTTGATTGTTTTTGGAGCCTAAATGAGCTTTTCCTAGCCTCTCCTTGTTTATACATATTTCCAGTGGAGGTAGGTTTAGCAGAGTTTCTAGTGCACTTGTAGGGGTTGTCCTCATTGCCCCTTTGATACATAAGTTTGCTAGTATTTGTATGTTGCCTAATGTTTGAGTAGCTGCTTTTTGTTGAACTTTGGTACATCAGATTAATGATTCATAGGTTATTTTGGATTTTATTACTACCGTGTATAGCTAATAGGCCATTTCCGGTTTTAATATTCCAAGGTTTGCCTATAGTATGACAACAACGTAATATTTATGAATTTCCTGGGTTTATAATGTGTGTACTTTTTACAGGTAACTATTTATGGATTTATTGTACAAATAAATTTGTATGAAT